TCCCAGCTACTCGGGAGGCTGAGGCAGGAGAATCATTTGAACCTGGGAGGCGGAGGTTGCAATGAGCCGAGATAGTGTCACTGCACTCCAGCCTGGGACAGAGTGAGACCTGTCTTAAAAAAAAAATAAAAACCAAAAATATATATATTTTTAATTTTGAAAGGTCTGCTCCCCATGCCCCACCCTGGCAGGGTCTCCCCTCATTCCTTTCTGCTGTCAGCTGAATTGAAACCCTAAACCCCAGTGCTCCAGAAGGTGGCCTTATTTGGAGATAGGGTCTTTGCAGGGGATCGAGTTAAACTGAGGTCACTAGCATGGGTCCCAACCCAACACAGAGACAGATACACCTACAGCAAGATGAGGTAAAGATGGAGGCGGGCCGGGCACAGTGGCTCAGGCCTGTAATCCCAGCACTTTGGGAGGCTGAGATGGGCGGATCACGAGGTCAGGAGATCGATACCATCCTGGCTAACACAGTGAAACCCCATCTCTACTAAAAAATACAAAAAACTAGCCAGGCAACGTGGTGGGCGCCTGTAGTCCCAGCTACTGAGGAGGCTGAGGCAGGAGAATGGCGTAAACCCGGGAGGCGGAGCTTGCAGTGAGCTGAGATCCGGCCACTGCACTCCAGCCTGGGCAACAGAGCAAGACTCCATCTCAAAAAAAAGAATGGAGGCGATGCATCTACCAGCCCAGGAACGCCAGAGATTGCCACCAACCACCCGCAGCCAGGAGAGAGGCCTGGGACAGACCCTCCCCTGGCGACTTCAGAGGGAGCATGGCCCTGTGACACCTCGGTTTTAGATTTCCGGCCTCCAGGACAGCGAGGCAATCCATTTCTGTTGTCCTAAGGCACCAAGATTGCAGTACTTTATAATGACAGCCCCAGGGAGCAACAACTACAGTTTTTTCTGGTCGCCTGTGGTTGCAGGGGTGGGTTTGAGGCAAGGAGAGTTAGTGCAGATTCCTGGAAGGCTCCCTGGAGGAGGTGGGTGTTTTTGGTTTTTTTGGAGACAGAGTCTCACTCTGTCATCCAGGCTGGAGTGCAGTAGTGCAATCACAGCTCACGGCAGCCTCGACCTCCCAGGCTCAAGAAGTCCTCCCACCTCAGCCTTCCAGGTAGGTGGGACACAGGCATGCACCACCATGCCCAGCTACTTTGTTGTGGAGATGGGGTCTTGCTATGTTGCCCAGGACGTTCTCAAACTCCTAGGCTCAAGTGATCCTTCCACCTTGGTCTCCCAATAGGCCTGGGATTATAGGCATGAGCCACCGCACCAGGCCTGGGAGGGGAGCCTTGTTGATGGGAGTAGGGAACTGAGGTAGACATTTGAAGTTTCCTTAGAATCTCTCAGGAGGGTACCGGGCGCAGTGGCTCATGCCTGTAATCCCAGCACTTTGGGAAGCCGAGGCAGGTGGATCACCTGAGATTCCGAGTTCAAGACCACCCTGGCCAACATGGTGGCCGTAGAAACCCCGTCTCTACTAAAAATACAAAAATTAGCTGGGTGTGGTAGCGTGTACCCGTAATCCCAGCTACTCGGGAGGCTGAGGCAGGAGAATTGCTTGAACCCGGGAGATGGAGGTTGCAGTGAGCTGAGATCATGCCACTGCACTCCAGCCTGGGTGGCTGAGACAAAGACTGAGACTCAGACTGAGTATTTGACTGAGACTGAGACTGAGACTGAGACTGAGACAGAGACTGAGACTCAGACTGAGTTTTTGAGACAGAGACTGAGACTCTGTCTCAAAAAAAAAAAAAAGGAAAGAAAGAAAGAAAAGAATCTCTCGGGGACAAGAATGGGATGGTGATGGAAGTGTTAGATGGGGAAAGAGCCCTAGACAGGGATGCGGGGAGGACAGAGGGATACCTGCCATGGACAGGTGACTGAGCACTCAGGCCTTGGTGGCCCTCATGCTGGGTGTGGGGATGAGAGGGCATCTGTGACAGCAGGGCAGGGCTGGGCCAACAGACAGGACGTTGTGTTTTGTTGACATGCAATATAACCAGGTGATCTGCAGGGTGAGAGGGTGTGTCTGCTGGGAAGGACCAGGCTGAGGTCACTGCAGCTCTCTCTCTAGACCCACGCCCTGCCCTGGTATCCCCAGCCCCATGACTTGAGTGGGGGTGGGGCTATGAGTCCCTGGAGAGGGGACATGGAAAGGGTCAGAGGCTGCTCAAAGCTGGCCAGGGCCCCAGAGGACAGCCAATGCCAGTCGCAGAGACGGAGGAGCCACAGAATCCTGGAAAGCAGGAACAGGGTCTGAAAGGTCACATTCTACAGAGGAGGAGACTGAGGCTAGGGATGAAACCAGTGATAACATGCAGAAAGTTGGGAGAGGCCAGGAGGGGGCCAAGGAGAGGTGGGGAGAAGAAGAGAAGAGAGGGGGAAGGAAGGGGCTAGAAGAACCCAGGAAGAGGGAAGGGAGGAGCAGAGAGAAAGAAAGGAGGGGGCCGGGAGCGGTGGCTCACCCCTGTAATCCCAGCACTTTGGGAGCCCAAGGTGGGAGGACCACCAGAGGTCAGGAGTTTGAGACCAGCCTGGTTAACATGGTGAAACCCTGTCTCTACTAAAAATATACAAAAATTAGCTGGGCATGGTGGCGCGTGGCTGTAATCCCAGCTACTCAAGAGCCTGAAGCAGGAGAATCGCTTGAACCTGGGAGGTGGAGGCTGCAGTGAGCCAACATCGCGCTACAGCACTCCTGCCCGGGTGACAGAGTGAGGCCCCGTCTCAAAAAAAAACAAAACAAAAAAAAAACAAAGAAAGAAAGAAAAGGAAACCGAGCAGGGAGGAGGGTTGGGAGGGAAACAAAAGATCATGGCTAAGATGCTGTTATTAGAGACGCATCACCAAGGGTCTGGGAGGCACAGCAAGTGCAAGGAAGGGAGTGTTTTCATTATGACGAATGGGCTGGCAGGTCTGGGTGACATCGCCACAGGGTGACATCTCAAGGGGCAGGGACCCTGAGGTCTATGGGTCCAGTTTCTGTCTTGGTTCCCCTGCACCCTTCTCTGGGGGCTGGTGAGGGGCAGAGGACACTTCAGGAGGGTCCAACTGGAACCACAGTTATCCCTCCTGCCCTGAGTCCCTGGGTCCCCATGACCAAGAAGCCCAAAGCAGCTGAGCTGGAATGATCCTCAGAGGTCCTAATGCCTTGTCTTTTGGGGATACTGAGACGGGAGATGAACTGAGCAGCCCCAGGGTGCATAGCTGGTTCATGGCAGGATTAGAATCTGGGGCTCCTGAAACCCCATTTTGTGCCCGTGTGTTTATCCCGGAAACATTCCCCGGGGCACACAGCAGGGTGTGCTGGTGTGGGAGGTGACAGGGAGTTAGCGGGAACATTCACTGGGTAAGGACAGACCCTAACATGGGTTGAGCATCAGTCTTGTGCCAGGGATCATGCCTGGGGGTGGCTGTTGTCAGTCCTAGCAGCAGCCCTGAAAAGCAGGTGTTATTATTCTTATTTTCTGGAGGGGAGTCTGAGGCTCAGAAGGGGAAACTAAAGCTCAGAGACCCTCAACTGGACAAGGCTCCAATGCCCTGGCTCTTCCCGCCAAAGCTTGCTGGGGAGAGAAGAGAAGTCCAAGGGGTGGGCACAGGGCTGAGCTCCAGGCAGAGGGCCCCCCCCATTGGTGCCTTGGAGGCAGCCCTCTCTCGGGGATGGGCAGACAGAGCAGGCTGGCCCCTGGGATGGGGGCCTCATGGGCAGCAGGGCGTGGGGGTCACTCACCATGCTCTGCAGCAGCTTGTGGGGACAGGAGCGGGAGGACCAAGGTCAGCAGACACAGCGCCATGGTCCCTGGCCTCGGCATCGGAGCTCCGAGCACGTCTGACTTACCCGTTACCCCGGGAGGAGCTGGCAAAATGAGCCTCAGAGAAAGAAACTCATAAATAAATGGGTGCCAGAGACCTTTGGTCCCTGAGACACTGGGGACCAGGGGCCAGCCTGAGCCTGAGTCAGTCTGGAAGCTTCCCTCATGACTTGGGGCGCAGGGCCTGTTTCAGGCCAAAGGGCAGAGGGAGGGGGTGCCTCTCCCTGGCCCAGCAGCTCATAGGCATGAGGGTTATCAGCTTTATCACCCCAATAGAGGGGCAGCCCAGGGGGCCTGCAGGAGCCAGGGGGGAACTGATGAGACCCCCCCACCATGGGTGGTGGGAGATGGGCAAGAGGGGCCGGGCCTGAGCTGGGAAAGGAGGGAACCGCCTGCATTTGACCCTAACCTCTAGCAGGGACACCCCCTTTGTCTCTTTTCTAACCCTTCTTATTGGCCGGGTATGGTGGCTCACACCTGTAATCCCAGCAGTTTGGGAGGCTGACAAGGGCAGATCACTTGAGATCAGGAGTTTCAGATCAGCCTGGCCAACATGATGAAACCCTGTCTCTACTAAAAATACAAAAATCAGCCAGACATGGTGGCAGGCACCTGTAATCCCAGCTACTCAGAAGGCTGAGGCAGGAGAATCGCTTGAACCTGGGAGACAGAGGTTGCAGTGAGCCAAGATCATGCCACCGTACTCCAGCCTGGGCGACAGAGCAAGACTCTGTCTCAGAAAAAATAAATAAATAAAATAACCCTTCTTATTGTCCTATAAGTATGCCCTGAAGACATGGCCATGCCTGGGCCAGGGAGTTGTTGGGTCTGGTCTGTGGGTTCCGAGGTAAGCACGGCTCCCAGGGCCATCTGGAGTGACCCTGCCCTGTGCAAGCCCAACAGAGCCAAGTGCTCACTCCCTGGCCAACTGGGGTTGAACCTGAGGTCCTCTCCTGTCCCCAGAACCTGACCTTAGGCTTTTCTGCCACAGGGACCTCAGCAGAGGCAGGCCTAGCGCTGTCCTGACTGGAGCAGAGGAGGGGGCTCCCTGCCAGGACACAGGAAGGGGCCCAGAGCGTTCGTTCCATGACAGATTCAGCAGCCAGTCCTGGGAGGACTCTGACCCCCCACCTGAGCCCCACTGCAGAAGGAGGGGAAGGAAACCTCTCACTTCACATTCTGAGCTTTAAGATTTGCTTTTATTGGTAGGGAAATTCCAGAGTGGGGAGTCACCCAGGAGGAGACAGGGGTGCTGAGGCTTCTGGGAGTCTGGGGGCTCCTAGTTGGAAGGCCTCATAGCCCCCAGCAGGAGCACAGGCCCGGGACTGGCCAAGTCTGTCAGCTCAGATCAGGACCAGCTTCAGGGCCCGACTTCAGTCTCCTCTTGACCAACCCCGGGGGACTGCGGTCTGTGGTGGGCTCTATGTGTGCCGCTCTCCTGTCCAGAGATAGATGAGGGTGGGAGGCCCCCACTGGCTCATACAGCAGATGCTACCATCTCCGGCCTCTGGATGTGGAGCTGGGGGGCGGGAGAGAAGAGGTGAGGCCAAGGGGCAGACCCTGGAAACCGGGCGCCCCAGGGGGAGGAGGGAGCCCTGGGGGTAGGGGGCATCCCCAGGAGGAGGAGGGAGTCCCAGGGGGAGGAGGGGAGTCCCAGGGGGAGGGAGGGAGTCCCAGGGGGAGGGAGGGAACCCCAGAGGAAGTGGAGCAGCCTCAGAGGGTGGGGGCAGCTCGCAGCTGAGTCACCTCTGTGCCTGAGTCAACAGTCTCCAGGGTGGGCCGGAAGTTGTTGTAGGCGTTCTCGAGGCCGAATCCGCTCTCCCTCAGATTCTGGTCTGTAGGGAGAGGCGGTGCTGAGTGATGGGAGCCTTGGTGGGGGGTGGGGTGGGGGGAGGACTCCGGGGCAGTGGGGGTTTCTTCCAGCAAAAGAGTCAGCGCCGCATCTACCCTACACCCTTTCCCACTGCCGACCACCCCTCCGCCCCTGCATCACTGGGCAGCGGGTAAGTGCCTAGCCTGCCTGGGGAGCCGCCCCCTGGACCCTGGAACAGGAGGGAGCGGAGCAGAACTCCCTCACATGCACGGTGTGGTAGCCCGGGCCACAGAGGAGCGGGCGTGCAGCCCTGGACTCAGGGATGAGGTCAGAGTGGAGCGGGAGGCAGGGCTGGCTCTGGGTCAGCAGGGCCGCACTCCCTCATAGCAACGGTAGCCATAGCAAGCAAAAGAGCTGCGCTTGGAATCTGCTTCCAGCATCCTCCCGGAGCACAGCGATCTCTTACTTCCTGGTCCCACAGAACCACTCACACTCTTGACTCCGGGACTCTCCCCGCACCTCTGACCCCTCTTTTCCTGCCTCCTTCGAGGTCGGGGTCCTCATGCCCTACCTGTCCGTCTGTGGTGGCTCCCCGGGGCGGGGGTTCCACTTTCACCCTCCTCACTTCTCACTCTGCATTCTCCCCGACGAATGGACAAATCTCTATTCCAGTCCGTGGTTCAGGAAACCTCTCACTTCACATTCTGAGCTTCAGACAGGCACCAGCCTTGCAGCCTTCCCCTCAGCACGCACCAGCCCCCCAACTCAGTGTGCCCCACCGGCTGCTTCTCACCCATCCATCGGGGCCCAAGGGTCAGCTCAGACAATCCTGGAAATCCTCCCTCACTCCCTCTCCCTCACCCACCCTCTCAACCTCACCTCCACCACCCCCTCAGCCTCACCTCCACCAGGCTGTGTCTCCTCTTCCTCCCCCGCCCCTCAGCCTTACTTCCTCCACCTGGTCTCCCTGCTTTAGTGCTTCCAGAATGGCCTTTTGAGTAAAAAAAATTCAAAATGTGGCCGGGCATGGTAGTTCACGCCTGTAATCCTAGCACTTTGGAGGCCAAGGCAGGTGGATCACCTAAGGTCCGGAGTTCGAGACCAGCCTCGCCAACATGATGAAACCCTGTTTCTACCATCTCTACTAAAAATACAAAAATTAGCCGGGCGTGGTGGCATGCCTGTAATCCCAGCTACTAGGGAGGCTGAGGGCAGGAGAATCGCTTGAACCTGGGAGACAGAGGTTGCAGTGAACCAAGATCGTGCCACTGTACTCCAGCCAGGGCCAGAGAGCGAGACTCCGTCTCAAAAAAACAAAGGGGGGGGCGCCAAAGCCCCTCAACCCCCCACCCCATTCCTGAAGCCCTGCCAACCTCACATCCCTCACTCTTTGTGAGGTTGACCTGCCTTCCCTTCCCCACCAAAAGCAAGCTCTTTCCCAACTGCAGGGTTTCTCATGCAGTCCCCCTGCCTGGGGTGCCCTTTCCCTCATCCTCACTGGGATAAGGCCTCCCTGCTTACTGGGCTCCCCCTCTGTTGAAGGAGGAAGCGCACCTGCTTACCCACCTGCTCAAGAATTAGTCTCACCTCGGGGCTTATCTGATCCCCCATCCCCAGCCAGGCTGGGTCAGGTTCTCCCCTCTGCTCCCTCTGCCCTGTGAATGGCCCTATCACCCTGCTTAGCTGAGTGTGCATTGGATGCCCTCACTGAGTTGGTCTCTAGGGGCAGGATCTGGTTCTCAACCACTTCTGCACCCTTGCACACAGCAGGGGTGGTGTTTGGGTCCGGGGCTGCAGCGGGGGGAACGGGCTGTCAGCCACAGCCACCGTGAAGGGGGGCAGGACCCCACATCACCCCCACAGGCACAGGCACCGCCCTGTCTTTCTTCACCCTCCAGCTCTGCTCATCCCCTTGCCCTTAACTAGAGGTACCTTCCCAGATGGCCGTCCTCTGGAAGGTGCCAGGGGTGCCTTCGTTTCGCCACTCTTGAGGCATATCATACTGTTGCCTGCAGACAGAAATGCCGTGAGCAGCTGTAGTCAAGGAGGCTGAGGAGGGACTTGGTGGACCCAGACCTTCAGCTTGCCTTGAGGGGACAGTCACAGCCACACCCCAAGTCAGAGATGGCAGCGATGATGGCAGAGAACAAAAGGTAGCATCACCATAGCTTCCCCTCTTCCAAGGCAGGCACTGGCCAGGCCTCCCGGCTGCCCCTCACTCCGTTTAGTGGGCCTCAGTTTCCATATCCGTGAGATGGGGGCATAGGGTAGCTCCCTTCAATTGCCAACTTCGGGCCAAGTACTGTGCCAGGGTTTCCCAGCAACCTTCACAGGTGCATCTTATCCCGTTTTACAGCTGGGAAAAGCGAGACCCAGACGCTCCATCTCAGCTTCCCCATGTGGTGCCGTGCTCTGTGGTGGCCAGGTGAGTGATAACTAACCACGGGGAATGTCATTACATAGTCTAGGTTCCACACATAAGCTTCTGTTTCCAGTCTCTGTGTTATGGTTTGAACGTGTCCCTTAAAGTTCATGCATTGGAAATTTAACCCCCAACGCAGCAAAGCTGAGAGGTAGGACCTTGAAGACGTGATTAGGTCATGAAGGTGCTGTCCTCGTGAATGGATTAATGTCATTATCTCGAAAGTGGGTGTGTAATAAAAGTGAGTTCAGACAGCCGGGGGGCGGCAGCTCACGCCTGTAATCCCAACAGCTTTGGAGGCTGAGGTGAGAGGACTGCTTGAGGCCAGGAGTTTCAGACCAGCCTGGGCAATATAGTGAGACCCTATCTCTACAAAACATTTAATTTAATTTAATTTAATTTAATTTAATTTAATTTAGGGCCGGGTGCAGTGGCTCATACCTGTAATCCCAGCACTTTGGGAAGCCAGGGTGGGTGGATCACTTGAGGTCAGGAGTTCGAGACCAGCCTGGCCAACATGGTGAAACCCCATCTCTACTAAAAATACAAAAATTAGCCAGGCATGGTGGAATGCACTTGTAATCCCAGCTACTCAGGAGGCTGAGGCACGAGAATCGCTTCAACCTGGGAGGCAGAGGTTGCAGTGAGCTGAGATGATACCACTGCACTCCAGGGTGAGAGCAAGACCCTGTCTCTTAAGAAAAAAAAAAAAAAAAGTGAGTTCAGCCCTCTCTTCCTCTCTGTCCATGTGATGCAGACTGCTGTCTTTCCATGCTGTGATGCAGCAAGAAAGTCCTGACCAGATGCAGCCCCTTGATCTTGGACTTCCCAGCCTCCAAAACTGTGAGCCAAATAAACTTCTATTGTTTACAATTACCCAGTGGTGGTATTCTGTTATAATAGCAGAAAATGAACTAAAACACTCTGCCAAATTGATATATCCTATAGGAAGGCCGCCCTTTGCTGTACCCAGGGCTGGGAGGGTCTGGGCACCCCGTCTGGCCTCAGCTGACCTCTCTGACTGTTGGCCTGGAAGGAGCAGAGCCTTAGGACATTCAGACAGTGGCTGCCCCAGAGTCTGTCCCCTGTCTCTGGGCCTGTGGGGCTGGCCCCACAAGTTCACCTGTGCAGTTTTCTCTGGGATAGGCTGAATAAGATGACCAGGATGATCAATGAGAGCAGCAGCACCGCCACCACAGCCCCCACGATGCCATACACGAGGCTCTTGGCGATGTTCCATTCACAGGTCTCTCCCCAGTACCAGTGTGTGTCTGTATTTGGGCACCTGGGGACACAGACAAACTCAGGCTGACCCCCCGGGATCCCTCACATCCAATATCCCAAGGGCAAACCCACTCTCCTAAACACAGGAAACCAGATCTCCCTCACTCCAAGGGCTGGAGCTCAGCCCCCAGAGAGCCTGGGTCCCTGACTTCCTCAGGCTGATGGGCGCTGAAGGAGTTGGGGGGACCTGGAGACTGCAGATCAGGAATTGAAATGACTAGGGCTCAGGGGGACCCAAGAGTGTTGGGTGTCTCGTCCCAGACACATGCCATTCACCCATCTACTCTCTAATCGTCTGCCACCTAAATGGGCCTGTTATCGTGTTTTTTATTTTGCACTTTAATTTATGGTCTGTGGACTTAGTGCTCTGGCTGCAGCTAGAGGTAACCACGACAGCATGGCTGGGATGACGTAAGGGAAATTAACAATATAGATAGATAGAGGTAGAGATACAGACACAGATAGAGATAGAGATAGATTTGGAACTTGATAGCTTGAACTTTCTCAGGAAGGGATTGCCCAGCTCTTGGACCTTTGTGTCTATAATCTACTCCTACTCCTCACTCTTGTGGGTGTGGGGGGTGGGGATGAGGATACAGGGGAGAGGGATGTCCAGGAGTGGGGAGGAGGCACCTGCCAAGTTCTACTCAATCCCCCCACCCTGTGGGTGACTGCTGGGGAGGGGGAGGGCCCTACCACCAGGACAGAGTAGGCGCTGGGCTTGTGGGGACACTCACAGGCAGCGGGGGCCACTGCGTTGCAGCTGACACACGCCCAGATTACAGTTCATTTGGGACTTCGTTCCTTTGGTGCACTTGTTCACACAGGCCAGCTTCCCATCCAAGACATCCGCATAGTAGAATTGGGCATATTCTTTGGCAGCCTTCTGGGTGCATTGCTCTGGGGGAGAGGGGCGGGCAGTACGCATGAGCCTGGCCAAAGCACCCCAGCCCCCACTCTTAGTGACCACACTCCACACAGCTGCTTACCCTGGAAGTCAAAGCCCAGTGTCACCGATGAATCCACGAAAGTGTCCTCTTCACTATAGCACAGTATGGCCTCTGCTGAGAGTGGATAGGAAGGAAGATGGAATAGAGACACTTCCCTCTGCCTCCCTGGGGGTAGCCAGGCCTCTCTCTTCTTCTTTACTATGCCCTCCCCTGGGCCAATACCCGTGGGGTCTTTGCCCACCCTAGACATGCAGCTGGGCTTATGAGGAGGCTCAAATGGGGATATGACAGCCTCAGCCTGGGACCAATAGGAGGCTGTTGGGAGCAGGTTTGGGATCTGGAGAAGGCATCCTGGGCCTGGCTTCTGGGTTCCTGTGGCAGGAGTCTTGGGAGTCCCAGAAGAAAGAAGAGATAGGGGAGGGAGAGATCAAGGTCACGATCTCCAAGACGCCCACAGGTGTCAAGGGGTTTTAGGTGAGCCTACCTCTGCACAAATCAGGATCATGAGCTGTTTTGGTTTCATTCATAATCTTGGCCTTTACAATCTCTACCAGGTTTTCAAACAGTTCTTCATACTCTAAAGTGTAGTCTGCCTCCAGGATGACATCATTCTTGACCACGATGCTACCGTTGCTGGAAGTGGGAATTGTTTCATCAGTTACCCGTGTCACCACCCAGCCAGCAAGTGGAGACCAAGCACCCAGAGGGGTAATGGGAGATGAAGCAGCCATGTGCCCCACAGGTGAGAAAGAATACAGAGTCTTCCCCCCAGCAGCTGACTACCCAGACAGAGGGACGAGAGCAAAACGATTCAAGATCTCAAATATATCAGTGATCACAATAAATGCCAATGAGTGAAATTCATCTCTCGCAAAATAGAGGCTCTTGGATGAACAGGTGGAGAAATTTGAATCCCTGTGTCCTGTTGATGTGAAAGTAAAATAGTGCAGCTGCTATGGAAAACGGTATGGAGTTCCTCAAAAAAATGTAAAATAGAATTAATGCATGATCCAGCAATTCTACTTCTGGGTATATATACAAAATAACTGAAAGCAGGTCTTGAATTTATATTTGTACTCTCGTGTTTTCAGTAGCATTATTTACCATAGCCAAAATGTGGAAGCAAACCAAGGGTCCACCAACAGACAAATGGAGAAACAAAATGTGGTCTATTGTGGAATATTATTTAGCCTTAAAAAGGAAGAACAGGGCAGGAAGTGAGGTGGCTCATGCCTATCATCCCAGCACTTTGGCAGGCCAAGGTAGGAGGATTGCTTGAGGCCAGGAGTTCAAGACCAGCCTGGGCAACATGGTGAGACACCATCTCTACAAAAGATACAGAAATTAGCCAGCCAAGGTGGTGCACACTTGTAGTCCCGGCTACTTAGGAGGCTGTGGCAGGAGGATTGCTGGAGCCCAGGAGTTTGAGGCTGCGGTGAGCTATGATTGCACCACTGCACTTCTGGCAACAGAGCAAGACCCCATATTTTAAAATTTTAAAAATAAAGAAAGAAAAAGAAAGGTAAGTTTATAACCTAGAAGTTACTTCTTCAATAGCCAATGATGCAACTGAGGGGAGAGGTCTTGAGACAAGGCAAGTCACCTGTCACTGTCATTTTGAAAGATAAGTCAGTAGTAGGACTCAGGAGGACTTGAACAAAAAAAATCCTGAGCCAAAATGGAGAGAAAGACCAGGGTGCCAATGCTGAGCCAGGGGCAAGGTTGGGGCACCGGGACCCTCTCTTCCCTGCTGCAAGGACACGGCACTCTTGAGGCACCCTTCCCACTCCTCTGTCTGCCTCTTTCCACTCTCCACTGGGGGCTCTGGCTAGATCTTAAATGTTGCTGCTTTCCAGCTTCATTCCTGGGAGACCCTCGTTTTGTGCTATGACCCTCCCTCACCCCCGACCTGGGCCATCTCATCCCACTCCCAGGACTTCCAGCGACATCCATCTGGGGATACCAATGCCCGTGTCTCTCATAAGACCCTTTAGAGGCTGGGCATGGTGGCTCACGCTTGTATTTCAGCACTTTGGGAGGCCGAGGCGGGAGGATCACTTGAACCCAGGAGTTTGAGACCAGCCTGGGCAACATAGCAAGACCCCATCTCTGCAAAAATTACAAACATTAGGTCAGGGGCGTGGCTTACACCTGTAATCCCAGTACTTTGGGAGGCCAAGGCGGGCAGATGCCTTGAGGTCAGGAGTTCAAGACCAGCCTGGCCAACATGGTGAAACTGTGTGTCTACTAAAAATACAAAATTTAGCCAGGTGTGGTGACATGTGCCTGTAGTCCCAGCTACTTGGGAAGCTAAGGCAGGATAATCACTTGAACCTGCAAGAAGGAGGCTGCAGTGAGCCGACATTGCACCACTGCACTCCAGCCCGGGAGACAGAGCAAGACTCTGTCTCAGAAAAAGCAAAACAAAAAAATTACAAAAATTAGCCAAGCATGATGGCACAGGCCTGTAGTCCCAGCTACTCAAGAGGCCGAGATGGGAGGATTGCTTGAACCTGAGAGGTTGAGCCTACAATGAGCCGTGATTATGCCACTGCATTCCAGCCTGGGCAAGAGAGCAAGACCCTGCCCCTCGATCCCCCCAAAATAAGACTCTTTAGGGCATATTCCACTGCTGTATCATGCAACTACTCCATGTGGCTGGGCCCTGGGCACTTGAAAGTTGACATGGTGCACACCAAACTCATTACCTCCTTCCCCCATTCTACCTCTCATGACATTCCTTGACCCAGCACAGGGCACCCCACACCTCCAGCAGCCCAGAAATCTGCCCTCATTCCTCATTCTTCTCTCCCTCCTCTCCCACAGCAAATTCCATGGTCTGCTGATCCTGCCTCCCAAAGACCTTTCACACTGGACCCATTTGCTCCTATACTGTCACCTATCTGGTGTAGGCCACCATCATCTCCAGTACAGACTTCTGCTTATGCAGTCTCCATCCTACAGCCAGACTGAGCTGTCTACTCTGCAGACTAGACACTATCCCCCATGGGCCTACACTGCTGATGCCGAAAGTCTGACTAACTTGGCATGAGCCATCTTTCCAACCTCCTGCCCAGTTACTGCTCCTTTGCTCTTAAGCATCCAGCTGTTCCGAGCGTCTTTAGGTTCCTGGAATCTGCCCTCCTCTCTCTCCTGTCTGGGCTCCTTCTCACTGATTCCCGCTGCTGCAACTGCCTCTCCTTCCCTTCCCCCTCTCTGAATCATTCCTCCTCATGCTTCAAGCCTCAGTTTTGCTGTTACTTTTTTTTTTTTTTTTTTTAGAGATGGGGTCTCGCTATGTTGCCCAGGCTAGTCTCTAATTCCTGGCCTGAAGTGATCCTCCCGCCTTGGCCTCGCAAAGCATTGAGATTGCATGCATGAGCCACCACGCCCAGCCTGTTGCCAGTTTTCCCAGAAAGAATTCCCTCTGCCTCACCAAGGTTTGCTTTTGGGACCTCTCCCAGGGCACCCTGTGTGCCCCTCACTGTAACTCTAACAGACTGCACCACCACTTTTCCATCTGTGTTCTGCCACTCTGAGCTCCAGGAAAACGGGACTGCTGTGTTCCCAGCACCCAGCAGGGGGTTGGCTTTCAACAAATGTATGTTGACTGGATGAATGAATGAAGAATGAATGGTCTCACAGCCCCCCCCGCCCCCGCACTTACCTAGCGGCTGCAGTCCTCTCTGACCCAACCAGGTATTGACATTCTAGCCATTCATGATAGGAGGAGGCAGGAAAGCAAGGACAAGGAGGATTTCCCCACATCTATAAATCTGCCCCCCAGTATACTCACAGCAATCTCCGAATGTTCACCCCTCTATACTGTGGAAGATCGTCGCCCGTCAAAACGACATCCATCTGAAAGAAACAAGGCAGTGAAGGTCACACAGAGCTACAGCGTGAAGACTCTCCTGTTCCCCGTCTCGAGGCAGCCCTAGGCACCCTTCCGTGGAGCCCACGTAAGATCCCATGGGAAGAACCACCACCCCAGGAAGCTCCCTCTGCCATAATGTGGGTCATGTGGGGCTGAAGGCTGGAAACTCTCAGAGGACCTCCTTTCAAGACTTAGGGAGACTGGTGGGGAGGGGGCTCATGAGCAGAACTCAGATCACTAAGTCAGGGTGCACTCCCCAATTTCCTCTCATGTGGGACATCACCCTGGGGTGTCTGGGTGTGCCCTGGTCTTACCCGATTCTTGAAGAGGTTAGTGAAGTTCTGGTATTCCTGGGAGGATGAGTCATTCATCTGTTCTGTGAAATTTCTGTAAGTCACTTTCACTGTCATACCTAAAGTGGCATTGAGTTTTTCCGGGGTTTCTGTGGGAAAAGGCCATGGTATGCGTGAGACAGCGACCTCCCAATAATGTCCTCAAGTATTGATACAGTCTCTGCCTGTGGGTGTCTTGCAGGTGAAGGAAACTTAAGAGGAAGTGGGGGTCACTGAGACTTCTGTTGCCTGTCTCCCAAAACCCTTAGGAGCCAGTGGCCAGGAGGGGAAGGGACAGTACTAAGTACAGAAGCCCTCTGATGAGAGGGACAGGTGAGCTAATGGAAAGGGCCCTGGGCCAAGTGCTGTGGCTCACACCTGTAATCCCAGTGCACTGGGGAGATGGGAAGACCTGCCTGGGCAACAAAGTGAGACCCTGTCTCCACAAAAGTAAAAATATTAGCCAGGCGTGGTGGTGCACACCTGTAGTCCCAGCTACTCAAGAGGCTGAGGCTGGAGGATAACTTGAGCCCAGGAGTTCAAGGCTGCAGTGAACTATGATCTGCACCTCTGCATTCCAGCCTGGGCCACAGAGTGAGACCCTATCTCAAAAGAAAGGGAGATTCCTAAAACTAAAAATAGAGCTACCATACAATTCAGCAATCCCACTGCTGGGTATATATCCAAAAGAAAGGAAATCAGTACATCGAAGAGATCTCTGCACTCCCATGTTTGTTGCTGTTCACAATAGCCAAGACTTAGAAACAACCCGAGTGTCCATCAACAGATGAATGTATAGAGAAGACCTGGTACATATATACAATGGAGTACTATTCAGCCATTAAAAAGAATGAGATCCTGTCAATTGCAACAACATGGATGAAGCTGGAGGTCATTGTTAAGTGAAATAAGCCAGGCACAGAAAGACAAACATTGCATGTTCTCACTTATTGGTGGAATCTAAAAGTCCAAACAACTGAACTCATGGAGGCAGAGTAGAAGGATGGTTACCAGAGGCTGGGAAGGGTAGTGGAGTGGCGGTGAGATGGAGGTGGGCATGGTTAATGGGTACAAAAAATGCATAGTTAGAAAGAATGAGTAAGACCTGGTATTTAACACAACAGCGTGACTATAGTCAATAAGAATTTAATTGTACATTTAAAAATAACTAAAATAGCTGGGTACGATGGCTCATGCCTGTAATCCCAGCACTTTAGGAGGCCGAGGCAGGTAGATCACCTAAGATCGGGAGTTCCAGACCAGCCTGGCCAATATGGTGAAACTCCGTCTCTATTAAAAATACAAAAATTAGCCGGGCATGGTGGCCCATGCCTGTAATCTCAACTACTCAGGATGCTGAGGCAGGAGAACTGCCTGAATCCAGGAGGTGGAGGTTGCAGTGAGCCAAGATCGTGCCATCACACTCCAGCCTGGGAGACAGAGCGAGACTCTTTCTCAAAAAATAAAATAAAATAACGAAAATAGCACAATTGGATTGTTTGTGACATAAAGATTAAATGCTTGAGGGAATGGGCACCCCATTTTCCATGCTGTGATTGTTACACGTTGCATTCCTGTAACAAGACATCTCATGTATGCTCCATAAATATATACATCTACTATGTATCCCCAAAAATTAAAAATTAAAAAAAAATTGACCACCCCATTTTTCTACCTTCTACTTTTGTCCCTGAAGGCAGAGGTAGAAGGTTCATGCTCTCCCTACAGTGTTGCTGGGAAGAGTCACACCTCCTCCACCTGCAAGTGAGGCAGTGGTTGATCCAACACTGCCATGCTGTTTTCAGGGGTCAAAGGCCCTGCAAAGAGCTGCAGGTCTCAGAAAAGGTCATTACCTACAGGGAAGGATTCCAGAGGGGACAAGCACTGGTAACCAACGTAGCCTTGGGGACAGACGCATTGTTTTCCATTCCAGATTTGTCCTTCCTGGCATGACCCTGTGTAGAAAGAGAATCCACAGCAGTCACCATGGGAGCCCAAAGGGCAAAAACACGCACTCCCATTCCAGGTCCAGTCATTCAGCATCACACTGGAGAGGAGGATGGTGCCAGATGACCATGCAGCGACGAGGACACCTCTGCTGCCACCCCCATCCCTGGGAGATAGTAAGAAAGTGAGGAGGAACAGCAGACAGTAAGGAAACAAAAGATACAAGAGGTCCAGCTCTGAAAAAAGCACTCATGTATGAAAAGAGGACAACTCTACCCCTGGGATCACCTGAAACAGCAAGGAGCAAGAATAGGAAATGTGAAACAGAACCACAGGAGACCAAAGAAGATGCAGATTCTCATGACGACAGAGAGAAGGCGGGCGGGCGCGGTGGCTCACGCCTGTAATCCCAGCACTTTGGGAGCCTGAGGTGGGTGGATCACATGAGGTCAGGAGTTTGCAGCTAGCCTGGTCAACATGGTAAAAACTCGTCTGTACTAAAAATATAAAAATTAGCTCGGTGTGGTGGTGGGCACCTGTAATCTAAGCCACTCGGGAGGATGAGGCGGGAGAATCGCTTGAACCCAGGAGGCAGAGGTTGCAGTGAGCCAAGATCGTGCCATTGCACTCCACCCTGGGCAACAGAGCAAGACTCTGTCTCAAAAAAAAAAAAAAAAAAAAAAAAAGGAAACACAGAGAAGGGGTTCATAGAAGGATGCAAAAACAAACAAACAAACAACAAAACAACAACCCCACCCTGGAGTCATAGAGGAAGGAGAGATTGTCATCATAGATGTGTGGGGACCAGTGAATGGCACATGAACACTGGAAGTGGTATCAAACCCAGAAACTGGATAGTCAGTAGACCAAAGTAAAGTGGAAGATAGAGGAAAAGAACCAAGAGTTTGTAATGGAAGAAGAAGACTCATGGACAGGCCTGGAGAAGAAGCTAAATGTGGATGGAATTGAAGAGCAGTACCTGGCACTGTTTGCAGGCTTTCAGTAGACACAATTGTAAAAGGGAAGCTTGGACTGGTGTAGAAGGTGGTAGATTCCACAGTGAGGCCTGATGTGCTGGAACTGGCAGGAAAGAGGGTTGTGTAAGTAGTGGATGGGCTCATGTAGAAAGTTGTAGATTCTTCAACGAGAGCTGAGGTTGTGGAGTGGGGAGGTAAGGGTGTTGTTCCAGTTGCGTCTGAGCTGCTATGGAAGGCTGTTGATTCCTCACCGAGGTCGGTGGTTGTGAGGGTGGCAGGTAACACTATTTCGGTGAAGCGTGGGCTGCCAGGGAAAGCTGTAGATTGTTCACCATGAATGGAGGTTGTGGTGCTGCCAGGAGACACTGTGTTTTCAGTTGAGCCTGGGCTGCTGTAGATGGTGGTAGATTCCTCACTGAGGCCTGGCGTGGTGGTGCTGGCCGGAGACACTGTTGAGTGAGTTGAGCCCGGTTGGCTATGGGATGTGGTGGATTCTTCACTGACGCCTAGGTTTGTCACGCTGGCAGGTGAGAGTGTTGTGGTCGGTGATCTGGGGCTACTGTGGAAGGTGGTAGATGTCTCTCTGAGGCCTGTTGTTGTGGTACTGCCAGGTAACATTGTTATTTCAGCTGCGCCTGGACTGATGGGTGAGATTGTAGATTCCCCACGACCTGAGGCTGTGGAATGGGTGGGTGAGGGTTTTGTTCCAGTTGCATCTGGGCTGCTGTGCACTACTGTTGATTCCTCACTACGGCCCAAGCTTGTGGAGCTGACAGAAAAGTGGGTTGTTGGAGTTGAGCTCGGGCTGCTATGGTAGGATGTAGATACATCAACATAGGTTGATGTGGTAGTAGGAGGTGCAGGCGTAGTGTCATTTGAGCTTGACCATCTCGCGAGGGTGGTAGCTTCCCCCTGCCGGGTTGTAGAGCCGACAGGGGACAGTGTTGTGTGTGGTGAGCCAGTCCTGCTGTAGACGGGCGTAGATGCTTCAACGAGGCCTGAGGTTGTGGTGCTGTCAGGGAAGAGTGTGGTGTGAGTGAAGCCTGGGCTGCTTTGGAAGGTTTTGGATTCTTGACCAAGAGATGATGCTGTGGTACTGCCAGGGGACAGTGTTGTGTCAGTTGAGCCTGGGCTGCTGTGGGAAGTTGTAGATTCCTGACTGAAGCCTGGTATGGTGGTGCTGTCAGGGAACGCCGTTGTGTGCGTTGACCTTGGTCGGCTGAGGGAGGTGGTGGATTCTTGACTGACACCTGAGCTTCTCGTGCTGCCAGGTGAGAGTGTTGTGTCTGGTGATCTGGGGCTACTGTGGAAAGTGGTCGATTTCTCACTGAGGCCTGGTGTTGTGGTACTGTCGGGTAATATTGTTGTTTCCACTGAGCCTGCACTGATGGGTGAGGTTGTAGATTCTCCAACAAGAGCTGAGACCGTGGAGCGGCTGGGTAAGAATGTGGTTTCCATTGTGTCTGGGCTGCTGTGGGATGCTGTTGATTCCTTACTATGGCCTGAGGTTGTGGAGCTGTCAGGGAAGTGTGTTGTTGCAGTTGAGCCGGGGCTGCTGACGGCGGTAGTAGACTCTTCAACAAGGGTAATTGTGGTGCTGGGAGGTGAAGGTGCTGTGTGAGTTGAGCCTGGGTGGGTTTGGAAGGTGGTAAATTCTCCCTGAAGGCCTGGGCTTGTGGAGCTGGCAGGGGACAGTGTTGTGTGTCGTGAGCCAGTGCTGCTGTGGATGGGTGTAGAGGCTTCTTCGAGGCCTGAGGTTGTGGTGTTTTCAGGTGAGACTGTGGTTTCAGTGGAGCCTGGGCTGCTGGGGAAGGTTGTAAAATCTTGATCAAGGGATGAGGCTGTGGTACTGCCAGGGGACAGTGCTGTGTCTGTTGAACTTTGGCTGCTGTGGGAAGTTGTAGGTTCCTGACTGAGGCCTGACATGGTGGTGCTGTCGGGAAAGGCTGTTGTGTGCTTTGAGCCTGGTTGACTAAGGGATGTGCTGGATTCTTCACTGACGCCTGAGCTTGTTGTGGTTGCAGGTGAGAGTGTTGCATCTGGTGATCTGGGGCTAGTGTAGAAGGTGGTAGATTTCTCACTGAGGCTTGGTGATGTGGTAATGCCAGGTAAAGTTGTTGTTGTATCAGTTGAGGTTGGACTCATGGGTGAGGTTGTAGATTGTCCAACAAGGCCTGAGGTTGTGGAGCGGGCAGGTGGGAGGGTTGTTGCACTTGAGCCTGAGGTGTTGGGGAAGGTTGTTGGTTCCTCACCGAGGTCTGTGGTTGTGAGGGTGGCAGGTAACACTGTTTGGGTGGAGACAAGGCTGCCGGGGAGGGCTGTAGATTGCTCAGTGAGTCCCAAGGTGGTGGTGTCCTCAGTGAACAGTGTTGTGTGAGTTGAGGCTGGCAGGCTATGGAAGGTTGTGGATTCTTCCCCACGAATTGAGGTCGTGCTGCTGCCAGGGGACACTGTGTTTTCAGTTGAGCCTGGGCTGCTGTAGATGGTGGTAGATTCCTCACTGAGGCCTGGCGTGGTGGTGCTGGCCGGAGACACTGTTGAGTGAGTTGAGCCCGGTTGGCTATGGGATGTGGTGGATTCTTCACTGACGCCTAGGTTTGTCACGCTGGCAGGTGAGAGTGTTGTGGTCGGTGATCTGGGGCTACTGTGGAAGGTGGTAGATGTCTCTCTGAGGCCTGTTGTTGTGGTACTGCCAGGTAACATTGTTATTTCAGCTGCGCCTGGACTGATGGGTGAGATTGTAGATTCTCCACGACCTGAGGCTGTGGAATGGGTGGGTGAGGGTTTTGTTCCAGTTGCATCTGGGCTGCTGTGCACTACTGTTGATTCCTCACTACGGCCCAAGCTTGTGGAGCTGACAGAAAAGTGGGTTGTTGGAGTTGAGCTCGGGCTGCTATGGTAGGATGTAGATACATCAACATAGGTTGATGTGGTAGTAGGAGGTGCAGGCGTAGTGTCATTTGAGCTTGACCATCTCGCGAGGGTGGTAGCTTCCCCCTGCCGGGTTGTAGAGCCGACAGGGGACAGTGTTGTGTGTGGTGAGCCAGTCCTGCTGTAGACGGGCGTAGATGCTTCAACGAGGCCTGAGGTTGTGGTGCTGTCAGGGAAGAGTGTGGTGTGAGTGAAGCCTGGGCTGCTTTGGAAGGTTTTGGATTCTTGACCAAGAGATGATGCTGTGGTACTGCCAGGGGACAGTGTTGTGTCAGTTGAGCCTGGGCTGCTGTGGGAAGTTGTAGATTCCTGACTGAAGCCTGGTATGGTGGTGCTGTCAGGGAACGCCGTTGTGTGCGTTGACCCTGGTCGGCTGAGGGAGGTGGTGGATTCTTGACTGACACCTGAGCTTCTCGTGTTGCCAGGTGAGAGTGTTGTGTCTGGTGATCTGGGGCTACTGTGGAAAGTGGTCGATTTCTCACTGAGGCCTGGTGTTGTGGTACTGTCGGGTAATATTGTTGTTTCCACTGAGCCTGAACTGATGGGTGAGGTTGTAGATTCTCCAACAAGAGCTGAGACCGTGGAGCGGGTGGGTAAGAATGTGGTTGCGTCTGGGCTGCTGTGGGATGCTGTTGATTCCTCACTATAGCCTGAGGTTGTGGAGCTGTTAAGGAAGTGTGTTGTTGCACTTGAGCCCGTGCTGCTGTCATCGATAGTAGATTCTTCAGCAAGGGTAGTTGTGGTGCTAGGAGGTGAAGGTGCTGTGTGAATTGATCCTGGGTGGGTTTGGAAGGTGGTAAATTCTCCCTGAAGGCCTGGGCTTGTGGAGCTGGCAGGGGACAGTGTTGTGTGTCGTGAGCCAGTGCTGCTGTGGATGGGTGTAGAGGCTTCTTCGAGGCCTGAGGTTGTGGTGTTTTCAGTTGAGACTGTGGTTTCAGTGGAGCCTGGGCTGCTGGGGAAGGTTGTAAAATCTTGATCAAGGGATGAGGCTGTGGTACTGCCAGGGGACAGTGCTGTGTCTGTTGAACTTTGGCTGCTGTGGGAAGTTGTAGGTTCCTGACTGAGGCCTGACATGGTGGTGCTGTCGGGAAAGGCTGTTGTGTGCCTTGAGCCTGGTTGACTAAGGGATGTGCTGGATTCTTCACTGACGCCTGAGCTTGTTGTGGTTGCAGGTGAGAGTGTTGCATCTGGTGATCTGGGGCTAGTGTAGAAGGTGGTAGATTTCTCACTGAGGCTTGGTGATGTGGTAATGCCAGGTAAAGTTGTTGTTGTATCAGTTGAGGTTGGACTCATGGGTGAGGTTGTAGATTGTCCAACAAGGCCTGAGGTTGTGGAGCGGGCAGGTGGGAGGGTTGTTGCACTTGAGCCTGAGGTGTTGGGGAAGGTTGTTGGTTCCTCACCGAGGTCTGTGGTTGTGAGGGTGGCAGGTAACACTGTTTGGGTGGAGACAAGGCTGCCGGGGAGGGCTGTAGATTGCTCAGTGAGTCCCAAGGTGGTGGTGTCCTCAGTGAACAGTGTTGTGTGAGTTGAGGCTGGCAGGCTATGGAAGGTTGTGGATTCTTCCCCACGAATTGAGGTCGTGCTGCTGCCAGGGGACACTGTGTTTTCAGTTGAGCCTGGGCTGCTGTAGATGGTGGTAGATTCTTCACTGAGGCCTGGCGTGGTGGTGCTGGCCGGAGACACTGTTGAGTGAGTTGAGCCCGGTTGGCTATGGGAGGTGGTGGATTCTTCACTGACGCCAAGGCTTGTCGCGCTGGCAGGTGAGAGTGTTGTGGTCGGTGATCTGGGGCTACTGTGGAAGGTGGTAGATGTCTCTCTGAGGCCTGTTGTTGTGGTACTGCCAGGTAACATTGTTATTTCAGCTGTGCCTGGACTGATGGGTGAGATTGTAGATTCTCCACGACCTGAGGTTGTGGAGTGGGTGGGTGAGGGTGTTGTTCCAGTTGCATCTGGGCTGCTGTGGACTATTGTTGATTCCTCACTACGGCCCAAGCTTGTGGAGCTGACAGAAAAGTGAGTTGTTGGAGTTGAGCTCGGGCTGCTATGGTAGGATGTAGATACATCAACAAAGGCTGATGTGGTAGTAGGAGGTGCAGGCGTAGTGTCATTTGAGCTTGACCAGCTCAGCAAGGTGGTAGCTTCTCCATGACGGGTTGTAGAGCCGATAGGGGACAGTGTTGTGTGTGGTGAGCCAGTTCTGCTGTAGACGGGCGTAGATGCTTCAACGAGGCCTGAGGTTGTGGTGTTGTCAGGGAAGAGTGTGATGTGAGGGAAGCCTGGGCTGCTATGGAAGGTTTTGGATTCTTGACCAAGAGATGATGCTGTGGTACTGCCAGGGGACAGTGTTGTGTCAGTTGAGCCTGGGCTGCTGTGGGAAGTTGTAGATTCCTGTGGTAGGGTGCTGCTGTCAGGGAACGCCGTTGTGTGCGTTGACCCTGGTCGGCTGAGGGAGGTGGTGGATTCTTGACTGACACCTGAGCTTCTCGTGCTGCCAGGTGAGGGTGTTGTGTCTGGTGACCTGGGTCTACTGTGGAAAGTGGTCGATTTCTCACTGAGGCCTGGTGTTGTGGTACTGTTGGGTAATATTGTCGTTTCCACTGAGCCTGAACTCATGGGTGAGGTTGTAGATTCTCCAACAATAGCTGAGACCGTGGAGCGGGTAGGTAAGAATGTGGTTTCCATTGTGTCTGGGCTGCTGTGGGATGCTGTTGATTCCTTACTATGGCCTGAGGTTGTGGAGCTGTCAGGGAAGTGTGTTGTTACAGTTGAGCCCGGGCTGCTGTCGGCGTTAGTAGATTCTTCAACAAGGGTAGGTGTGGTGCTGGGAGGTGAAGGTGCTGTGTGAATTGATCCTGGGGGGGTTTGGAAGGTAGTAAATTCTCCCTGAGGGCCTGGGCTTGTGGAGCTGACAGGGGACAGTGTTGTGTGTCGTGATCCAGTGGTGCTGTGGATGGGAGTGGATGCTTCATCAAGGCCTGAGGTTGTAGTGTTTTTAGGTGAGACTGTGGTTTCAGTCGAGCGTGGGCTGCTGTGGAAGGTTGTGGATTCTTGACCAAGGGATGATGCTGTGGTCCTGCTGGGGAACAGTGTTGTGTCAGTTGAGCCTGGGCTGCTGTAGGAAGTTGTAGATTCCTGACTGAAGCCTCGTATGGTAGTGCTGTCAGAGAACGCCGTTGTGTGTGTTGACCCTGGTCGGCTGAGGGAGGTGGTGGATTCTTGACTGACACCTGAGCTTTTCGTGCTGGCAGGTAAGCGTGTTGTGTCTGGTGATCTGGGGCTACTGTGGAAAGTGGTCGATTTCTCACTGAGGCCTGGTGTTGTGGTACTGTCGGGTAATATTGTTGTTTCCACTGAGCCTGAACTCATGGGTGAGGTTGTAGATTCTCCAGCAATAGCTGAGACCGTGGAGCGGGTAGGTAAGAATGTGGTTTCCATTGTGTCTGGGCTGCTGTGGGATGCTGTTGATTCCTTACTATGGCCTGAGGTTGTGGAGCTGTCAGGGAAGTGTGTTGTTACAGTTGAGCCCGGGCTGCTGTCGGCGGTAGTAGATTCTTCAACAAGGGTAGGTGTGGTGCTGGGAGGTGAAGGTGCTGTGTGAATTGATCCTGGGGGGGTTTGGAAGGTAGTAAATTCTCCCTGAGGGCCTGGGCTTGTGGAGCTGACAGGGGACAGTGTTGTGTGTCGTGATCCAGTGGTGCTGTGGATGGGAGTGGATGCTTCATCAAGGCCTGAGGTTGTAGTGTTTTTAGGTGAGACTGTGGTTTCAGTCGAGCGTGGGCTGCTGTGGAAGGTTGTGGATTCTTGACCAAGGGATGATGCTGTGGTCCTGCTGGGGAACAGTGTTGTGTCAGTTGAGCCTGGGCTGCTGTAGGAAGTTGTAGATTCCTGACTGAAGCCTCGTATGGTAGTGCTGTCAGAGAACGCCGTTGTGTGTGTTGACCCTGGTCGGCTGAGGGAGGTGGTGGATTCTTGACTGACACCTGAGCTTTTCGTGCTGGCAGGTAAGCGTGTTGTGTCTGGTGATCTGGGGCTACTGTGGAAAGTGGTCGATTTCTCACTGAGGCCTGGTGTTGTGGTACTGTCGGGTAATATTGTTGTTTCCACTGAGCCTGAACTCATGGGTGAGGTTGTAGATTCTCCAACAAGAACTGAGACTGTGGTGCGCGTGGGTAAGAATGTGTTTTGCATTGTGTCTGGGCTGCTGTGGGATGCTGTTGATTCCTCACTATGGCCTGAGGTTGTGGAGCTGTCAGGGTAGTGTGTTGTTGCAGTTGAGCCCGGGCTGCTGTCGGCGTTAGTAGATTCTTCAAGAAGGGTAGTTGTGGTGCTAGGAGGTGAAGGTGCTGTGTGAGTTGAGCCTGGATGGGTCTGGAAGGTGGTAAATTCTCCCTGAACGTCTCCCTGAGGGCTTGTGGAGCTGGCAGGGGACAGTGTTGTGTGTCGTGAGCCAGTGCTGCTGTGGATGGGTGTAGATGCTTCGTTGAGGCCTGAGGTTGTGGTGTTTTCATGTGAGACTGTGGTTTCAGTGGAGCCTGGGCTGCTGTGGAAAGTTGTTAAATCTTGATCAAGGGATGACGTTGTGGTACTGCCAGGGGACAGTGCTGTGTCTGTTGAACTTTGACTGCTGTGGGAAGTTGTAGGTTCCTGACTGAGGCCTGGTATGGTGGTGCTGTCAGGGAACGCTTTTGTGTGCTTTGAGCCTGGTTGACTAAGGGATGTGCTGGATTCTTCACTGACGCCTGAGCTTGTTGTGGTTGCAGGTGAGAGTGTTGCATCTGGTGATCTGGGGCTAGTGTAGAAGGTGGTAGATTTCTCACTGAGGCTTGGTGATGTGGTAATGCCAGGTAAAGTTGTTGTATCAGTTGAGGTTGGACTCATGGGTGAGGTTGTAGATTGTCCAACAAGGGCTGAGGTTGTAGAGCGGGCAGGTGAGAGTGTTGTTCCACTTGAGCTTGAGCTCCTGGGGAAGGTTCTTGGTTCCTCACTGAGGTCTGTGATTGTGAGAGTGGCAGGTAACACCGTTTGCGTGGAGACAAGGCTGCCGGGGATTGCTGTGGATTCCTGAGTAAGTCCCAAGGTGGTGGTGACCTCAGTGAACAGTGTTGTGTGAGTTGAGGCTAGCCGGTTGTGGAAGGTTGTGGATTCTTCTCCACTAATTGAGGTTGTGCTGCTGTCAGGGGACACTGTGGTTTCAGTTGAGCCTGGGCTGCTGTAGATGGTGGTAGATTCCTCACTGAGGCCTGGTGTGGTGGTGCTGGCCGGTGACACTGTTGAGTGAGTTGAGCCCGGTTGGCTATGGGAGGTGGTGGATTCTTCACCGATGCCTAGGCTTGTCATGCTGGCAGGTGAGAATGTTGTGGTCAGTGATCTGGGGCTACTGTGTAAGGTGGTAGATGTCTCACTGTGGCCTGTTGTTGTGGTACTGCCAGGTAACATTTTTATTTCAGTTGTGCCTGAACTGATTGGTGAGATTGTAGATTCTCCACGACCTGAGGCTGTGGAATGGGTGGGTGAGGGTGTTGTTCCAGTTGCATCTGGGCTGTTGTGGACTATTGTTGATTCCTCACTTTGGCCCAAGCTTGTGGAGCTGAGAGAAAAGTGAGTTGTTGTCGTTGAGCTCGGGCTGCTTTGGTAGGCTGTAGATACATTAACAAATGTTGATGTGGTAGAAGGCGGTGCAGGTGTAGTGTCATTTGAGCCTGACCAGCTGGCAAGTGTGGTAGCTCCCCCCTGATGGGTTGTAGACCTGACAGAGGACAGTGTTGTGTGTGTTGAGCCAGTCCTGCTGTGGACAGGTGTAGATGCTTCAACGAGGCCTGAGGTTGTGGTGTTGTCAGGAAAAAGTGTGGTGTGAGTGGAGCCTGGGCTGCTGTGGAAGATTGTGGATTCTTGACCAAGGGATGATGCTGTGGTACTGCCAGGGAACAATGTTGTGTTTCTTGAGCCTGGGCTGCTGTGGGAAATTGTAGATTCCTGACTGAGGCCTAGTATGGTGGTGCTTTCAGGGAACACCGTTGTGTGCATTGACCCTGGTTGGCTGAGGGAGGTGGTGGATTCTTCACTGACACCTGAGCTTCTCCTACTGCCAGGTGAGAGTGTTGTGTTTGATGATCTGGGGCTACTGTGGAAAGTGGTCGATGTCTCACTGAGGCCTACTATTGTGTTACTGCTGGGTAACATTGTTGTTTCCACTGAGCCTGAACTGATGGGTGAGGTTGTAGATTCTCCAACAAGAACTGAGACCGTGGAGCGGGTGGGTAAGAATGTGGTTTCCATTGCATCTGGGCTGTTGTGGGATGCTGTTGATTCCTCACTATGGCCTGAGGTTGTGAAGCTGTCAGGGAAGTGTGTTGTTGCAGTTGAGCCCGGGCTGCTGTTGGCGGTAGTAGATTCTTCAACAAGTGTAGTTGTGGTGCTAGGAGGTGAAGGTGCTGTGTGAGTTGAACCTGGGTGGTTCTGGAAGGTGGTAGATTCTCCCTGAAGGCCTCCCTGAGGGCTTGTGGAGCTGGCAGGGGACAGTGTTGTGTGTCGTGAGCCAGTGCTTCTGTGGATGGGTGTAGATGCTTCATCGAGGCCTGAGGTTGTGGTGTTTTCAGTTGAGACTGTGGTTTCAGTGGAGCCTGGGCTGCTGGGGAAGGTTGTAAAATCTTGATCAAGGGATGAGGCTGTGGTACTGCCAGGGGACAGTGCTGTGTCTGTTGAACTTTGGCTGCTGTGGGAAGTTGTAGGTTCCTGACTGAGGCCTGACATGGTGGTGCTGTCGGGGAAGGCTGTTGTGTGCTTTAAGCCTGGTTGACTAAGGGATGTGCTGGATTCTTCACTGACGCCTGAGCTTGTTGTGGTTGCAGGTGAGAGTGTTGCATCTGGTGACCTGAGGCTAGCGTAGAAGGTGGTAGATTTCTCACTGAGGCTTGGTGATGTGGTAATGCCAGATAAAGTTGTTGTTGTATCAGTTGAGGTTGGACTCATGGGTGAGATTGTAGATTGTCCAACAAGGCCTGAGGTTGTGGAGCGGGCAGGTGGGAGGGTTGTTGCACTTGAGCCTGAGGTGCTGAGGAAGGTTGTTGTTTCCTCACCGAGGTCTGTGGTTGTGAGGGTGGCAGGTAACACTGTTTGGGTGGAGACAAGGCTGCCGGGGAAGGCTGTAGATTTCGCAGTGTGTCCCAAGGTGGTGGTGACCTCAGTGAACAGTGTTGCGTGAGTTGAGGCTGGCAGGCTGTGGAAGGTTGTGGATTCTTCCCCACGAATTGAGGTCATGCTGCTGCGAGGGGACACTGTGGTTTCAGTTGAGCCTGGGCTACTGTAGATGGTGGTAGATTCCTCACTGAGGCCTGGCATGGTGGTGCTGGCCGGAGACACTGTTGAGTGAGTTGAGCCCGGTTGGCTATGGGAGGTGGTGGATTCTTCACTGACGCCTAGGCTTGTCATGCTGGTATGTGAGAGTGTTGTGGTCGGTGATCTGGGGCTACTGTGGAAGGTGGTAGATGTCTCACTGAGGCCTGTTGTTGTGGTACTGCCAGGTAATGTTGTTATTTCAGCTGCGACTGGACTGATCGGTGAGATTGTAGATTCTCCACGACCTGAGGCTGTGGAGTGGGCAGGTGAGGGTGTTGTTCCAGTTGCATCTGGGCTGCTGTGGACTATTGTTGATTCCTCACTACGGCCCAAGCTTGTGGAGCCTCGAGAAAAGTGGATTGTTGGAGTTGAGCTCGGGCTGCTTTGGTAGGATGTAGATACATCAACAAAGGCTGATGTGGTAGTAGGAGGTGTAGGCGTAGTGTCATTTGAGCTTGACCAGCTCATGAGGGTGGTAGGTTCCCCCTGATGGGTTGTAGATCGGACAGAGGACAGTGTTTTGTATGGTGAACCAGTGCTGCTGTGGACGGGTGTAGATGCTTCAAGGAGGCCTGAGGTTGTGGAGTTGTCAGGGAAGAGTGTGGTATGAGTGGAGCCTGGGCTGCTGTGGAAGGTTGTGGATTCTTGACCAAGGGATGATGCTGTGGTCCTGCCAGGGAACAGTGTTGTGTCTGTTGAGCCTGGGCTGCTGTGGGAAGTTGTCGATTTCTGACTGTGGCCTGGTATGGTGGTGCTGTCAGGGAACGCCGTTGTGTGCGTTGACCCTGGTCGGCTGAGGGAGGTGGTGGATTCTTCACTGACAGCTGAGCTTGTCGTGCTGGCAGGTGAGAGTGTTGTGTCTGGTGATCTGGGGCTACTGTGGAAAGTGGTCGTTTTGTCCCTGAGGCCTGGTGGTGTGGTACTGCTGGGTAACATTGTTGTTTCCACTGAGCCTGAACTGATGGGTGAGGTTGTAGATTCTCCAAGCAGAGCTGAGACCGTGGAGCGGTTGGGTAAGAATGTGGTTTCCATTGCGTCTGGGCTGCTGTGGGATGCTGTTGATTCCTCACTATGGCCTGAGGTTGTGGAGCTGTCAGGGAAGTGTTTTGTTGCAGGAGAGCCCAGGTTACTGTGGTAACTTGAAAATTCTTTAACAAGGGCAGATGTGGTTCTAGGAGGTGATGGTGTGTGAGTTGTGCTACTGTAGGAAGTTGTTGATTCTTCACTGCGTCCTGAGGTTGTAGTGCTTTCAGGGAAGAATGTTGTCTCCGTTGAGCCTGGGCTGCTGTGGGAAGTTGTTGATTTTTCACTGAGGCCTGATGTTGTGGTGCTGGCCAGTAACAGCGTTGTGTGCACTGAGTCTGGCATGCTGGGGATGGTTGTAGGCTTCTCACTGAGCCCTGAAGTTGTAGCACTGGCAGGTAACAGTGTTGTGTGCATTGAGCCTGGTCGTCTGTGGGATGTGGTGAGTTCTTCCCTGATGCCTGAGCTTGTCTTGCTGGCAGGGGAAAGTGTTGTGTCTGCTGCTCTGGGGCTACCGTAGATGGTGGTAGGTTTCTTACTGAGGCCTGGTGTTGTGGTACTGCCACTTAACATTGCTGTTTCCGTTGAGCCTGAACTGATGGGTGATACTGTGTATTCTCCAAGAACTGAGGTTGTGGAGCGGGTAGGTAAGAGTGTTGTTCCAGTTCCATCTGCACTGCTGTGGACTTTTGTTGATTCCTCACCATGGTCCAAGGTTTTTGAGCTGGCAGAAAATTGTGTTGTTGTAATTGAGGTCTGTCTGCTGTGGTAGGTTGTAGATACTTCAACAGGGGCTGATGTGGTGCTAGGATGTGAAGGTGTTGTGTCATTTGAGTTTGGCCAGCTCTGGAAAGTTCCAGATTCTTCCTGAAGGCCAGCGCTTGTGGAACTGGCAGGGGACAGTGTTGTGTGTGTTGAGCCAGTGCTGTTGTGGACGTGTTTAGATGTTTCAGTGATGCCTGAGCTTGTGGTGCTGTGAGGGAAGAGTGTTGTGTGACTGGAGCCTTGGCTGCTGTGGAAGGTTGTATATTTCGAGCCCTCTGAGATGGTGGCAGAGACAATGGGTTTTACAGTAGTAAATTTGGTTGATATCCCATAGCCACTAAAAGTGGTAAAAGAGTCACTTGAACTGGGTGTGGATGCAGAACTTGTATTATCTTCAATACTAGTGCTTTCTGTTGAGCCTGTGAGTTGAGAGAAACCAGAGAAAGTGCTATGATTTATGACTGTCTCCTACAGTAGCCCCAGATCACCAGACAGATGTGGTGCTAGTCAACTCTGACACATCCAGGCTGAAAGATACCTGGTCACCTCGTGATATTGAAGCTCAAGTCCCTCTTTCAGGGGCATAGGAAGGGTCGAGTAAACCTGTAGATTTGAAGAAATCTCACTGGTGGTGTAGACTAGCAGTCCCCAACCTTTTTGGCACCAGGAACCGATTTCATGGAAGACAATTTTTCCAAGGACTGGGACTGGGGGCTGTTGGGGGATGGTTCCAGGATGATTCAAGCACATTACATTTACCATTAGATTCTCATAAGGAGGGTGCATGCACAGTTCACAATAGGGTTAGAGCTCAGCTTTGCTGGCCCGTTGCTCACTTCTTGCTGTGAATCCTAGTTCCTAACAGGCCACGGACCTGTTCTGGCCTGGGGCCAGGGGGTTGGGGACCCCTCGTGTAGACCCTTGTGTCTTCTGTGGAATATAACCGTTTGGCTAGTGGGCAAGGTGTCACTAGATAATTTTCTGAGTCTTGACTGTAATTTGTAACTTGAATTTTTAGGGCCAGGTGCGGTGGCTTATGCCTGTAATCCCAACACTTTGGGAGGCCAAGACGGGTGGATCACTTGCGGTCAGGAGTTCGAGACCAGTTTGGCCAACAGAGTGAAATCCCATCTCTACTAAAAATACAAAAAAACTTGCCAGGTGTGGTGGTGCACACCTGTTATCCCAGCTACTTGGGAGGCTAGGGCACGAGAATCACTTGAACCCAGGAGGTGGAGGTTGCAGTGAGCTGAGATCATGACACTGCACTCCAGCCTGGTGACAGAGTGAGACATCGTCTCAAAAAAAAAGAAGAAGAAGAAGGAACTTGAATTGTTAGTAGTGTGGCTCTGGGTTTTGACATCTGTATAGTGGTGGAGAACTGTACTTATATGCCTCTGTCCAGTATTACCTGCTGTTTCCACCCTAGCCACACTGGGACATGTTCATCTATCAAGGTGCTCAGGCATCAACTCCAGCAGAAGGTTGTACTCCCACAAATGCCCCCACACACATTCCTTCTGTACCTCACATTCTGCGTTTTGGAGACCTTATATTGTCTGGCTTGCACATTGTACTTGTCCATTTTCACACTGCTGATAAAAACATACCCAAGGCCAGGTGTGGTGGTTCATGCCTGTAATCCTAGCACTTTGGGAGGCCGAGGTGGCAGATCACTTGAGGTCAGGAGTTCGAAACAAGCCTAGGCATCATTGTGAAACCCAGTCTCTACTAAAAGTACAAAAATTAGCCAGGTGTTGTGGCAGCCACCTGTAATCCCAGCTACTTGGGAGGCTGAGGCAGGAGAATCACTTGAACCTGGGAGGCAGAGGGTGCAGTGAGCTGAGATCGCACCACTGCTGTCCAGCCTGGGTGACAGAGCGAGACTCTGTCTCAAAAAACAGAAGAGGAAGAGGAAGAAGAAAGAAGAAGAAGAGGAAGAAGAAGGAGGAGGAGGAGGAAAGGAGGAAGGAGAGGAGGAGGAGGAAGAGAAGGAAGAAGAGTAGGAGGAGGAGGAGGAAGAGAAAGACATACCAGAGACTGGGTAATTTATACAGAACAAATGGTTTAATGAACTCACAGTTCCACATGGCTGGGGAGGCCTCACAATCATGGTGGAAGGTGAAAGGCACATCTTACATGGCAGCAGGCAAGAGAGAGGATGAGAGTCAAGTGAAGGGGGTTTCCCCTGATAAAACCATCAGATCTCGTGAGACTTACTTATTCATTACCACACGAACAGTATGAGGGAACCTGCCCCCATGATTCAATTGTCTCCCACTGGGTCCTTCCCACAACACATGGGAATTATGGGAGCTAAAATTCAAGATGAGATTTGGGTGGGGACACAGCCAAACCATACCACACATGATCTGACAAGTCTCTCTTCCTCATCCTTGACATCTGAGAGACCCCTTTGACCTCTAACTCTGTAGCTGCCAACCCAGGAAAAACAGAAGAGCTAAGGCAGTCACCCATTCCATGGACAATTCTCTCTGTCCTTTCTCTCCAGATGCATTACATACACAAGAGCTAGCCACCTCTATTAGGCCTTTCTTGCATTGCTATAAAGAAATACCTGAGCCTGGGTCATTTATAAAGAAAAGAGGTCTAATTGACTCACAGTTCTATAGGCCATACCAGAAGGATGGTGCTGATGTTTGCTTCTAGGGAGGTTTCAGGAAACTTCCAATCATGGCAGAAGGTGAAGGGAGAGCAGGCTGGTCACATGGCAAAAGCAGAAGCAAGAGAGAGGCAAAGGGTGTAGGGGAGGGACCACACACATTTCTTTTTTCTTTCTTTTTTCTTTCTTTTTTTTTTTTTTGAGACAGCCTGTCATCCAGTCTGGAGTGCATTGGCGCAATCTCGGCTCATTGCAAACTCCGGCTCCTGGGTTCAAGTGATTCTCCTGACTCAGCCTCCCGAGTAGCTGGGATTACAGGTGCCCACCACTGCACCTGACTAATTTTTGTATTTTTAGTAGAGACAGAGTTTCACCATGACGGCCAGGCAGATATCGAACTCCTGACCTCAAATGGTCTGCCCACCTTGGCCTCCCAAAGTGCTGGGATTGCAGGTGTGAGCCACCAAACCCAGCCAATGCCACATGCTTCTTTCCTTTTTTTTTTTTTAGATGTAGTTCCGCTCTTGTTGCCCAGGCTGGAGTGCAATGGCGCGATCTTGGCTCACCGCAACCTCTGCCTCCTGGGTTCAAGCGATTCTCCTGCCTCAGCCTCCCAAGTAGCTGGGATTACAGGCATGCACCACCATGCCCAGCTAATTTTGTATTTTTAGTAAAGACGGGTTTTCTCCATGTTGGTCAGGCTGGTCTCAAACTCCCGACCTCAGGTGATCTCCTTGCCTTGGCCTCCCAAAGTGCTGGGATTACAGGCGTGAGCCACTGTGCCCGGCCCACACACTTCTAAAAGACCAGATCTTGTGTGAACTCAGAATGAGAGCTCACTCATAACCAAGGGGATGGTCCAAGCCATTCAACAGGGATCTGCCCCCAATAATCCAAACACCTCCCACCGGGCCCCACCTGCAACACTGGGGATTACAACTCAACATGAGATTTGGATGAGGACAAATATTCAAGGGCTGTCATCACTTTTCTTGGAACACTGCCACATCTACCTGGTCATCCTGCAGCCCTCGTAGCCTGCCCAGGGAGCACCTCCTCCACCCTGGTTCAGGCCCACTCGAAGGGCTACAACTGTAAAAAAAAAAAAAAAAAAAATCATTAGCTAGTCTGGGTGCAGTGACTCACACCCGTAATCCCAGCACTTTGGGAGGCTGAGGCAGGCAAATCACTTGAGGTCGGGAGTCCAAGACCAGCCTGGCCAACACAGCAAAACCCCATCTCTACTAAAAATACAAAAATTAGCCAGTCATGATGGCATGTGCCTGCAATCCCAGCTACTTGGGAGGCTGAGACAGGAGGGTCTCTTGAACCAGGGAGGCAGAGGTTGCAGTGAGCCAAGATCGCACCATTGCACTCCAGCCTGGGTGACAGAGTGAGACTCCATCTCAAAAACAAAGCATTATCGGCCGGGCGCAGTGGCTCAAGCCTGTAATCCCAGCACTTTGGGAGGCCGAGACGGGCGGATCACGAGGTCAGGAGATCGAGACCATCCTGGCTAACACGGTGAAACCCCGTCTCTACTAAAAAAATACAAAAAAAAAACTAGCCGGGCGAGGTGGCGGGCGCCTGTAGTCCCAGCTACTCGGGAGGCTGAGGCAGGAGAATGGCGTAAACCCGGGAGGCGGAGCTTGCAGTGAGCTGAGATCCGGCCACTGCACTCCAGCTCGGGTGACAGAGCGAGACTCCGTCTCAAAAAACAAAAACAAAAAAAAAACAAAAAAAAAAAAACAAAGCATTATCTTGGCCCTGGGCTGGAGGAGCTACTGTATCTTCTCTGTGCTACTTAGAACATGTGACAGTACATGTAGAATTCCATTTTCCTATGTAAAACAGACATATAATTCCTGGCTTTCTTCATCCTGCCTATGAAATGAATCAGATTGTATATGCACAGAATCTGTGACAGTAGTGCCATCAGCTCAGGAGTTATTAGGAATTCTACAGAATGATGTATAAGGGACTTCCTTGAGAGGACAGGGTGTGTGGCCTTTTGTCCCATCTGTCAATCTCCAAGATGCCGGGAGCTGCATTCTTCTCACTTGTCTCAGGAAGGCCAACCTTGGCCCCTTGCAGAGGAGACAGTTCAGTCCACCAGAGCAGAGGAACTCTCCACCATCCCAGATGGCCCCAGTTTTACAGAGTCACGAAAGAGACACATAATCACAGGGAGAGGCTAGGAGCTGGACCAGGACGGAAGGCTGGGGTGGAGGGGTAGACAGAGCACTATCAAATCATTGATCAATGCAGTTCAGGTCAAAGGCAATAATGCCTAAGATTTTTTGGAATTCTAACTTCATGGAAAAGATTGAAAAGATGGCTTGGTGTTTGGGGGAGATTTTTGGGTTTTGTTGGCTTTTTTTTTTTTTTTTTCTTCCACAGGGTCTCACTCTGTTACCTAGGCTGGGGATTACAGTTCAACATGAGATCTGGGAAGGGATAAATATTCAAACTATATCACCATCCTACTTCTAGGCTGGAGTCACTGCAGCCCCAAACTCCCAGGCTGGAGTGATCCTCCTGCCTCGGCCTCCCAAATGGTTGGTGCTACAGGGGCGTGCCACCATGTGCCGCTAATTTTAAAAATTTGTTTTTTTAGAGATGGGGTTTTGCCATGTTGCCCAGGCCAGTCTCAAACTTCTGGCCTCAAGTGATTCTCCCACCTCGGCCTCCTAAAGTGCTGGGATTACAGGCTTGAGGCACACACCGGCCACGTGTTTGTTTTGAAGTCAGTGGACATTTGAGGTTTTGCCCGATCCTCTCATTTATGAGCTAGGTTTTGTCTAGTTCAACCTGATGGTAGTGGAAGGGCTGAGCTCCAGGGACTGCCAAGGTGGAGGTGGAGCATCCCTGAACCCTGAGTACGAGGGTCAGAGAGGATGGTGGGGCATAGGCAGGCACCAAAGTGGAGGGTGGCAGGGCTCAAAACAGGCTCACGAGGTGTTCCTTCCCATAGACTTCCTCCCTCACTTGAGCAAGGGACCCCTCTTCCCTTCTGGTCTCTGAGGTCACCTCCCCCACTCACCTCTTAGAAACCTCCTCTGTGTCTCACCCAGAGACCACCACAATCCTCAGCCACCCGACCTTTCTGCACCCACAGGAAAACTCAGCCCTCCAGCTGAAACCGCCTTTGCAAAATTATGACTGAGACAGTGAAAGACATCTCACTTAGCTGACTCCATCTTGCCTCTAACCTCCAAGCTGTCCTTGTTCATTCCTGGGAGTAGGCTGAACTAACTTGGGGAGCAACAAAGATGGTAACGGCCCTTTCCCAAAGCAGACTTTCTTCTTGCCTGGGGGCTAGATCGCCTTTGTAGGATTAACATAAGCTGTAAGATTAGAAATGATGGTTTAGGCGTCATGCAGCTGGAGGTTACTAGATTTTGGCCCTCCGTAAACTGCTCCCAGGACCAGTGCTTGAGATATTTTGGAGACTCTGCACTTGATACACCAGCTGGCACCACCCAGATCAATAAACTGGCCCATCTGATCTTGTGGCTGTCACCCAGGAACTGACTCAGCGCAGGAAGACAGCTTCGACTCCCTGTGATTTCATCTCTGACCAATCAACACTCCTGACTCACTGGCTCCCCCCACCCACCAAGTTATCCTTTAAAACTGCTCCCCTTGGCCAGGCACAATGGCTCCTGCTTGTAATCCCAGCACTTTGGGAGGCCCTCAATCACCTGAGGTCAGGAGTTTGAGACCAGTCTGGCAAACGTAGTGAAACATCATCTCTACTAAAAATACAAAAATTAGCCGGGCGTGGTGGTGGGTGCCTGTAATCCCAGCTACTCAGGAGGCTGAGGCAGGAGAATCACTTGAACCCGAGAGGCAAAGGCTGCAGTGAGCCGAGATCGTGAGCCACTGCACTCCAGCCTGGGCAACAGAGTGAGACTCCATCTCAAAAAAAAAAAAAAAAAAAGAGAGAGATCCTGTGGCCGGCAAAATGCAGACCAAACCAGTAAGGGGTAGCTCCTCAGGGCTAGGCATGTCCATCAGAGAGAAAAAGTATCTTTAACATAACCCTGTATGATAATCAGCTCATTACAGCTCACCTACATGGACTGCATATCATGCCTGTACTTAAGATTATGAGATGGAAGCGATATGCAAGCACACAAAGGCTAAAGTAACTAAGTGACACACCTATCAATCAAAAGGCAGATGCTGGCTAAAGACTAGGTGGCCTTGGGAAGAGAAGGAAAAAATAAATAAATAAATAAATAAATAAATAAAAAGATGCAAAGTGGTCAGGCATGGTGGCTCACACCTGTAATCCCAGCACTTTGGGAGGCTAAGGCAGGAGGATCACCTGAGGTCAGGAGTTAGAGGCCAGCCTGGCCAACATGGTGAAACCTTGTTTCTACTAAAAATATAAAAATTAGCCGAGTATGGTGGTGGGCGCCTGTAATCCCAGCTCCTTGGGAGGCTGAGGCAGGAGAATCGCTTGAACCCGGGAGGCAGAGATTGCAGTGATCCAAGATCACACCACTGCACTCTAGCCTGGGTGACAGAGCAAGACTCTGTCAAAAAAAAAAAGATGCAAAATACACCAAACTGATGCTGATCTCACCTCACAGAGATCAGTCCGCTCTCTCCTCTTTGAGAGTGTAACACTGTGTGTAACAAACTTTTGCTGCTTGCTTTGCTATTTGTATGTGTCACATCCAAATCTTTGTTTGGGACACCAAGAGCCTGGTGCCATCTGGTAACATTGAGATCAAAGGCAGATGTACCCCCTGCCCCTCACGGGGGCTCCTAGGCCCTCAGTACAACGAGGAGACAGCAGGGGCCCATATGAGGGCAACGCAGGACTCAATGCAGCAGGGCGGACTCTCCTGCCTCTCATCAAGGGAGGCTTCCAGGAGGAGGTGATACTTGACCTGTCATTTTTTCCTTCTTCTTTTAAAAATGGGAGTCTGTTGGGTTTACTCATAAATTTTACCGGAATTTTTAAGTTATAAAAGTAGAATGTGTCTGTTGTCACAAGTCAAACAATGAAAAAGCATGTAAAGGTAGTTTATGGTCATCTCCATAACTGACTCACGAGGTATGAACAGGGGTGGGGAGAGCTGGCGTTTATTGGGTACGGATCAGATTCCTGTACTCGCCCTATCACAAGACATATTAACTGGAACTCAGTGATTCTGTAACTTCCTAGGAATGTCTTTGCCCTTGTAGGCTGTGAACTCCGTGAGGATAAAGAACATTTCTGTCCTGTTCAGTTAGCCCTGTAGAGGCTCACAGAGACTTTCTCAGTGAATGAGTCAGTGAATGCTGGAAAGTCCAAAGCTTTCTCTTAGTTACCAAATATAAACATCACAACAACCCTGCAAGGTGGACATGGCTATTTCCTGTTTTTTGTTTTTTGTTTTTTTTTTTTTTTTGACAGAGTCTCGCTGTGTCACCCAGGCTGGAGTGCAGTGGCAGGATCTTGGCTCACTGCGACCTCCACCTCCCAGGTTCAAGCAATTATCCTGCCTCACCCTCCCAAGTTGTTAGGATTACAGGTGCCCGCCACCATACCTGGCTAATTTTTCTATTTTTAGTAGAGACACGATTTTGCCATGTTGGCAGGCTGGTCTTAAACTCCTGACCTCATGTGATTCACCCGCCTTGGCCTCCCAAACTGCTGGAATTACAGGTATAAGCCACCGCACCTGGCCACTATTTCTATTTTACATAGGAATCAAGGTTCTAAGGATAAATAATTTCCAAGGTCACTCAGCTAATAACATAGAATTCAAGCACATTCTAAAGATGGCTTTTGGCCAGGTACGGTGGGTCATACCTGTAATTCCAGCATTTTGGGAGGCCAAAGTGGAAAGATTAGTTGAGGCCAGGAGTTCAAGACCACCTGGGCAACATAGCAAGATCCTGTCTTTACAAAAAATAAATTTAAATATTAGCCCAGTGTGGTACATGCACCTGTAGTCAGTTCCAGGTACTCAGGAGGTTGAGGCAGGACAACTGCTTGAGCCCAGGAGCTCAAGGCTGCAGTGAGCTATGACTGCACCACTGCACTCCAGCTTGGGCAACACAGAAAGACCTTATCTCAAACAAAACAAAACAAAAAGGCCAGATGTGGCAGCTCATGCCTGTAATCCCAGCACTTTAGGAGGCCAAGGCAGAGGATTGCTTGAACCCAGGAGTTTGAGATCAGCCTGGGCAAAATAAGGAGACCCTGTCTCAACAAAAAATTAGCCAGACATGGTGCTGTGTCCCTGTAGTCTCAGCTACTTGGGAGGCTGAGGTGGGAGGATCACTGGAGTCCAGGAATTCTGGGTTGTACTGAGCTATAATTGGGTCACTGCGCTCCAGCTTGGGCAACAGAGAAAGACCTTATTTCTAAAAAAAAATAAAAGAAATAAAAGTGACTTTTACCTTTATCCCCCAAAAAGGGCTAGAGGAATAAAGAGGAGGAAGGGGAAGGTTTCAGGGCAGGAGAACAGCATGTGTGGGGTCCCAGAGGTGAGTAAAAGTCCTCACTGTGTGTTTGGGGTAAGGGAAGACACTAAGACAGAGGGAAGCTAGGAAAATGGACGTGAACCAGCCTAGAATGGGGTTTGGACTTGACTTAGTTCAGTAAAAAGCCATGATCCCAACTGTGCCTTAGAAGCAGGGCCCTGGAGGCCGGGTGCGGAGGCTCACACCTGTGATCCCAACACTCTGGGAGGCCGAGGTGGGCGGATCACCTGAAGTCAGGAGTTCAACACCAGCCTGGCCAACATGGTGAAACCTCGTCTCTACTAAAAATACAAAAATTAGCCGGGCGTGGTGGCGGGCACCTGTAGTCCCAGCTACTTGGGAGGCTGAGGCAGGAGAATCACTTGAACCCGGGAGGCAGAGGTTGCAGTGAGCTGAGATCATGCCACTGCACTCCAGTCTGGACAATATAGTGAGACTCTGTCTCAAAAAGAAAAGAAAAGAAAAAAACAGCTGTGCCCTGGAGACTGCAAGAAGGGGCTTGGAGGGACAGGGACCCAAAGAAGGCAGGGACACTCTGTGGAATGCAGGATACCGTTCTGAACATACCTGCTCTCTTTTGCCTTTGTTCCTGGATTCATACCATTTTCTCCGATTTGCTACCATTCAATTTGTCCTTAACCGCTCACATCTCCACAACAGTTGCCCTCACAGGTCACACCAACCTTGAGTTCTAAGTGACCAAATCCCCATCCATCTCATCCAGCTGCCCTTCCTCTTTCTGAAATCTCACAATCAGTTCCTAGGACACCCTCACCTCCTGACAGTCCTTCTCCCCGGCTTCTGCAGCCCTTGCCCGCTCACTAAGTGGGAGCACCAGGCTAAAAGCTTCGGCTCTGCCATCTCCATCATCCCCCGGGCTGGCAAACGCCACCAAGCCAAGTCTCTTCACTCGCTGCAGGAGGGACAAGGGAACCGTGCTCTGGGTGAAGAGATTCAGACCCCTCCCAGCCTGGGATTCTGGTGGCAACGGTGTCCCCAAAGGATGTAACGGAGCAGGTGGGGCATTCCTCCCCCAGGTCAACCTCCAGGGTCAGGGTGCTCCACAAGGAAGCTGGGCAAAGGAAAACGCAGCTTCTTCTCCAAAGAAACTCAAATAGCCAACAAGCCCAGGAGAAGGAAAAAGCATATAAATTTCACCAGGAAGCAAATAAATCTAAAACATAGCAAGATACAATTTCTTCTTCGTCTTCGTCTATCAAATTGCACCCGTCATGATGAGAGATGACTATAATAGCTGGTGGTGTACGGGTGTTTTCATGTGGTGTTGACTTGGCATCATAGTTCTAAAGGGTAATTTGAAAATATTCATCAGGGACCATTGGAAGAGTCATACCATTTTTCTTTTAGGAGTTGGCGTCTCACTGTAACCCAGGCTGGAGTGCAGTGGCACAACCTTAGATCACTGCAGCCTTGAACTCCTGGGCTCAAAAGATCCTCCCACCTCAGCCTCCAGAGTACCTGAGACCACAGGCCCCACCATACCCAGCTAATTTTTTTACATTTCGTAGAGATAGGATCTCACTATGTTGCCCAGGCTAGTCTCAACTCCCAGCCTCCAGTGATTGTCCCACCTCAGCCTCCCAAGGCACTGGAATTACAGGCATGAGTCACCACACCCAGCTGCTGATATCATTTTAACGATGCCATTTCTAGCTATTCATTCTCAATTAATCTGATGTAGATATAAAATAAAATTCATACAAGAATGTTTATTGCCTTGTTACTGATTATAGTAAAAAGCAGAGGTACACATGTCCAAGAATAGACAAATAGGGGACTGGTTATATGACTGTTGTATTCCATAGAATAGAATAGTAATCAGCCTTTAAAATACAAACCGTCCATAGAATAAATCTAAATACATAGAAATAAAATGTTAACAATGTTTATCTGAATGTTAAGGTTAAGGGGGTATTTTTTCAGGCTGGGCATGGTGGCTCACGCCTATAATCCCAGCACTTTGGGAGGCCGAAGCACCTGGATCACCTGAGGTCAGGAATTCAAGACCAGCCTGGCCAACATGGTGAAACCCTGTCTCTAACAAAATACAAAAATTAGCCGGGCACAGTGGCACATGCCTGTAGTCCCAGCTCCTCGGGAGGCTGAGGCAGGAGAATCACTTGAACCTGGGAGGCGGAGGTTGCCGTGAGCCGAGATCGCACCATTGCACTCCAGTCTAGGCAACACTCTGACTGAGACTCTGTCTCAGAAAAAAAAAAAGAAAGATTTTCCTCTTTGTGTTTGTCTATATTTTCTAAATGTTCCACGATGGATATGTTTTCATCTTATAATTTTTCTTTTGAGAGACAAGGTCTCTGGCTGGGCCCAGTGGCTCATGCCTGTAATCTCAGCACTTTGGGAGGCCAAGGCGGGCGGGATCATGAGGTCAAGAGATCAGGACCATCCTGGCCAACATGGTGAAACCCTATCTCTACTAAAAATACAAAAATTTAGCTGAGCGTGGTGGTGCGCACCTATAGTCCCAGCTACTCGGGAGGCTGAGGCAGGAGAATCTCTTGAACCTGGGAGGCGGAGGTTGCAGTGAGCAGAGATCGCACCACTGCACTCCAGTCTGGGCGACAGAGCAAGACTCGTCTCAAAAGCAAAACAAAACAACAACAACAACAAAAGAGAGAGGCAAGTTCTCAATGTGTCCCCCAGACTGGAACGCAGTGGTGCGATCCTAGCTCACTGCAGCCTCCAACTCCTGGGCTCAAGTGACCTTCCCTCCCTCCTGAGTAGCTGGGGTTACAGATGTACCACACCTCATTATATAATTTTTAAAACACAATAAATGTGTGTGAATATATAAATATGCATGTATATGTATATATAACATATTATTTTATTTTATTTTTATTTTTTTGAGACAGAGTCTTGCTCTGTCATCCAGGCTGGAGTGCAGTGGCGCAATCTCGGCTCATTGCAACCTCCGCCTCCCGGGTTCAAGCGATTCTCCTGCCTCAGCCTACCGAGTAGCTAGGACTACAGGCCCATGCCAGCATGCTCAGCTAAATTTTTGTATTTTTAGTAAAGATGGGGTTTCACCATGTTGGCCAGGATGGTCTCGATCTCTTGACCTCGTGATTTGCCTGCTTCGGCCTCCCAAAGTGCTGGGATTACAGGCATGAGCCACTGTGCCCTGCCTATATACATTTTTTTTTACTTTATTTTATTCTGTTTTATTTTATTTTATTATAGGTATGCCTTATGTCACCCCTTGGAGAACCTATGGAAAATCATTCACTGGTAACAATTTCCAAGCTGGGATTCCCCAGACCTTTGTAGTCAAAATGCTTAACAAAAATTGCCTATTTGCCTACACTGAAGCCACTGTTCATTAAAGATGCCAGCGCCCTCTCCTGCTAAGCAGGTAAAGTTTGGTAGCTTTTTTCCGTGCGAAAGTAATGACATGGTGTCTCATTAAATGAGTTGAGTCCTTTCTTGCTCATTTACAGTGTTTATTGCTTCTACATTCCACATGTATTTGGATTTTTCTTTAAAAAGATTAAGGCTGAGGGCAATGGCTCACACCTGTAATCCCAGCACTTTGGGAGGCTGAGGCAGGAGGTTTGCTTGAGGCCAAGAGTTCAAGACCAGCCTGGAAAACATAGCGAGACCGCCATCGGTACAAAAATTTTAAAAATTAGCTGGGCATGGTGGTGCACATCTGTAGTCCTGGCTACTTGAGAGGCTGAAGCAGAAGGCTCACTTGAGCTCAGGAGGTCAAGGTTGCAGTGAGCTATGATTGAGGCACTGCATTCCAGCCTGGGCAACAGAGAGAGACCCTGTCTCTAAAATAAAACAGATTATTACTTAATTAAGGCAGCTGGTTTTTCAGGCAAGTCTTTTGCATCGTGGCATTCTTGGGGACACACATTAGAAGGCTCTTCAAGGACAAGTCTGAGGACCATCACCAAGCTTTGAAACTGTCTCCTCCTGCCACCTCCAGGACATATTTCTGCTTGTGACAAAATCAGTCAATGAAGTCCCCAGTGGCAGCTCCCCTGAAGACGCAGTGGCAGTGTGGGGAGCCCCCATGGGGCGTGGAGGGAGGGTCCTTCCTGCATCTCCAAGTCCAACCTGTACACCACTGTGTGTCCTTGTGCAATCCAGAGAACCTCTCTGAATTTCCATTTCCCCCTGGAAAATGAGAGTAAATGATGCCTGTTCTGGCCACCCAGATCACTCTAGAATATTCTACAATGTTATGGGAGGCACTGGAATGAGCTGCGGTCCCCCAGTCCCGGGTGCACGTTCTGCTCTGCCACACAAGAGCTAGGTAGCCTGGGTCTATTCCTTTTCCATAAGGTCCTTGGCTCCTGGCAGAGTTGTGAAGGTTGAGGTAGAGCTGGGGCCACTCCAACCCCTGCACACACCAATGGCGGTGGATGGACTTCCTGGCTTCCTAGTGCCAGCAGACACTGTCACTGTTTCTTGAAAGCAAGAGCCACCAGTTGAGGCTAAAGCATGGTATGGTGCATTGAATAGGATCACCCCAAAATACATCCTCAAGTCCTAACTCCTGGTACCTGGGAATGCGAACTTCTTTGGAAATAGAGGCTTTCATGATGTCATTAAGTCAAGGATCTCAAGATCAGATTTAGGATGGGCCCTAAATTCAAATACTTGTCAGAGAAAAGAGAGAGAGGTGTGACATACAGGGAAGATGCCCAGAGATGATGAGGCAGAGATTGGAGTGATGCTATCACAAGCCAAGAAACACCAGGAGTCACCAGGAGCTAGAAAAGGCTGGCTGGGCACCGTGGCTCACGCTTGTAATCCCAGCACTTTGAGAGGCCGAGGCCGGTGGATCGCTTGAGCCCAGGAGTTTGAGACCAGCCTGGGCAACATAGCAAGACCCCGCCTCTACAAGAAAAAAAATACAAAAATTAACCAGTCTCATAATCCAGCCTCTAAATAACGAGATAAACATTTTTTAAAAAGGAAGAAGCTGGCCAGACGCGGTGGCTCACACCTGTAATCCCAGCACTTCGGGAGGCCAAGGTGGGTGGATCACGAGGTCAGGAGTTTGAGACCAGTCTGACCTACATGGTGAAACCCCGTCTCTACTAAAAATACAAAACTTAGCCAGGCGTGGTGGCATGTGCCTGTAATCTCAGCTACTTGGGAGGCTGAGGCAGGAGAATTGCTTGAACCGGGTGGCGGAGGTTGCAGTGAGGCAAGATCGCACCACTGCACTCCAGCCTGGGCAACAGAAAGACACTCTGTCTCAAAAAAAAAAAAAAAAAAAAAAAAAAAAAAGAGCTAGAAAAGGCAAGAAGAGATCTTCCCCTAGAGTGGCTGAAGGGAATGTGGCACTCATGATAACCTTGACTTCAAGCTTCTAGCCTCCACAACTGTAAGAGAATAAATTTATGTTGCTTGAAGCCACCAAGTAGTGTTTGTTAATTTGTTGTGGCAGACCTAGGGAAGGCATACACACAGGCATCCCCAATTACAGCAAGCGGCAAAGAATGGGGACCCTGGAGCTGGAAGGCTTAGGTTCAAATCCTGGCTCCTCCAACTGATGAGTGGGTGGCATTGAGCAATTTCTTTTCTTTTCTTTCTTTCTTTTTTTTTTTTTTTTTTTTTTTTTTTTGAGATAGAGTCTTGGTCTGTCGCCCAGGCTGGGGCATAGTATCACGATCTCAGCTCACTGCAACCTCTGCCTCCAGGGTTCAAGTGATTCTCCTGCCTCAGCCTCCTAAGTAACTGGGATTACACGAACCTGCCACCATGCCCAGTTAATTTTTGTATTTTTCGTAGAGACGGGGTTTCACCATGTTGGCCAGGCTGGTCTCGAACTCCTGACCACACATGATCTGCCTGCCTTGGCCTCCTAAAGTGTTGAGATTACAGGTGTGAGACACCGTGTCCCACCGAGCAAATTATTTACCATCTCTGCACCTGTTTCCCCATGTATAAAAACCCAAAATCAGTAACACATCCTTCTTCTTAGAAATGTTGTGAAAGTTAAATGAGATAATATTTAGAAAAGTGTCCAGCACATAGCGAACCCTCAATGAATATCTGCAATTTTTACTACATATATTTTTTATTTTTAAAGAGGTAATGTCTTGCTCTGTCACCCAGGCTGGGGTGCAGTGGTGCGATCCTAGCTCACTGCAGCCTGGAATTGCTAGATTCATGAGATCCTCTCCTCTCAGCCTCCTGAGCAGCTAGGACTACAGAGACACACCACCACACCCAGCTAATCTTTTATTTAAAAATATTTTTGGCCAGGCTAGTCTTGAACTCCTGCCCTCAAGCAATCCTCCCACCTCAGTCTCCCAAAGTGCTGGGATTACAGGCAAGATTGAGCCACCATGCCTGGCCCATTTTTAATATTACTATGATACTCAGACTATCAGGTCTCTATTGACTTCTCCAACTGGGGTGTGGGGGTCTCTGGGCCTTCCCACACCCCAATGAGCTGTGGGTGACCCCAGCTCATCCCAGTGCCACCCAAGATTTGATCTTCTCCAGGGAATCTGATTACCAATATCCCAATTCTCTCCCTAGCTCCGTGTAAGTTGAGATAATGCGGTTCTGAATTTGTCTAAGGCCTTTGAGCATCTGTTAATATAATACTTCCTTCCTGTACTACTTCTCAACCGCCACCAAACTCAAACGCTGCCTCTCCCTCTCCCCGTACCCTCATCAGCCCAGATGGAAGGCCCCCAGAGGTCCCCTCTGTGCCCCTCCAGCCCCGGGCCCCCTCTCGTAGCTCCAGCAGCAGACTGGGCTGTGGCCGTTTCTGCCCCAATCCCATCTCATTAACTCTCCTATAAACTGTTTATTCCCCCTGCCTCCTCCAGAGCACCTGCCCAGGCAGAGCCAGCCTTTGGTGTTTGCTGAATGAGTAAGTTTATTACTCTTTGTATAAAACAGAACTCCTTGTAATATTTTACATCACTTGAGTTTCAAAGGTTGCCCCTTTGTCTATTGTGAACAAATTTGTTCTCACCTCCACCACTCTCTTCCCAATTTTATGGATGTTAACCATTTCCACTCCCAGCTTCACCTTTCTAAGCTAAAGAGTGTTGACCCCTTCAGACCCCTGCCCCTGCCCCTCCGGGGCAGACACTTGGTCCCTCTCCCCTAGCCCATCCCCACCCCAACCCTTACTAGGAACACTTTGGAACTTCATGTACAGAAAACAGGATACTGGTTCCAGTCATCATGTGGATCCCTGGCATTTTTCTGGCATTTTCTGGCTTTTGTGTCCTCTGCAGCAGTTGGAGAAGGTAGAGTTCTAGACTGTGTCCCTATTCCAGGAGCCCCAGGCCACCAAGACAGCTTCTCCAAGAAACCCCACGGTCACCCCACACTCAACAGGCCCAACTGGAGACCCTTGTCTTCCACCAAAGAGAGGCTCCTTCCTCCCGGTCAATACAGCCTCCTGGACCGTCCATCTCCTATTCCAGGGTGGCTCTTGGTGCCTCTCGAGAGGCCTCTTTCAAATAAAGATGGTAGAAATATAAACCATAATATCAGAGATAAAGAGTTCTTTTCTGATTTTTAAATTTATTATTATTATTATTATTTGAGACAAAGTCTCTCTATGTTGCCCAGGCTGGAATGCAGTGGCAAAATCACAGCTCACTGCAGCCTTGACCTCCTGGGCTCAAGCATTCTTATCTCAGCCTCCCAAGTAGCTGGGACTACAGGCGCACATCACCACACCCAGCTAATTTTTTTCTGGTATTTTTTGTAGAGACGGGGTCTCGCTATGTTGCCCAGGCTGGCCTCAAACTCCTGAGCTCAAGCAATCCTCCCACCTCAGCCTCCTAAAGTGCTGAGATTACAGGTGTGACCCACTGAACCTGGCCAAAGACTTCTTTTCAACAGGATGATCAGCAGATAAGACACAGTAGAGGAAAGAATTAGTGAAGATAAATCAATAAAAACTGAAAATAAGTCAGTTTTTATCTTCCTTCAATTGATAAGTCAGTAAAAATTACCCAAACTGAAACACAGAAAGGGGTAGTAGGGATGTGTGCAGAACAGTATCCAATAGCTGTAGTCCAATATGGCATGGCCTAACATACGTCTCATTGTAGTCTCAGAAGGAGAAGAGAGAGAGAACAGGGCAGGAGAAATACTTGAAGACAATAATCACTAAGAATTTCCAAAAATAAATGAAGGGCCACAAACCACAGACATTGTAGTCAGAGTCAAATTCCTGAAAACCAAAGATAAAGAGAGGAAAGCTTTTTCTGAGACAGGGCCTCACTCTGTCACACAGGCTGAAGTGCAATGGTGCAATCACAGCTCACTGCAGTCTCAAATTCCTGGACTCAAGAGATCCTCTCACCTCAGCCTCCCAAGTAGCTAAGACTATAGGCATGCACCACTATGACTGGCTTTTTTTTTTTTTTTTTAAGAGATTGGGTCTCCCTGTGTTGCCCAAGCTAGTCTCGAAGTCCTGGGCTTAAGGGTTCCTCCTGCCTTGGCCTCCCAAAGTGCTGTGATTACAGGCATGGGCCACCACACCCAGCCTAATTTTTTTTTTTAAGAGATGGGGTGTCACTATGTTGCCCAGGCTGGGGCCTCCCAAAGCACTGGGATTATAGGCATGAACCACTGCACCCAGCTGATGAAGAGAAAATTCTGAAGGCAGCCTGTCTTAGTCTTCTTGGGCTGCCATAGCAAATACCACTGACTGGGTGGCTTAAACAATAGAAATTGGCCAGGTGTGGTGGCTCATGCCTGTAGTTCCTGCACTTTAGGAAGTTGAGGTGGGAGGATGGTTTGAGCCCAGGAGTTCAAGACCAGCCTGGGCAACAAAGCAAGACCCCCATCGCTTAAAATAAAATTTAAAAAAAAAAGGAAAGAAAGATTTATTTCTCACAGTTCTGGACGCTGCAAAGTTCAAGACCAAGGTGCCAGCTGATTTAGTTCATAGTGAGCACTCACATTTTCCTACCTCAGCCTGTAGCAGGGGCTGGGGCAATGGCACTGGACCCATCCTAGAAGCCCTCCCCTAAGACCCAGGCTTCCAGGACAGCTCCACTCAGAAACTTCACCATCACCCCAAACTCCATAGCCCCAACTGGAGACCTTTGTCATCCAGCAGAAAAAGGCTCCTCTCCCAGTTAACACAGCCTCCTAGACTATCTGTCTCAGTGTCCTCCAGCCAACCATCAAGTGGAGCCCCCATTTCCAGGGGAATTGGGTTCCCAGCTGGGCCTTCATATCCTCCTCCCAGGACGGCTTTGGGTGCCTCTCGATGGCCTCTCTGATGCTGGTCTGCCCTACAGAGGCATCCCCAGCCCTACTTAGTCCCAGAGGTTCCTGTGATGTCTAAACATCTCAGCTTGGTCTTAGTGCTCCTGTCATCCACAAATGCACCAGCACCACCACACTCTCCCCAGCAAACATCACGCTTGATCCAGCACATGCCCCCTCGTCTTTCAGGGCATTCCTACGCTGCAGCTCCCCTGCAGAGCTGTGGAAATGATTTTTCTACTTTCTCAGAGTGCTCTTCCCTCACTCGACTGCTTCTCCAAAACCTCACCAGTCCAGAGTGTGCCCGGGAGTACCCAGAAGAGGGTGCAGAGAGTAGGAAGAAAAGTTACAGATGCTGGGCCAGGTGCAGCGGCCCACACCTGTCATCCCAGCACTTTGGGAGTTCAGGGAGGGCAGATCACTGGAAGCCAGGAGCTCAAGACCAGCCTGGCCAACATGGTGAAGCCCTGTCTCTACCAAACACACACAAAAAAATTAGCTGGGCTTGTTGGCACACACCTGTAGTCCCAGCTACTCCAGAGGCTGAGGCAGGAGAATCTCTTGAACCCTTGAGACAGAGGCTGCAGTTAGCCGAGATTGTGTCACTGCACTCCAGCCTGGGTGACAGAGGAGATTGTCAAAAAAAAAAAAAAAAAAAAAACTACAGATGCCACTGGTAGTCTCTGATCTGACATCTGAACTGCTTGCCAAGGACCCAGAATCCATTCCTAGAGAACTGGATGGTTTGCAGAGAACTGGGTTCCTCTAGAGGGGAAGAGGGGCGCTAGTGGAGAGAACTGGGATCCTCTAGGGGAGGAGAGGCGCAGGGCGCAAATCCACTATAAAGTGGTCGCCGTGTTCATTATTTGATATGTGGCCCCAGGAAAATCACTCATCCTCTCTCTGAGCCTCCATATCCTCATCTACCCTGACTTCCTTACACAGATCTCCTCATGAGAATCATACGAGCTACCTGCTGGGAAATGGCTTTGTGAACAGCAAAAGCCTCTGCAAGAGGAGGGCAGGGGTCTCTGCCTCCATCTCTGGATCTAATCAGACCTTCCGGAGCCCTCCGGAGTGGTCCTACTTGCGTGGCCTCACTCCCTCCTGCTTTCTGCACTGGCCATAGATAGATGGTTTTCTGACTGTTTTACACACGAAGGGGTTCACCTGTGTTATCTTTGCCACACAATTATAAGCACCTCAGGGACAGGGGCTTTGGTTCCTTGGGGGTTGTCTCTAACACTCGGCTGGGTACACCGAGGCAATGCCACCTGCTGACTCCTGGGGCCTTCATCATCGCTGCCATCACCTCCATCACCCTCTCCTTGAATAATCTGACCAGAGAAATCGCAGGATCAGTCAGGCCAGGCCTGGGAAGGAGAGATGGAAAGGACCCCTCCTAAGATCCATCCCAGCCCACAGCTTCCCACTCCTGTATATTACCTTAAAGGGAATCTATGTGTTATTAACAAACTCTCATAATGTTCCCAAATCCACAGAGTTCATCACTCCAGCCCTTGAAACTCTCCCATCAGCTCCTCCTCTTCTGTACCTCTCTCCCAACATGTCCTGGGAGGGTAAAGGAGGAATCATCTATCAAGGCTTGGCAGACAGAGGCAGCCTCGGAGGGCCTGAGTCACTGGCTAGGAGGATGGTGGAACTTCCCTGGTAGGTTACTTCGAAGGTGTCCTGCAGGGCTACAGAGACCCCCACCCCAGCTCCCCCGCCCCCTCACCACCCCTTCTGCCCACCCCACAGCCTTCAACTCAAGGTCTCCCTCTGCCGCCTCTCCTCATCCCTGTCCACCCTTGCCAGGAAGGAATCAGAAAGTCTGTTCTGTATGAGAGAAATTATCGGGTAACCAGTCATCTCTCAAACATAGCCACGACCAGGCTGAGCAAGGATCCCCCAGCCTCTGTCTCCTCCCGCAGCCCCTCAGCCACTTGGTTGCTGTTGTTGTTGTTTGTTTGTTTGAGAGAGTCTCACTCTGTCGCCAGGCTGGAGTGCAGTGGTGCAATCTCGGCTCACTGCAACCTCTTCCTCCAGGGTTCAAGTGATTCTCCTGCCTCAGCTTCCCGAGTAGCTGGGACTACAGGCGTGTGCCACCACACCCAGCTGATTTTTATATTTTTGGTAGAGTTGGGGTTTCACCATGTTGGCCAGGATGGTCTCAATTTCCTGACCTCGTGATGCGCCTGTCTCAGCATCCCAAAGTGCTGGCATTGCAGGCGTGAGCCACCGCAACTGGCAGCCATTTTTATTTTCTTTCTTTCTTTCTTTCTTTCTTTTTCTTTCTTTCTTTCTTTCTTTCTTTCTTTCTTTCTTTCTTTCTTTCTTTCTTTCTTTCTTTCTTTCTTTCTTTTTTTTTTGACAGTGTTTCACTCTTAAACACTGGAGTGCAGTGGCACAATCTTGCCTCACTGCAAACTCCACCTCCCAAGTTCCAGTGATTCTCCTGCCTCAGCCTCCCAAGTAGCTGGGATTACGGGTGCGACCCACCATGCCTGGTTAATTTTTATATTTTTAATGGAGACGGGGTTTCACCATGTTAGCCATGCTGGACTCAAACTCCCAACTTCAGGTGATCCACCCACCTGGACCTCCCAAAGTGCTGGGATTACAGGCATGAGCCACCACACCTGGCCCCGTCAGCCATTTCTAACTGGAGGGGATTCCCCGGGTGCACCTGAGGCTGCTCCAAGTCAAGAGAGGACACTGTCAGACAGCCCTCTGGATTCCCTCTCTCCCGACCAGGGCTAGCAGCATGTGCAGTGCCCCTGTGAGGCTTGGAAAGACCCATTCCTCCAGCAGATAAAGCCCCCAGGAGGAGGGTGGGCAGAGCCCACTGTCTGTGACAAAACCCCCTTATCCTCCGGGGGGAGCCTGGAGGGCAGAAGCTGTGGATTTCAGCCACCCCACGGCCAGGGGCTGTGTGCAGACCATCCCCTGCACACCACAGGCACCCACAGGTCTCCACAGTGACCCCTTCAGCAGCCCCAAGGCAAGATGAGGTCACAGCACGGGTCTCCAGCCCTGTGGCAGCCCCTTGCCATGCAAAGGGGAGGAGGCCACCTGCAGTCCTGCTGCCTGAGGCAGGGACGTGTACTATGACCACCCAGGAGCACTGGACCCGGAGCATCAGCCCAGGGGCACTCACCCTGTGTCAATGTAGCAGTAAAGGACACGCAGAGCCAGAGAGCCAGCGTCGGAATCCAGATCACCAGCATTTCCCGGGGAACGGGCCCCTGGCTGCCCGACTTCCCCTGTCAAGAGGGACCAAGAAATGAAAGCCTCCCAGGAAGGGATCAGCTATAAAAAGGACCTCAGAGAACTTTGCCTTGAAGAAGAGCAGTGCCTGTCCCAGGGCAGAGGTGAGGTGATGGCGTTGGGTGGGTGGCGCGTGGTGATCACAGGGAGTTGGACAAAAGGCAGCCTATCCACCCTCCTCCCTTATAAGTCCTGGAGCAGTGACCGCCCTGAGCCGGGGACCCTCTCTTTCAGCGGAAGTCAGAGCCACTGTGGGTGGGGCAGCGAAGGAGGGAGGGACAGAAGCTGGAGGTGTGAGCACACCACAGATGCCAAGAGGTGGGGGCCAAGAAGCGCCGGAGGGCGGGTGACCATGGAGGGAAGGGGCAGCCAGCAACAGGCCAGAGCAAGCTAAGGACCCCCCACTCCCATCCCCGAGAAGCCCCTCTCTCTTCCAGCCATCCCTCCCCATTCCCCGCCTCGACATGGTCCTTTCCAAATGTCCAGGGCTCTCCCTGGGGTCCCTAGCTTCCAGCATTTCTTCTGGGCGGGGTGCCCACTCACACCTGAGACTTTATGGTCCTGGTCTCCACCCCTGGCCAGACACAGAGGTGACGAAAGGCCATGGCCCGTCCCTGCCCAGGGCAAACATCACAGGGACCTCTCCCAAGCCCGCACCCAAAGACCCAAGGGGACATATTATTTCTGAACACCCTCGACTCCTCAGGCAGGCCTGACTGCCTGCAACAGCAGGAACAGAAGGGCCCTGTGCCAGCACAGACAGGCTCTGCTGTGTGCGTTTGCTATCAGGGTTTGGGAGCCTTGTGGGGAATCAAGATCTTTGGGGAGGCCCAGCTTTACATCCTTGTAAAGGGTGACTGGACCAGGCAGCCCTAGCCCCTGGACCACCCAACTCCCTGAACCAGCACCAGCGGTCTAATTGCTCCCTAAGCCCCCAGTGTCAAGGTCAGGGCAGTGGTGGGGGTGGGGAGAGCACAGATGACAAAGCCCAAGGGGCCCCTGCCCCGAGTCACTCCCAAACAAAATGGGTTCCCCCCAACCTCTGTGTTTTCTATGAGGAATGTCATGGCCTCTAAGAGCTGCCCACAGACCCCCTCCTTCCTCCCTGGAAGACACGGGTGCTCCCAGGATCCTCCTACAGCGCCGCCTCTGGAAATCCCTGTTCTCCAATCAGGTGGAGAGCACTGCGGGGTGAAAGGGAGACAGACACAGAGCAGCTTCTTTTACAATAAACTCTATACTGTGTTCACATGGAGACCTGCAGATGTGCCGACTTCCGGTCCCCGAAGCCGATCTTCGCTGCCAAGGAGATTGAGGATTTCAGGAGTCAGAGTTACCGCAGGAATCGAGGTGACACCAGCCAGAGAGGGGGGAGGAGGGGAAAAGGAGGGGATGGGTTTAAAAGGCAGTGGTGAGGTGAGAGGGGAGGGAGATTGAAGGGAGTGAGGAGGAGGGGGACTGAGGGGGCTGCCTTTCCTTGGGAACTGGGGAATTCATGCCCTGAACCCCCCAGGGGGCTCCAGGGGTGAGAGAAAGGGGTGGAGAATGGAGAATCGGGTAGGGGGGTGATGGGGGGAAACAGCAGTCAGGGTATTTAGGGCTGGGGGAGTAGAGGCAGAACCGATGAATGGACCGGCTCAGAAGGGGAGAAGATACAAGGAATGAGAACAAGAGAAATGGGGAATTGGGCAACGGGGTGATGGGGGGAACAGCAGCTGGGGTATCCTAAGACACAGAGGCTATCTATACCTTGCTAGGGACCAGGATGTGAGGAGAGGAGGGAGGATTTAGGGCTGGGGGACTGGGGGGCAGGATGCTTGAAGGAACGGTGTCAGAAGGAGAGGACATCTAAGGAATGAGAGCAAGAGACACAGCAGGGAGTTAGATCAGGAGAGGACAGGAGATGGGATGGGCTGCAGGCTGCCTCCAGGTTCAAAGTAAGAAACAGGCAGTAGGGAATTGAGAGAAAATAGGAACCAGGGCCGGAGACCAGGCGAAGGACATGAGGATTGGAGGATCCGAGAGAGGCAATGGCAACATGAGGGCTGAGACGGGAGGGCAGAGTAGGACCCAGAATTGACCAAGTCCATGTGGTTTACACAACAATGGTGTGAGATATCACACAGGAATGTTGTACCCATTTTGCAGGTGAGGAAACTGAGGCTCCTTACTGACTTGCCCAAGGTTCCGCAGTGGAAGAGCCTGCACCTGAACTGCATCTCCTGATGGGTTTCAGCCAAGTTGGAAAGACAAGGATGGGATTTGGGGGAACAGTTTCATTTTGCCCAAGAACAGCAGGAGCCTGAGCTGCCCACGTCCTGGGGCCACCACTTGAAATGGACGCAGTGCAGAGCCTTGTGTCCCGGGCAGGGCAGAGGCGATGGTGACGGGGCCCGCAGGGCTCACACTGAGGACGAGGTCATCTCGGGTCTCTTGATGTGCACCTGTCACAGAGTCACAGTGAGGGAAGGGAAGGCGGAGCCACTGGTTTGGGCTGACAGGGAGGTCACTGCTGATCCGAGCCCAGCCCCCTCCTTGCCCTCTGGGGGTCGCCGAGGGAATCTGAAATGGAGGCTGGGAGAGTTCCTTGGGGTCCCCCACTTTAGCCCCTCACCTTCATAGTGGTGTCCACCTTCTCCAAGGCCACATGGAAATTTTTATCCTTGTCTAGAGAGAGACAGAGAAGAGGGGAGAAAGAGAAGGGGAGAGGGAGGGGACGGAAGAGAGAGGGGGATGGAGTAAATGCGAGGAAGGCAGGAAGGGCGTCTGTCCTCGCAGTGTTGCCCAGGAAAGCCCCTGCCTGCTTCCCCAGGAGGTGGGACTCACCTGGGTTTTCGTCGTCCTGGAAACCCCAGTTTGAAAAAGTGCCCACGACTTCCTCATCCCAGCTCTCGAACCATTTCCTGTCCTGGTCCCAGGACCTAGGTGGGGCCGCCGCGGTCAGACATAGCGGGCCCGCCTGGGGTCCCTTGGCCGCCCTCACCCCCCGGCCCCGCCCTCTGAGCGCTCACCGGTCTAGGCGCTGACCGCCCCACCATCCAGAGCGAACCGCCCAGAAGCCCAGCGCCAGCAGCAGCAGCAGCAGCAGCGCGACGCCCGCCGTCAGGCCCCCGACCAGCGCCCTCCAGTGGATGGCCACCTCGCAGCGCGGGCCGGAGAACCAGTGCGTGTCCGTGGAGTAACAGCTGCGGGAGATCGCAGGGTCAGACCCTCTTCACCTCTGGACTCGGGGTCCACGCGTGCACCTGGGCCCCACGGGGGCGGGCGAGGGGACGGGGTCCCAGCCTAGGGCAGCGGGGGGTTCCACCCTATGGCAAGCGGGGGGGTTCCACCCTAGACAAGGGGCCGGGAATCCACCCTAGAACGAGGGGGCGGGGCTCTACCCTAGGTAACAGGGCGGGATTCCACCCTAGATCAAGCGGGCAGGGCTCCACCCTGGAAGGAGGGGGCGGGGTTCAACCCTACAACGAGGGGGACGGGGCCCCACCCTAGAATGAGTGGTCCCAGAACGAGGGGACTGGACTCAACTCCATTAGGGGGATGGGGCTCCACCTTAGGGCAAGGGAGCAGAGCTCCAGGGCAAGGCTCCACCGTAGGGCAAGGGGAATGGGCTTGGAGCCGGACTCTGGGGACAAGGCTCCACCATAGGGCCTAGGGGCGGACCCGGGGCGGAGCATGGGGCGGGGCTTCATCTTAGAGTGCGAGGGCGGGGCTCGGCTGATGCTGATGGTCAGCGGTGCCTTACCGACAGGTGGGACCGCTCCTCTCCAGAACGCACTGGCCCTGGTGACAGTTGATGGCGTTGTCCACGCCCGACGTGCAATTGGTGACACAGCGGAGCCGGGTGGCCTCCTCCAAGGGGAAGTAGAACTTCTCGTAGCCCGCGGGAGCGGCGCGGCGGCAGATGGCTGAGGGGTTGGGGAGAGGGTTGCACAGAGACAAGGACCTCATCCATTCTATTCAGGGGCCTGATAATGGTGCCTCTGAAAATGCGGGAGGAGGATTCCATTTCCGAGGTGGGATGCCGTGGGGTAGACCCTGGGATTCGATGAGGGGAGTCCAGCACCACCACCCTCACCCTCTCCTCGTGGCACATGCTGTCCTCAGGTGGAAGCCACTAATCAGCGCCAGGAAGGGCCGCCCTGGGCCATATCGCTTGCCTCCCCCAAAGGTCTCTCCCTGCCCCCGACTTCAATGGGCAAATGTCCCTGGTGGCTGGGATCAGAGCCACGGGAGAGCGACCACTCAGCCCTTTACCCCACCCTCACCTTCCGAGGTCAGCTCTGTCCTGCTGTTGTTGTTCACTTTGATGGAGTCAGGCTTAAAACACAGGGCTGTGGGAACACAGGCACAGATGGAATGGGAGGGGGAGGTCAAGGGGTTAAGGTTAAGGGGTTAGGACCAGGAAGCAGGAGAGGCACAGGGAGGGCAGGGAGGGCTGTCTCTGTCTGGGGGAGTGTGGAGGGGCCACAAGGGAAGACTCCTGTTCCCTCCCTCATCTCCCCTGAATAATCTGAGGTCTTCAGCCATCCGGGAAATGCTGAGCATGACCATCAGGGGTTCTCTTGCCCAGTACCCAGGTCCTGGGGAGACCCTCCCTAGCCCCACCCTTGATGACGTTGTGTGTGGACTCATTCCCCTTCTCCCAACCTGCCAGAGGTACCATAGGGTTGGCACCCGAGCCCAGAGGGCCCCTGGCCCAGCTGGAGTGGGCTGGGGTGGCGACTCAGGCCCTGGCCCCTCCCTCCAGCCGGGGCTCACTCTGGGAGTCCTGGCAGCTGTCCGCATCCTGGCTGGCATTCTGCAGCGCCTCCTTCAGCGTCGTCTTCGCCTGCTCGTACTGGCTCCCCAGCTGGGAGCTGAAGGGCAGCTCCAGCAGGACCAGGTAGTCCACCACGATGCTGCCATTCCTGAGGGGTCCATGGCCTTAGAGAGTGCCCCAGCCAGGGGCACATGGGTCCTTGGAGGAGCACTCCAGAAGCAACCCAAAGTGCACCAGAAGCGGGAAAGGGGGCAGAGGTCCTGAGTCAGGATGCCACATGCATCCTTTTTAGAAGGGGCTGCCAGCATTCCTGACTTGGTCCGCCTGGGAAGGCAGGACAAGGAATAATTGACATAATTGACTTCCTGTCTCTGTGTGTTTTATAGAGACAAAGTCTGGCTCTGTCACCCAGGCTAGAGTGCAGTGGTATAATTATAGCTCACTGCAGCCTCCAACTCCTGGACTAAAGTGATCCTTACTCCTCAGCCTCCCAAGTACCTGGGACTACAGGTGTGCACTACCACACCGGGCTAATCATTTTACTATTATTATTATTACTATTTTTATTATTGTAGAGCTGGGTTCTCACTATGTTGCCCAGGCTAGTCTTGAACTGGTTTTAGGTGATCCACCCGCCTAGCCCTCCCAACGTGCTAAGATTGCAAGTGTGAGCCACCACATCTGGCCTGACGTTCTCCTTGTGTTGCATCAAGCCATCATCCACTCCCCTGGACGCTCTCTCCCTCTCTCCCTCTCTCTCTTTCTCTCTCTCTAATGCTGACCCACCCAGTAGAGCAGGGGCCAGTCAGAGGGCGAAGAAGTCACCGATCCAGGCACCACATTCCCACATGTCCCTGTAACTTCTCTCCTTCCAGTGTGCTGAAGAAGAGAGGTGCCATCTCTCCTCCAGAGAAATGGCCCCAGAAAACAATCTCAAAAAATACCCCAGGGAGTGATTCCTTATGTAGCCCCTCCACCCCTCTCTTTATAAAATCTGATGATTACAAAAGAATGGGTTTTTTCTGTGCACACATTCCCCCCCACCCAACACCGCCTCTGCGTCTCCAGATGGGTCTCCTACCTCAGGGACAGGATCTCCACACCCTTGAAGGTGAAGCCCCGCATGCCTGAAAAAATCTTCTGCATCTGAAACACCAAGGATCCCTGGGCTCACATCAAAACCTGCAGACCTGAGGGCACCCAGATGCCCAATCCCAGCTCCAGGGGAGCACCCTTCAATTCCCCTCCCCGGCTGGGAGCCATGGCTCACGCCTGTAATCCCAGCACTTTGGGAAGACAAGGTGGGTGGATCACTAGGTCAGGAGTTCGAGACCTGTCTGGCCAACATAGTGAAACCCCATCTCTACTAAAAATACAAAACATTAGCCGGGTGTGGTGGTGTGCACCTGTAATTCCAGCTATTCAGGAGGCTGAGGCAGGAGAATCACGTGAACCCAGGAGGGGGAGGTTGCAGTGAGCCAAGATCATGCCACTGCACTCCAGCCAGGACAATAGTGTGAGACTCCATCTCAAAAAAAAAAAAAAAAAAATTCCCCTCTCCTTGCCCTTTACCTGATTCCAGAAGGTCTTGTTGAAATCCCTGTAGGCCTGAGAAGTGTTGTCATTGAGGTCCGGCGAGAACTCCTGATCGACAGATACTTCCATGCCCACCTCAGTCTCCACTACATCTGCACACAGCATGCATGTCCCCAGTCACTTCTCCATCTGCTTCCGTCTGAAGCCACCAACACCACCCCCTCCCCAACCCACAGGCTCCTCCTGCTGCTCCTCTCCAAGATCCCTGAGGACTGATGCCCACAGGCAGGAACAGATGTAGGAATTCCAGGATGCATTGTGCCTCGGAAGGCTGAGGCAGTAGAATCACTTGAACCCAGGAGGCGGAGGTTGTAGTGAGCCGAGATCGCATCACTGCACTCCAGCCTGGGCCACAGAGCGAGACTCCGTCTCTAGAAAATGAAAAACAAAGAGAGAGAGAGAGAGAGAAAGACAGAGAGAGAGAAAGAAAGGGAAAAAGCATTGTGTGAAGATGAGAGAAAGAAGGAGAGAAAGAAAGGAAAGAAAGAAAGGAAAGAAGGAAGGAAGGAAAGATAAAGAAAGAAGAAAGAAAGAAAAGAAAGAGGGAGGGAAGGAATGAAGGAAGGAAGGAGAAAGAAGAAAGAAAGAAAAAAGAAAAAGAAAGAAAGAAAGAGAGAGAGAGAAAGAAAGAGAGAAAGAGAGAAAGAGAGAAAGAAAAAGGGAGGGAGGGAAGGAAGGAAGGAAGGAAGGAAGGAAGGAAAGAAAGAAAGAAAGAGAAAGAAAGAAAGAAAGAGAAAGAAAGAAAGAAAGAAAGAAAGAAAGAAAGAAAGAAAGAAAGAAAGAAAGAAAGAAAGAAAAGAGAAGAGAAGAGAGAGACAGAAAGGAAGGAAGGAACGTGTGGAGATGAGGGAAAGCAGGCAGGAAGACAGCGGTCAGCCTGTGGTCCCTCCTGGCTGCCCGCATGGTGGGCGGGGATCCATGTCCAAATCCCCAGAACTGTGAGTATGCTACACTATATGGCAAGGGAGGATGAAGGGTGCAGATTGAATTCCATTGCTAATCAGCCTAACTTTTTTTTTATTGTTGAGATAGGGTCTCATTCTGTCATCTAGGCTGGAGTGCAATGGTGGGATCATAGCTCACTGCAACCTTGATTTCCCAGGCTCAAGTAATCCTCCCACCTCAGCCTCCCAAGTTACTGGGACCACAGGCATGAGCCACCATTCCCAGGTAATTTTTTAAAATTTTTTGTAGAGGTGGGGTTCTCGCTGTGTTGCCCAGGATGGTCATGAACTCCTGGCCTCAACCGATCTTCCCTCCTCAGCCTTCCAAACTGCAGGGATTATAAGACAATCAGCTGATTTTTGTTTTCCTTTGAGACAGAGTTTCACTCTCCCTCTGTCATCCAGGCTAGTGTGCAGTGGCTAAATCTCAGCTCACTGCAACATCCACATCCTGGATTCAAGCGATTCTCCTGCCTCAGCCTCCTGAGTAGTGAGGATTACAGGCACCTGCCACCATGCCCAACTAATTTTTGTATTTATAATAGAGACAGTTTCACCATGTTGGCCAGGCTGGTCTCGAAATCCTGACCTCAGGTGATCCTCCCGCCTCGGCCTCCCAAAGTGCGGGGATTACAGGTGTGAGCCACCGCGCCCAGCCTAATCAGCTGATCTTGAGAAAATTAACATAGACTATTTGGGGAGGAGGCAAAGTCATCACAAGAGTCCTTAACAGTGGAAGAAGCAATAGAGGAGGCCAGAGTTCATCAGAGGGAGATGAGGCTATGGCAGAAAGACACAGAGAGGTGCAGCCTTGCTGGCTTGGAAGATGGAGCCAGGGGCCCTGGCATACACAATGTTGGAGGCTCCAGAAGCTGCAAAGGGCAAAAAAATGTATTCTTTCCTGGAACCTCTGGAAGACAACACAGCCCTGGTGACGCCTTGATTTCAGCCCAGTGACACCCACATCAGATTTCTAATCTACAGAATTCTAACATGATAATGTCATGTTGTTTCAGCAGCGAGGCTTGTGTTTGTTGGTAGGGCGGCAGTTGGAAACTGATACAGCTCCAAGCAGCCCAAATCAGGAGATGACCCCAGGAGGGAGTGTGGTCCCATCCACCTCCTAAGGGTGAGGATGGAGAGGAGCATGACATGGGGCAGTGGAGGGAATGGGAGAGATGGCAGGGAGGGAAGGACTGAGCAAAACGCCATGGGTGCCTCCAGGCCCCACAGAGGGGTAAGTCTGGGGAGAGTCAGTGACACCCTCTGGGAGGAAGTGCAGAAGGCATAGCTCTGGCGACTCACCTAGATCCACCTGTTCCACAGCAAACTCACAACGGGAACCATAGAAGGTGCTGGGGCACTGGCACTTGATGTTATCCCACTGACCCCCGTTGAGGCAGCTGGTCTGGAACTGACAGCGGTCCCCAGAGAACCCCGGACGGCAAGCACACTGGCCCTGTTCCCAGGTGCCGCCATTGTCACAGGTGCCTGGGAAACACAAGAAACAAGGGAAGTTCAGGATAAAGCCTGATCTCGGTGACATAGAAATTTTGCAGGGAAGGAAGGAGGGGAACAGAGAGGCAGAAGGTCCAACCTGCAGTGGTGGTCAACGTTGACTGTGTGGTCGTCTGAGAAGTGGTGGGAGTTGTCCTGCGCGATGTAAGGGTGGTAGGAGTCTGGGTAGTGGCCACTGGTGTCTCTGAAGTCCTGGTGGTGGATGGGGAGGAGTGTGCTGACTTGCTTGAAGTCCTCAGGATGGTCGGAAGGCTACTGCTTGGTTTCGTGGTGAGTGGGATGGTAGAGACGCCAGGAAGATGTGGGGGGGTCACAAAGCTGGTGCTCAGCCAGGTCTCACTGGTGGGCATTTCAGTACTTGTGAAAACCGTGTTTGTGGGTACAGTCCCAGTGCCAGTGGAACTGGAAGCATTCGTTGTGATGCTGGACTCACTTTCTGGCGTCATGGAAGAAGTGTCCATATATGTAGCAAGGGTAGTTTGCATACTGATGGAGCTAGGACAGGTGACCATTTCAGTAGTAAAGGGAAGCACTGTTAATGGGGTGGGGGGAGGAGAAGTAGCTTCAGTGCTGGAATCCATTTCAACACACGGATCAGTGGGAGAGGCAGGGACTATGGTAATTGTTATAGTTTCTGGACAGGGTGTGGTGGAGGGAAGGGAAATATAAGAAAAGGGGGTTATTTCAGTGAGAGCTGTGGTCAGAGAGGAGCTGGTTGGAGAAGTGCTGGTGGTTGCAGAGGAAGAGAGAGTAGGAAAGGCTGTGATAGAAGAGGAGCCCATATTTTCTGTACTGAAAGTGTATGCTGAAGAAGGAACAGAATGAGTGGTGGTATAGAACAGTGGAGTTATGCTGGTAGAAGACAGAGAAGAGGACATGATGATAGTGGGTGTTGAGGACCAGATGATGGTACTAAAAGAAGTCAAGATTGCATTTGTAGATGTACTTCCCCTAGTGAAAGATTCTGTAGTGAACTCACTTGTAGATGTGAGTGAAGTTTGCAATGAGGGAGTAGAAGCACTTGTTTGAAGGGTGGAGGAACGTGTGCTAGGAATGGGAACCTGTGATGTTGACATGATCGTGCTCAAGGCTGTTGATGGAGTAAGAGTGTGAAGAGTGGACGTGGAGGAGTCTGTACTTCCAACGGTGACAGTAGTAGGTACAGGAAATGTTTGGGTCCCGGTAGCAGATGTCAGTACAGGAGCGGTCTGTGTTGGGGTTTCAGGTGTAACAACAATACTTGTGCTAAAGGAAGTGATTGGGGTGTTCTCAGTACTTCTAAGGGTCGTTCTCACAGTGGACATGGTGGGAGAGGTTGTGCCCACAAGGGATGATGTTTCTGTGCTTTGGATGGAGGGAGAAGATGAAATGATGTGTGTTGGGGTTGGTAACCTACTGATATCAGTGGGTATAGAGGGAAGATCTGTGGTTGTAGTCAATGAAGTGCTGGTTCCCACAGATGAGGGGGTGAGAGTTCGTACGGTTGTGGTCAGGATGTCTGTACTCAGAGAAGCTGGGGTTACAGGTGTGGAAGTCACCCCAGTCTCTGAGGTAGTAAAATGTGAGGTGATGGCAGTTGTGGATGTGCTGACTGTGGAGTAGCTGGTTGAAGAAGTGAAGCTTGGAGTAATATGTGAGCTGGTGTCAGTGGTGGTGATGGAAGAAGTGAAGGTGGGAGTACCAGGTGAGGTGGTCTCGGTGGTGGTGATTGAAGAACTGAAGCTGGGAGTACTGTGAGAGGTTGTCAGAGTCGTGGTGATTAAAGAAGTGAAGCTGAGAGTACTTTGTGAGGTGGTCTCGGTGGTGGTGATTGAAGAAGTGAAGCTGGGAGTACCGTGTAAGGTCGTCTCACTGGTGGTGATTGAAGAAGTGAGGCCAGGAGTAATGTGTGAGGTTGTCTCGGTGGTGGTGACCGAGGAAGTGAGGCCAGGAGTACTGTGTGATGAGGTCTCAGTTGTGGTGATCAAAGAAGTGAAGCTGGGAGTACTGTGCAATGTAGTCTCAGTAGTGCTGACCGAAGATGTGAAGCTGGCAGTACTGTGTGAGGTGGTCTTGGTAGTGGTGATCGAAGAAGTGTAGCTTGGTGTACTGTATGAGGTGGTTTCGGTGGTGGTGATCGAAGAAGTGAAGCTGGGAGTACTGTGGGATGTGGTCTCAGTGGTGGTGATCGAAGAAGTGAAGCTCGGAGTACTGTCTGAAGTGGTCTTGGTAGTGGTGATCAAAGAAGTGAAGCTGGGAGTACTGCGTGAGGTGGTCTCAGTGGTGGTGATCGAAGAAGTGTAGCTGGGTGTACTGTGTGAGGTGGTTTCAGTGGTGGTGATTGAAGAAGTGAAACTGGGAGTACTGTGTGAGGGGGTCTCGCTGGTTGTGATTGAAGAAGTGAAGCTGGGAGTATTGTGTGAGGTGGTCTTGGTAGTCGTGATTGAGGTAATGAAGCTGGGAGTACTGTGCAGGGGGGTCTCGGTGGTGGCGATTAAGGTAGTGTAGCTGGGAGTACTGTGTGAGGTGGTCTCGGTGATAGTGATTGAAGAAGTGAAGCTGGAAGTACTGTGTGAGGGGGTCTCCCTGGTGGTGATTGAAGAAGTGAAGCTGGGAGTACTGCGGGATATGGTCTCGGTGTTGGTGATCAAAGAAGTGAAGCTGCGAGTACTGTGTGAGGTGGTCTCTGTGGTGATCAAAGAAGTGTAGCTGGGCATACTGTGGAATGTGGTCTCCATGGTGGTGATCGAAGAAGTGAAGCTGGGTGTACTGTATGAAGTGCTCTCGGTGGTCATGGTTGAAGAAGTGAAGCTGGGAGTACTTGGCGGGGGGGTCTCAGTGGTGGTGATCAAAGAAGTGAAACTGGGAGTACTGTGGGAGGTGGTCTTGGTTGTGGTGATCGAAGAAGTGAAGCTGGAAGTACTGTGTGAGGGGGTCTCCGTGGTGGTGATTGAAGAAGTGTAGCTGGGTGTACTATATGAAGTGCTCTCGGTGGTCGTGGTTGAAGAAGTGAAGCTGGGAGTACTGTGTGATGGGGTCTCACTGGTGATGATTGAAGAAGTGAAGCTGTGAGTACTACGTGATATGGTCTCAGTGGTGGTAATTGAGGCAGTGAAGCTGGGAGTAGTCTGTGAAGGGGTCACAGTGGTGGTGATTGAGGTAGTGTCGCTGGGAGTACTATGTGAGGGAATCTTGGTGGTGGTGATCGAGGAAGTGAAGCTGGGAGTACTGTGGGATGTGGTCTTGGTGGTGGTGATCAAAGAAGTGAAACTGTGAGTATTCTGTGGTGTGGTCTCAGAGGTGACAATTGAAGAAGTGAAGCTGGGAGTACTGTGTGAGGGGGTCTCGCTGGTGATGATTGAAGAAGTGAAGCTGGGAGTACTGTGTGAGGTGGTCTCGGTGGTGGTGATTGAGGTAGTGTAGCTGGGAGTACTGTGTGAGGGGGACTTGGTGGTGGTGACTGAAGAAGTGAAGCTGGGAGTATTGTGGGATGTGGTCTCAGTGGTGGTGATCAAAGAACTGTAGCTGGGAGTACTGTGGGAGGTTGTCTCGGTGGTGGTGATTGAAGAAGTGAAGGGGGGAGTACTGTGTGAGGGGGTCTTGCTGGTGGTGATTGAAGAAGTGAAGCTGGGAGTACTATGTGAAGTGGTCTCCGTGGTGGTAATTGAGGTAGTGAAGCTTGGAGTACTGTGTGAGGGGGTCTTGGTTGTGGCGATTGAAGAAGTGAAGCTGGGAGTACTGTGGGATGTGGTCTCCATGCTGGTGATCAAAGAAGTGAAGCTGGGAGTACTGGGTGGGGTGGTCTCGGTGGTGGTAATTGAAGAAGTGAAGCTGGGAGTATTGTGGGATGTGGTCTCAGTGGTGGTGATCGAAGAAGTGAAGCTGGGAGTACTGTGTGAGGTGGTCTCAGTGGTGGTGATTGGAGAAGTGAATCTGGGAGAACTGTGTGAGGCAGTCTCGGTAGTGGTGATTGAAGAAGTGAAGCTGGGAGTGCTGTGGGATGTGGTCTCCGTGATGCTGATTGAAGAGGTCGAGCTGGGAGTACTGTGTGATGGGGTCTCCCTGGTGTTGATCAAAGAAGTGTAGCTGGGAGTACTATGTGAGGTGGTCTTGGTGGTGGTGATCCAAGAAGTAAAGCTGGGAGTGCTTTGGGAGGTGGTCTTGGTGGTGGTGATCGAACAAGTGAAGCTTGGAGTGCTGTGGGATGTGGTCTCGATGGTGGTGACTGAGGAATTGAAGCTGGGAGTACTGTGGGATGTGGTCTCGGTGGTGGTGATTGAAGAAGTGAAGCTGGGATCACTGTGTGAGGTGGTCTCGGTAATGGTGATCAAGGAAGTGAAGCTGGGAGTATTGCGTGAGGTTGTCTCTGTGGTGGTGATCGAAGAAGTGAAGCTGGGGGTACTGTGTGAAGGGGTCTCGGTTGTGGGGATAAAAGAAATGTAACTGGGAGTGCTGCTTGAGGTGGACTCTGTGGTGGTGATTGAAGAAGTGAAGCTTGGAGTACAGGGTGAGGTGGTCTCAGTGGTGGTGATCAAAGAAGTGTAGCTGAGTGTACTGTGTGAGGTGCTCTCGTTGGACGTTATTGAAGAAGTGAAGCTGGGAGTACTGTGTGAGGGGATCTCGCTGGTGGTGATTGAAGAACTGAAGCTGGGAGTATTGTGTGAGATGGTCTCCGTGGTGGTAACTGAGGTAGTGAAGCTGGGAGTACTCTGTGAAAGGGTCTCAGTGGTGGTGATTGAGGTAGTGTAGCGGGGAGTACTGTATGAGGGGGTCTCGGTGGTGGCGATCGAAGAAGTGAAGCTGGGAGTACTGTGGGATGTGGTCTTCATGGTGGTGATCAAAGAAGTGAAGCTGGGAGTATAGGGTGGGGTGATCTCAGTGGTGGTGATTGAAGAAGTGAAGCTGGGAGTACTGTGTGAGATGGTCTCGGTGGTGGTAATTGAGATAGTGAAGCTGGGAGTACTCTGTGAGGGTGTCTCAGTGGTGGTGATTGAGGTAGTGTAGCTGGGAGTACTGTATGACAGGGTCTCCCTGGTGGTGACTGAAGAAGTGAAGCTGGGAGTACTGTGGGATGTGGTCTTCATGGTGGTGATCAAGGAAGTGAAGCTGGCAGTACTGTGTGAGGTGGTCTCTGTGGTGATGATCGAAGAAGTGAAGCTGGGAGAACTGTATGAGTCAGTCTCAGTGGTGGTGATTGAAGAATGGAAGCTGGGAGTGCTGTGGGATGTGGTCTCAGTGGTGGTTATCAAAGAAGTGAAGCTGGGATTACTGTGTGAAGAGGTCTCCGGGCTGGTAATCAAAGAAATATAGCTGGGAGTACTGTGTGAGGTGGTCCCTGTTGTGGTGATTGAGGAAGTGAAGCTGGGAATACTGTTTGAGGGGGTCTCGGTGGTGGTGATTGAAGAAGTGAAGCTGTGAGTACTGTGTGATGTGATCTCCGTGATGGTGATTGAAGAAGTGAAACTGGGAGTATTGTGTGAGGGAATCTTGCTGGTGGTGATTGAAGAAGAGAAGCTGGGAGTACTGTGTGAGGTGGTCTCAGTGGTGATGATTGAAGTAGTGAAGCTGGGAGTACTGTGGGATGTGGTCTCACTGGTGGCAATTGAAGAAGTGAAGCTGCGAGTAGTGTGTGAGGTGGTCTCGGTGGTGGCGATCAAAGAAGTGAAGCTGGGAGGGCTTTGGGAGGTGGTCTTCGTGGTGGTGATTGAAGAAGTGAAGCCTGGATTGCTGGGAGATGTGGTATTGGTGTTGGTGATCGAAGAACTAAAGCTGGGAGTACTGTGAAATGTGGTCTCAGTGGTGGTGATCAAAGAAGTGAAGCTGGGAGTACTCTGGGATATGGTCTCGGTGGTGGTGATCGAAGCAGTTAAGCTGGGAGTACTGTGTGAGGTGGTCTCGGTTGTGGTGATAAAAGAATTGTAGCTGGGAGTGCTGCTTGAGGTGATCTCGGTGGTGGTGATTGAAGAAGTGAAGCTGGGAGTATTGTGTGAGGTGGTCTCCCTGGTGGTGATAGAAGAAGTGAAGCTGGGAGCACTGTGTGAGATGGTCTTGTTGGTGGTGATTGAAGAAGTGAAGCTGGGAGTACTGTGTGAGGGGGTCTCGCTGGTGGTGATTGAAGAAGTGAAGCTGGGAGTACTGTGTGAGGTCTCAGTGGTAGTAATTGAGGTAGTGAAGCTGGCAGTACTCTGTGAGGGGGTCTCAGTGGTGGTGATTGAGGTAGTGTAGCTGGGAATACTGTGTGAGGGGGTCTCGGTGGTGGTGATTGAAGAAGTGAAGCCGGGAGTACTATGGGATGTAATCTCCGTGGTGGTGATCAAAGAAGTGAAGCTGGGAGTACTGGGTGGGGTGGTCTCGGTGGTGATGATTGAAGAAGTGAAGCTGGGAGTATTGTGGGATGTGGTCTCAGTGGTGGTGATCGAAGGAGTGAAGCTGGGAGTACTGTGTGAGGTGGTCTTTGTGGTGGTAATCCAAGAAGCGAAGCTGGGAGTGCTGTGGGATGTGGTCTCGGTGGTGGCGATTGAAGAAGTGAAGCTGGGAGTACTATGAGAGGTAGTCTGTGTTGTGGTGATTAAAGAAGTGAAGCTGGGAATGCTGTGTGTGTGGGTGTTGGTGGTGGTGATTGAAGAAGTGAAGCTGGGAGTGCTTTGGGAGGTGGTCTTGGGGGTGGTGATTAAAGAAGTGAAGCTGGGAGAACTGTGGGACATGGCCTCGGTGGTGGTGATCAAAGAAGTTAAGCTGGGAGTACTCTGCGAGGTGGTCTCGGTTATGGTGATGGAAGAAGTGAAGCTGGAAGTACTGTTTGAGGGGGTCTCTGTGGTGGTGATCGAAGAAGAGAAGCTGGGAGTACTGTGTGAGGTGGTCTCGGTTGTGGTGATAAAAGAAGTGCATCTAGGAGTGCTGTTTGAGGTGGTCTCAGTGGTGGTGATTGAGGGAGGGAAACTTGGAGCACTGGGTGAGATATTCTCGGTGGTGGTGATTGAAGAAGTGAAAGTGAGAGTACTGGATGAGGTGGTCTCGGCGGTGGTGATTGAAGAAGTGAAGCTGGGAGTACTGTGTGAAGTGGTCTCGGTGATAGTGATCGAAGAAGTGTAGCTGGGAGTACTGTGTGAGGTGGTCCCGGTTGTGGTGATTGAAGAAGTGAAGCTGGGAATACTGTGTGATGGGGTCTCGGTGGTGGTGATTGAAGAAGTGAAGCTGGGAGTACTGTGTGAGGAGGTCTCGCTGGTGGTGATCAAAGAAGTGTAGCTGGGAGTACCATGTGAAGTAGTCTCAGTGGTGGTGATTGAGGTAGTGAAGCTGGGAGTACTGTGTAAGGTGGTCTCACTAGTGGTGATTGAGGTAGTATAGCTGGGAGTACTGTGTGAGGTGGTCTCGTTGATGGTGATTGAAGAAGTGAAGCTGAGAGTACTGTGTGGTGGGGTCTCAGAGGTGGTTATCGAAGAAGTGAAGCCGGAAGTACTGTGTGTGGGGGTCTCCATGGTGGTGATTGAAGAAGTGAAGTTGGGAGTACTGTGTGAGGTGGTCTCTGTGGTGGTGATTGAAGAAGTAAAGCTGGGAGTACTGCGGGAGGTGGTCTCGGTCGTGGCGATTGAAGAAGTGATGCTTGGAGTGCTGTGGGATGTGGTCTCGGTGGTCGTGATCGTAGAGGTGATGCTGGGAGTACTGGGTGGGGTGGTCTCAGTGGTGGTGATCGACGAAGTGAAGCTGGGAGTACTGTGAGAAGTGGTCTCTGTGGTGATGATAGAAGAGGTGAAGCTGGGAGTGCTGTGGGAGGTGGTCTCGTTGGTAGTGATCAATGAAGTGAAGCTGGGAGTGCTGTGGGATGTGGTCTCGGTGGTGGTGATCATAGAGGTGATGCTGAGAGTCCTGGGTGGGGTGGTCTCTGTTGTTGTGATCAAAGAAATGAAGCTGGAAGTACTGTGTGAGGGGGTCTCGGTGGTGGTGATCGAAGAAGTGAAGCTGGGAATACTGTGTGAGGTGGTCTCGGTTGTGGTGATAAAAGAAGTGTAGCTGGCAGTGCTGTTTGAGGTGGTCTCGGTGGTGGTGATTGAAGAAGTGACGCTGGGAGTACTCTGTGAAGTGGTCTCAGTAGTGGTGATCGAAGAAGTGATGCTGGGAGTACTCTGTGAAGTGCTCTCAGTGATTGCGATCGAAGAAGTGTAGCTGGGTGAAATGTGTGAGGTGGTCTCGTTGGTGGTGATTGAAGAAGTGAAGCTGGGAGTACTGTGTGAGGGGGTCTCGCTGGTGGTGTTTAAAGAAGTGAAGCTGGGAGTACTCTGTGAGTGCGTCTCCGTGGTGCTAATCGAAGAAGTGAAGCAGGGAGTACTGTGTGAGGTGGTCTCGGTTGCGGTTATCAAGGAAGTGAAGCTGGAAGTACTGTGTGAGGAGGTCTCTGTGGTGGTGATCAAAGAAGTGAAGCTGGGAGTACTATGTGAGTTGGTCTCGGTTTTGGTGATCAAGGACGTGTACCTGGGAGTGCTGTATGAGGTGGTCTCGGTGGTGGTGATTGAAGAAGTGAAGCTGGGAGTACTGGGTGAGGTGGTGTCGGTGGTGGTGATTGAAGAAGTGAAGGTGGGAATACTGTGTGAAGTGGTCTCTGTGGTGGTGATCGAAGAAGTAAAGCTGGGAGTACTGTGGGAGGTGGTCTCGGTCGTGGTGATTGAAGAAGTGTAGCTGGGTGTACAGTGTGAGGTGGTCTCGGTGGTGGTGATTGAAGAAGTGAAGCTGGGAGTACTGTTTAATGTGGTCTCGGTGATGGTGATCAAAGAAGTGAAGCTCGGAATACTGTGTGAGGAGGTCTCTGTGGTGGTGATTGAAGAAGTGAAGCTGGGAGTACTATGTGAGGTGGTCTCGGTTTTGGTGATCAAGGACGTGTACCTGGGAGTGCTGTGTGAAGTGGTCTCGGTGGTGGTGATTGAAGAAGTGAAGCTGGGAGTACTGGGTAGGGTGGTGTCGGTGGTGGTGATTGAAGAAGTGAAACTGGGAGTACTGTGTGAAGTGGTCTCTGTGGTGGTGATCGAAGAAGTAAAGCTGGGAGTACTGTGGGAGGTGGTCTCGGTCGTGGCGATTGAAGAAGTGTAGATGGGTGTACAGTGTGAGGTGGTCTCGGTGATGGTGATCAAAGAAGTGAAGCTGGGAGTACTGTGTGAGGAGGTCTCGTTGGTGGTGATGAAAGAAGTGAAGCTGGGAGTACTGTGGGATGTGGTCTCGGTGGTGGTGATCAAAGAAGTGAAGGTGGGAGTACTGAGTGAGGTGGTCTCGGTGGTGGTGAAAAAAGAAGTGAAGCTGGGAGTACTCTGTGAGATGGTTTCGGTGGTGGTGATCGAAGAAGTGAAGCTGGGAGTGCTCTGGGAGGTGATCTCTGTCGTGGTGATCTTAGAAGAGAAGCTTGGAGTGATGTGGGATATGGTCTCGGTGGTGCTGATCGAAGAAGTGAAGCTGGGAGTACTGCCGGATGTGGTCTCGGTGGTGGTGATCAAAGAAGTGAAGTTTGGAGTGTTGTGGGATGTGGTCTCAGTGATGGTGATCGAAGAATTGAAGCAGGGACTGCTGTGGGAGGTGATCTCGGTTGTGGTGATTGAAGAAGTGAAGCTGGGAGTACTGGGTGAGGTGGTCTCTGTGGTGATGATCAAAGAAGTGAAGCTGGGAGTACTATCTGAGGGGGTCTCAGTGGTGGTGATTAAAGAAGCGAAACTGGGAGTACTGTGGGATGTGGTCTCTGTGGTGGTGATTGAAGAAGTGAAGCTGGGAGTACTGTGTGGGGTGGTCTCGGTGGTGGTGATTGAGGAAGTGAAGCTGGGAGTATTGTGGGATGTGGTCTCGGTGGTGGTGGTCGAAGAAGTGAAGTTGGGAGTACCGTGTGAGTGGGTCTCAGAGGTGGTTATGGAAGAAGTGAAGCTAGAAGTACTGTGTGAGGGGGTCTCGGTGGTTCTGATCGAGGAAGTGAATCTGGGAGTACTGTGTGAGGTGGTCTCAGTAGTTCTGATTGAAGATGTGTAGCTGGGTGTACTGTGGGAGCTGGTCTCGATGGTGGTGATTGAAGAAGTGAAGCTGGGAGTACTGGGTGAGGTGGTCTCAGTGGTGGTGATCAAAGAAGTGAAGCTGGGAGTACTATGTGAGGGGGTCTCAGTGGTGGTGATTGAAGAAGTGAAACTGGGAGTACTGTGGGATATGGTCTCTGTGGTGGTGATTGAGGAAGTGAAGCTGGGAATACTGTGTGGGGTGGTCTCGGTGGTGGTGATTGAGGAAGTGAAGCTGGGAGTATTGTGGGATGTGGTCTCGGTGGTGGTGGTCGAAGAAGTGAAGTTGGGAGTACCGTGTGAGTGGGTCTCAGAGGTGGTTATGGAAGAAGTGAAGCTGGAAGTACTCTGTGAGTGGGTCTCGGTGGTCGTGATAGAGGAAGTGAATCTGGGAATACTGTGTGAGGTGGTCTCGGTGGTTCTGATCGAAGAAGTGTAGCTGGGTGTACTGTGGGAACTGGTCTCGATGGTGGTGATTGAAGAAGTGAAGCTGGGAGTACTGGGTGAAGTGGTCTCAGTGGTAGTGATCAAAGAAGTGAAGCTGGGAGTACTATGTGAGGGGGTCTCAGTGGTGGTGATTGAAGAAGTGAAACTGGGAGTACTGTGGGATGTTGTCTCTGTGGTGGTGATTGAAGAAGTGAAGCTGGGAGTACTGTGTGGGGTGGTCTCGGTGGTGGTGATTGAAGTAGTGAAGCTGAGAGTATTGTGGGATGTGGTCTCGGTGGTGGTGGTCAAAGAAGTGAAGTTGGGAGTACTGTGTGAGTGGGTCTCAGTGGTGGTTATGGAAGAAGCGAAGCTGGAAGCACTGTTTGAGGTGGTCTCGGTGGTTCTGATCGAAGAAGTGTAGCTGGGTGTACTGTGGGAGCTGATGTCGATGGTGGTGATTGAAGAAGTGAAGCTGGGAGTACTGGGTGAGGTGGTCTCAGTGGTGGTGATCAAAGAAGTGAAGCTGGGAGTACTATGTGAGGGGGACTCAGTGGTGGTGATTGAAGAAGTGAAACTGGGAGTACTATGGGATGTGGTCTCTGTGGTGGTGATTGAAGAAGTGAAGCTGGGAGTACTGTGTGGGGTAGTCTCGGTGGTGGTGATTGAGGAAGTGAAGCTGGGAGTACTGTGGGATGTGGTCTCGGTGGTGGTGATCAAAGAAGTGAAGTTTGGAGTGTTGTGGGATGTGGTGTCAGTGATGGTGATGGAAGAATTGAAGCGGGGACTGCTGTGGGAGGTGATCTCGGTTGTGGTGATTGAAGAAGTGAAGCTGGGAGTACTGGGTGAGGTGGTCTCTGTGGTGATGATCAAAGAAGTGAAGCTGGGAGTACTATGTGAGGGGGTCTCAGTGGTGGTGATTGAAGAAGTGAAACTGAGAGTACTGTGGGATGTGGTCTCTGTGGTGGTGATTGAAGAAGTGAAGCTGGGAGTACTGTGTGGGGTGGTCTCGGTGGTGGTGATTGAGGAAGTGAAGCTGGGAGTATTGTGGGATGTGGTCTCGGTGGTGGTGGTCGAAGAAGTGAAGTTGGGAGTACCGTGTGAGTGGGTCTCAGAGGTGGTTATGGAAGAAGTGAAGCTAGAAGTACTGTGTGAGGGGGTCTCGGTGGTGGTGATCGAGGAAGTGAATCTGGGAGTACTGTGTGAGGTGGTCTCAGTAGTTCTGATTGAAGAAGTGTAGTTGGGTGTACTGTGGGAGCTGGTCTCGATGGTGGTGATTGAAGAAGTGAAGCTGGGAGTACTGGGTGAGGTGCTCTCAGTGGTGGTGATCAAAGAAGTGAAGCTGGGAGTACTATGTGAGGGGGTCTCAGTGGTGGTGATTGAAGAAGTGAAACTGGGAGAACTGTGGGATGTGGTCTCTGTGGTGGTGATTGAAGAAGTGAAGCTGGGAGTACTGTGTTGGATGGTCTCGGTGGTGGTGATTGAGGAAGTGAAGCTGGGAGTAATGTGGGATGTGTTCTCAGTGGTGGTGGTCGAAGAAGTGAAGTAGGGAGTACCGTGTGAGTGGGACTCAGAGGTGGTTATGGAAGAAGTGAAGCTGGAAGTACTCTGTGAGGGGGTCTCGGTGGTGGTGATCAAAGAGGTGAAGATGGGAGTACTGTGTGAGGTGGTCTCGGTGGTTCTGATCGAAGAAGTGTAGCTGGGTGTACTGTGGGAGCTGGTCTCGATGGTGGTGATTGAAGAAGTGAAGCTGGGAGTACTGGGTGAGGTGGTCTCAGTGGTGGTGATTGAAGAAGTGAAGCTGGGAGTACTATGTGAGGGGGTCTCAGTGGTGGTGATTGAAGAAGTGAAACTGGGAGTACTGTGGGATGTGGTCTCTGTGGTGGTGATTGAAGAAGTGAAGCTGGGAGTACTGTGTGGGGTGGTCTCGGTGGTGGTGATTGAGGAAGTGAAGCTGGGAGTATTGTGGGATGTGGTCTCGGTGGTGGTGGTCGAAGAAGTGAAGTTGGGAGTACCGTGTGTGTGGGTCTCAGAGGTGGTCATGGAAGAAGTGAAGCTGGAAGTACTCTGTGAGTGGGTCTCGGTGGTCGTGATAGATGAAGTGAATCTGGGAGTACTGTGTGAGGTGGTCTCGGTGGTTCTGATCGAAGAAGTGTAGCTGGGTGTACTGTGGGAACTGGTCTCGATGGTGGTGATTGAAGAAGTGAAGCTGGGAGTACTGGGTGAGGTGCTCTCAGTGGTGGTGATCAAAGAAGTGAAGCTGGGAGTACTATGTGAGGGGGTCTCAGTGGTGGTGATTGAAGAAGTGAAACTGGGAGAACTGTGGGATGTGGTCTCTGTGGTGGTGATTGAAGAAGTGAAGCTGGGAGTACTGTGTTGGATGGTCTCGGTGGTGGTGATTGAGGAAGTGAAGCTGGGAGTAATGTGGGATGTGTTCTCAGTGGTGGTGGTCGAAGAAGTGAAGTTGGGAGTACCGTGTGAGTGGGACTCAGAGGTGGTTATGGAAGAAGTGAAGCTGGAAGTACTCTGTGAGGGGGTCTCGGTGGTGGTGATCAAAGAGGTGAAGATGGGAGTACTGTGTGAGGTGGTCTTGGTGGTTCTGATCGAAGAAGTGTAGCTGGGTGTACTGTGGGAGCTGGTCTCGATGGTGGTGATTGAAGAAGTGAAGCTGGGAGTACTGGGTGAGGTGGTCTCAGTGGTGGTGATTGAAGAAGTGAAGCTGGGAGTACTATGTGAGGGGGTCTCAGTGGTGGTGATTGAAGAAGTGAAACTGGGAGTACTGTGGGATGTGGTCTCTGTGGTGGTGATTGAAGAAGTGAAGCTGGGAGTACTGTGTGGGGTGGTCTCGGTGGTGGTGATTGAGGAAGTGAAGCTGGGAGTATTGTGGGATGTGGTCTCGGTGGTGGTGGTCGAAGAAGTGAAGTTGGGAGTACCGTGTGAGTGGGTCTCAGAGGTGGTCATGGAAGTAGTGAAGCTGGACGTACTATGTGAGGGGGTCTCGGTGGTGGTGATCGAGGAAGTGAATCTGGGGGTACTGTGTGAGGTGGTCTCGGTGGTTCTGATCGAAGAAGTGTAGCTGGGTGTACTGTGGGAACTGGTCTCGATGGTGGTGATTGAAGAAGTGAAGCTGGGAGTACTGGGTGAGGTGCTCTCAGTGGTGGTGATCAAAGAAGTGAAGCTGGGAGTACTATGTGAGGGGGTCTCAGTGGTGGTGATTGAAGAAGTGAAACTGGGAGTACTGTGGGTTGTGGTATCGGTGGTGGTGATTGAAGAAGTGAAGCTGGGAGTACTGTGTGGGGTGGTCTCGGTGGTGGTGATTGAGGAAGTGAAGCTGGGAGTATTGTGGGATGTGGTCTCAGTGGTGGTGGTCGAAGAAGTGAAGTTGGGAGTACCGTGTGAGTGGGTCTCAGAGGTGGTTATGGAAGAAGTGAAGCTGGAAGTACTGTGTGAGGGGATCTCGGTGGTGGTGATCGAGGAAGTGAATCTGCGAGTACTGTGCGAGGTGGTCTCGGTGGTTCTGATCGAAGAAGTGTAGCTGGGTGTACTGTGGGAGCTGGTCTCGATGGTGGTGATTGAAGAAGTGAAGCTGGGAGTACTGGGTGAGGTGGTCTCAGTGGTGGTGATCAAAGAAGTGATGCTGGGAGTACTATGTGAGGGGGTCTCAGTGGTGGTGATTGAAGAAGTGAAACTGGGAGCACTGCGGGATGTAGTCTCTGTGGTGGTGATTGAAGAAGTGAAGCTGGGAGTACTGTGTGGGGTGGTCTCGGTGGTTGTGATTGAGGAAGTGAAGCTGGGAGTATTGTGGGATGTGGTCTCGGTGGTGGTGGTCGAAGAAGTGAAGTTGGGAGTACCGTGTGAGTGGGTCTCAGAGGTGGTTATGGAAGAAGTGAAGCTGGAAGTACTGTGTGAGGGGGTCTCGGTGGTGCTGATGGAAGAAGCATAACTGGGTGTACTGTGTGAGCTGGTCTCGATGGTGGTGATTGAAGTACTGTGTGAGGGGGTCTTGCTGGTGGTAATTGAAGAAGTGAAGCTGCGAGTACTGTGTGAGGTGGTCTCGGTGGTGTTGATTGAGGTAGTGAAGCTGGGAGTACCGTTTGAGGGGGTTGTTGTCTTAGAAGTCACTGATGTGGAGGTGATTGAAGAAGTCTTGAGTAGAGTAGATCTCACTGCTGTTTTGAAAGATCCTGTGGTAGGAGTCAGTGTGGTGGTCTCAGGGGATGTGGCTGCTGAACTGGTCAATGTAGTCTGACCTGTGCCTTTAGTTGCTACAGTGGATGAAGATGTTTCCATCGTTGTAAAGGTTGTGAATGAGGTGTTGGTTATGGGTGATGGGGTGGATCCAGCTGTTGTGTGGAGTATACTGGTGATGGATGGAGGTGAGGAGATACTCTCGGTGTGAGTGGTCCCTGTACTGCTGGCAGACATGGAAGAGGAAAATGAATATGTTGCTGGGAAGCTCGTCAGGAGGGAAGTTGTCTGAGTGCCCTCAGTACTTGTGAGAGTTGGTCTCTCGCTGGGAGTGGTGGCAGAGGTCATGCTGACAAGGGATGAGGTTTCTGTATTCTGGATGTTGGGGGAAGATGGGATGTCACTTGTGGACACTGCTGAGGTACTGGAAACAGCAAATGTTGAGGAGAGGACTGTTGTTGTAGTCAAGGATTCAGTAGAGCTCACAGAAGAGTGGATGATAGTTGTGGGTGTTGTCGAAGGGATGTCTGTAGTCAGAGAAGATGGGGTCATGGTTGTGGAAGTCACCACGGTACCTGAGGTAGGCAAAGCTGAGGAGATGGCAGTTGTGGTTGTACTGCTTGTGGAGTAGATGGTTGAAGAAGTGAAGCTGGGAACACTGTGGGAGGTGGTCTCAGGGGTGGTGGTTACCAAGGTTGTGATAGGAGTCGTGGCAGTTTCTACGTTTAGGAGAGAGGAAGAGGTGGGTGAGAGAGAAGTCTCAGGGAACAATGTACCTGTCATACTTGTGGGGTAGCTGATGTCGGTCGTGGAATCTGTGGCTGTGCTAGTGGGAGAAGTAGTGTAGGTGGTCTCAGATGTAGGTCTAGACCTGGTGATGGTAGTGGGGAGTGTGGTCACCAAGGTGGATAGAGGGGTAGTGTTGGTGTTATGACTGGTGATTGTTTCTGTGCTCAGGACAGGTGTAGAATATAAAATGCTACTGGTGAGTGATGATAACGTATTACTGGCTGTGGGCCAGGAAGTCGTTCTTGCCATAGAAGTCACTGTATTGGTGGGAGTGACTGAAGAAGTGATGGGAGGAGTAGAAGTCATGGCTGTTGTGAGAGATTCTGTGGACATGTCAGTTGTAGGAGTCAGTGTGGTGGTCTCAGGGAATGTGGCTACAGAGCTGGGGAAGGTGGTCTGACCTGTGCCTGTAGTTGCTACAGTGGTTGAAGGTGGTTCCATCATTGTGGATGTGGTGAATGAGGTGGTGGTTGTGGGTGATGGGGTTGATTCTTCTGTTGTGTAGAGTGTACTGGTGCTGGCTGGAGGTGACGAGATACTCTCTGTGTGAGTGGTCCGGGCACTGCTGGCAGGCATGGAAGACGAAAATGAATACGTCCCAGAGAAGGTCATCAGGAGGGAACTTGTCGGAGTGCTGTGTGTACTAGCAAAAGTTGGCCTCCCACTGGGAGTGGTGGCAGAGGTCATGCTGACAAAGGATGAGGTTTCTGTATTCTGGACAGTGGGAGATGAGGGAACGACAGTTGTTGGCCTTGCAGACATGTTGGATACTGTGTACACTGAGGTGAGGTCTGTCATTACAGGTAATGAACCAGTGATGCCCACAGATGATGGAGTGATGGTTGTTGGTTGTGAGGTAGGGATACCTGTACTCTGAGTAAATGGAATCATGGATGTAGAAGCCACCATGGTACCCAAGGTTGTGGGAACTGAGGTGACGGCAGTTGTATATGTGCTGTCTGTGGAGTAGATGGTTGAAGAAGTGAAGCTGGAGGTACTATGTGAGGTGATCTTGGTGGTGGTGGTGGTGGTTACCAAGTTTGTGGTAGGAGTTTTGGCTGTTTCTGTGGTTGAGACCAAGGGAGAGGTGGGTGGAATAGAGGTGGCAGTGGATGATGTCTCTGTCATAGTGGTGGGATAGGTGATTTCAGTCGTGGAGTTTGTACCAGGGCCACTTGGAGAATTAGGATAGGTGGTCTCAGATGTAGTCATAGATGAAACATTTGTAGTGGGGAGTGTGGTTACCAAGATAGATGGAGGGATTGTGTTTGTGGTGCCACTGGTGATTGCTTCTGTGCTTGGGACAGGTATAGAAGACAGAGTCATACTGGTCAGTGATGTAAAATAATTGGTGGTTGTGAGAGGAGAGGTGGTACTTGTCACAGAAGTCACTGTATTTGTGGAAGTGACTGATGAAGTAATGGGAGGAGTGGTCACAGCTGTTGTGAGAGATTCTGTGGACATGTCAGTTGTAGGAGTCAGTGTGGTGGTCTCAGGGAATGTGGCTGTAGAGCTGGGGAAGGTGGTCTCACCTGTTCCTGTAGTTGCTACAGTGGTTGAAGGTGGTTCCATAGTTGTGGAAGTTGTGAATGAGGTGGTGGTAGCAGGTGACAGGGTGGATTCCACTGTTGTGTGGAGTGTACTGGTGATGGCTGGAGGTGAGGAGATACTCTCTGTGTGAGTGGTTCCAGCACTACTGGCAGACATGGAAGAGGAAAATGAATATGTTGCTGGGAAGGTTGTCAGGAGGGAACTTGCTGGAGTGCTGTGTGTACTTGCAAAAGTTGGTGTCCCACTGAGAGTGGTGGCAGAGGTCATGCTGACAACGGATGAGGTTTCTGTATTCTGGATGCTGGGGGAAGATGGAATGACACTTATGGACATTGCTGAGGAACTGGAAACAGTGAATGTCGATGTGAGGTCTGTTCCTGTAGTCGGGAAGCCAGTAGAGCCCACAGAAGGGTGGGTTATAGTTGTTGGTGTTGTCGAAGGGATGTCTGTAGCCAGAGAAGACGGGGTCATGGTTGTGGAAGTCACTATGGTACCTGAGGTAGGGGGAAGTGAGGAGATGGCAGTTGTGGATGTGCTGACTGTAGAGTAGATGGCTGAAGAAGAGAAGGTGGGAGTACTGTGGGAGGTGATCTCAGTAGTGGTGGTTACCAAGTTTGTCATAGGAGCTGTGTCTGTTTCTGTGGTTGGGAGAGAGGAAGATGTGGGTGGGAGTGAAGTCTCCATGGACAATGTACCTGTCACACTTGTGGAGCAGGTGATTTTGGTTGTGGAGTCTGTGGCTGTGCTAGTGGGAGAAGTAGGGTAGGTGGGCTCAGATATAGGTGTAGACCTGGTGATGGTAGTGGGGAGTGTGGTCACCAAGGTAGATAGAGGAGTGGTGTTTGGGATACCACTGGTGATTGTTTCTGTGCTCAGGACAGGTGTGGAAGATAAAATGGTACTGGTGGGTGATGACAGTGTATTGGTGGCTGTGGGCCGGGAGGTGGTCGTTGTCACAGAAGTCACTGTATCTGTGGAAGTGATTGAAGAAGTGATGTGGGAAGTGGAAGTCACTGCTGTTTTGAGAGTAGTAAATACTGGGGCTGGGGACATGGTTGTATGGACACTTCCAGTGGGCAGGGGAGTCCTTTCTGAGATTCTAGTTGTAGAGGAGACCATAGTGTGGAAGGTTGTGTCTGTGGCTGACACAGAGGAAGAGGGTGTCACTGTCACTATGGGAGTTTCCCTTCCAGAGGTGGTAGAGGAAGAAGATGTCACGGCTGACGTTCCTTTCTCAGTAGTGGTCATAGGGTAAGTCCTGGTGAGGGTGGTCACTGGCTTCTGTGTCACGGGAGTGGGGGTGTAAGAGCTGGTGAAGGCCACCTGCGTCGTGGTCACACAGATGGAGGTGGGGTGGGAGATGGTGATTGTAAAGCTCGTTGGATACACGCACTCAGTGGTGGCCGAATAGACCAACACAGTGGGTGGAGTGGTTTCAACCTTGAAAGCAAACTTGGACGTCGGGGTGGTTGAGGTGTTGGAACTGACTGGAGAGGTGAGCAGTGTTTCAGAGATGAGTGTGTCATGGGGGGAGGTAACGAGCGTCATAGGTACATTTTCCCTGTGGCCAGGAGCAGAAGAGACAAGCTGGGGGACACCGAGTGGCCGCCCAGCCAGGTCTCTGGAGTGTGGAGAATTGCTGAGCACAGCGCGGGCTGCTTCCGCCCTGGGGAAAGGCACATGAGAGATGGATGTGGCCGTAGATACAGTTCCTGCATTGGCAGCAGAGCAGAGGAATCCACTGGTAAGTCCGTGGGTCATTTTGTCACATCACTCATGTAAGTTACTCACTCACTCCCATTTTCCAGGCAGCATCACAGAGGGCAGGGTATGCCACAGCTCACTCCTGCATCAGAGGCAGCTTGGAGCTGGGCGCTTTGTGGTGCTGGAGCCCACTGCCTGTCTGCTCCTAGGGGAGCAGTGGGGCATGGGAGCGCTCCTTCCTCACCCGGCCTTGGCCTTGTCATGGCCGGTCCTTCTGTCCTGGGATAGCCAAGCTGGGCAGAGCCTCCCTCCCCTCCCTTCCCTCCTCTGGTCACACGCAGGCCCCTCCTCCCTCTGCCCCTTCCTCTCCTCCCTCTGCTGCTGCCTGGAGTCCTCCCATCCCCTCCATTAACCTTCTGCTCCCACCATGGCTTCTCCCTGCACCCTGCTGCTGTCTGGGCTGACTCCCGCTTTCAAAGAGAAAAAGAGAGAACACAGCCAAATCCTAGCAGGGGATGCATCACAAAAACCATGAGACAGAGAAAGCTGCCCAAAGAGGGCCAGGCGCAGTGGCTCACGCCTGTAATCCCAGCATTTTGGGAGCCCAAAGCAGGTGATCACCTGAGGTCAGGAGTTCCAGACCAGCCTGGCCAACATGGTGAAACCCCATCTCTACTGAAAAAAAAAATACAAAAATTAGCCAGGTGTGGTGTCGTGCACCTGTAGCTGAGGCAGAAGAATCGCGTGAACCTGGAAGGCAGAGGCTACAGGAAGCCAAGGTCGCACCACTGCACTCCAGCCTGGGCGACAGAGCAAGACTTCATCTCAAAAAAAAAAAAAAACTGCACAGGTAACATCAAGGAGAAACAGAGGCTAAGCTCACACGCTAATGACTTCAAGGGGCATGGAGTGAGGACCACGCGGAGAGGTAGAGAGACAGGATGGAGAAGGAAACTTCCAGAAGGAGCTACCTCAGCAGTCATGTGTGATGAGTTCCGGAGACCTTAAGGCTTAGCGGTGAGTGTTCATCACAAAAATAGACATATTTTTCTATAACTCTTCCATTTTGGCCACAGGATTCATTAGTTTACAAACATGAACCCCAGCATGTGGATTTCAACCCATTTCACAGATGGTGTGACTTAGGATCAGAGATCCTGCTGTTGGGGGCAGTCACAGGCAAGGAAGACCGGCAGCCACAGCAGACGGGAAGTGGAAAATACTGGACCTGCTGCCCCTCACCTCAGGCACAGCCCATCTTGTGGGTGAGAGCTGGGGTGTCAAGTCTCAGCCTAGCTCGCGGGTGTCAGGGAAGTGGGGTCAGGAATTATGAGAAGCCCCAAGTTACACCACTTGACTCCAGGATGTGCCCCTGGAGGTGACTGAGAAGGGAACTCATGGGCCTCTGGGGTCAGGGATCAGAGGCAGACACTGGAGAACAGGGACAAGAGAAGTACAGAGGAATTGTGGGGTGTTCCTGCAGGGCAGAAGAGAGAAGCCTGGGACCCCATGCCGGGTAGTCTCAGACGCACCCCTGGAAGCAAAGTGGACTTCAGAAGCTCCCTGCCCTGGTCCTGGTACCAACAGCCGTGCCCAGACACATGGGCCCTGGCCGGGGTGAGAGAGTGACAGCAGAGCTGGGGAGGAGCTGCTGAGGGACAAAAGGCAAAGAGGCTGAAACCGGAAGTCGGAAACCAGGGGCAGAGGTCAAAGGGCTCTCGGGGAGGGAGAGGCCAGTTTGGAGGGGGCACTGGGGCTGGGGGCGTGAGGCGGGTGACAAGAAGGAGCCAAGGCAGGAAGGGCACTGCTCTGGGAAGACGTAACTCCCACCCTCCACCCTCCCGCTGCAGACACAGGTTGGGGTGCAGCCCCTGCAACCTGTTCAGTGCTTGGTGGAGAGTGGCAGCGGGGACCCAGCTCCCTTGCTCCTTCTCAACCTCCGTTTTCCCTCTACCAAACCCTTCCTCATCCCCCCAAGGCCATGCCTCGGTTCTCCCTGCACCCAGAGCTGAGAGAAGCCCCTCCTCATTCCCCATCCCCAGGCCTCAGAGCCACCTTCTCCTCCACTCCCCTGGAACATAACATCAGGAGCTTCTCTCCAGCCCCCTCCCGCCTCTCCCCCTTACCTGTGGCCCCTGGGGAGGCCTTGAGCATCCAGAGGAGGCCGAGGAGCCCCAGCAGCTGCATTGGCCCAGCAGGCAGAGGGCTGGTGCAGAGCAGGTTCCAGGGCCAGGACAGCGGCAGGGACCGGGACGTGCACGCAATGAAAGTGCTGGTTATCTGTTCTACTGAGCACAGCCTCACCTTTGCACCGCCCCACCTCACCCCTCTTCCTCCCTTCTCTCTGCATCTGGACAGACGTCAGTGCTGTGGGAAGCAGGGACACGAGGGAAAAGGACAAATCCAGGAGGTGTCAGGCAGGGAGAGTCGCTGGTGGCCCAGCCCCACAGCCTGCCTGGCCCACGTGGAGCTACCTGGAAACTGCCCTTCCTCCCCCACGCCCATGGAGGGTACCCTTGACCAAGGGCTTGGACTCTGGAGTTTGGGCCGACTCCTGCAGCCTCTCCTTAGTTTCAATTCCTCCTGCTGGGGAGACGGTGCAACCTCGCTCTCCTTCAAGTCTGCTCTGTCCCTTAATCTGCCCCCCGGCTCCATCCTGCCCCTAGTAGGACCCCACAGGCCAGACAAAACTGTGAGAGCAATTAACACAGAATTCCGTCTGAAGTCATTTTATTATCTGAAGAGTTGGGGCTAGGTCCAGAAAAGGAAACACAGATAACCAAAGGAAACACTCAAAAATACTAGTCTGGGCCAGGAGTGGAGGCTCACGCCTGTAATCTCAGCACTTTGGGAGGCCAAGGGATCACTTGAGGTCAGGAGTTTGAGACCAGGCTGGGCAACATGGCAAAACCCCATCTCTACTAGAAATACAAAAATTAGTCTGGCATGGTGGCGGGTGCCTGTCGTCCCAGCTACTCGGGAGGCTGAGGCAGGACAATCGCTTGAACCCAGGAGGCAAAGGTTGCAGTGAGCCAAGATCACACCACTGCATTTTAGCCTGAGCAACAGAGCAAGACTCCATCTCAAAAAAAAAAAAAAAAAAAACTAGTTTGGACCTAGCACATTGTTTGACCTTCCTAGGTGGTAACTATTAGGAAGATTGAGTCTATCCAGTTTGGGCAAAGGTATGAAGAATAGATGTTCTCGCCTAGATGGTGGGTTTACAGGTGGGTTGGTTTGCTTTAAAAGGGTAATTTGAGGCTGGGCGCAGTGGCTCATGCCTGCAATCACTTTGGGAGGTCAAGGCAGGCAGACCACTTGAGGTCAGGAGTTTGAGACCAGCCTGGCCAAAAGGGTGAAACCCCATTTCTACTAAAAATGCAAAACTTAGCCAGGCTTGGTGGCGCACATCTGTAATCCCAGCTACTCGGGGGACTAAGGCAGGAGAATTGCTTTTTTGAGACAGAGTCTCACTCTGTCATCCAGGCTGGAGTGCAGTGACATGATCTCGGCTCACTGCAACCTCTGTCCTAGTTCAAGTGATTCTCCTGCCTCAGCCTCCTGAGTAGCTGGGATTACAGGCGTGTGCCGCCATGCTCAGCAATTTTTTTTTTTTTTTTTTTTTTTTGTATTTTTGCTAGAGAGCAGGTTTTGCCATGTTGGCTTGGCTGGTCTCGAAATCCTGGCTTCAAGTGATACACCCGCCTCGGCCGCCCAAAGTGCTGGGACGACAGGTATAAGCCACCACGCCTGGCCCAGCATCTGTAGCTTGATTTCCTTCCTACTCTCTGCACCCTCTTCTGGGTGCTCCAGTGCACACTGAGAACTGGTGAGGTTTTGGAGAAGCAGACAGTAGAATGAGGGAAGACTACCCTGAGAAGGCAGGAAAATCATTTCCACTGCTCTGCAGGGGAGCTAAGGCGCAGGAATGCCCTGAAAGATGAGGGGACATGTGCTGGATTGAGCGTGATGTTTGCTGGGGAGAGAGTGGTGGTGCAGGTGCATTTGTAGGTGACAAGAGCAGTAAGACCAAGCTGAGATGTTTGTTTATTTATTTATTTGAGACAGAGTCTTGCTCTGTCACCCAGGCTGGAGTGCCGTGGTATGATCACAGCTCACTGCAGCCTCCACCTCCCAGGTTGCAGCAATTCTCCTGCCTCAGCCTCCCAAATAGCTGGGATTACATGTACACACCACCATGCCCAGCTAATTTTTGCATTTTTAGTAGAGACAGGGCTTCACCGTGTTGGCCAGGCTGGTCTCAAACTCCTGACCTCAGGTGATCCACCCCTCTTGACCTTCCACAGTGCTGGGATTACAGGCATGAGCCACCACATCCGGCCCCATAAGCTGAGATATTTAGACATCAGAGGAACCTCTGTGGGCTGAGTAGGCCTGGAAATGCCTCTGTAGGGCAGATCAGCGTCAGAGAGGCCATTGAGAGGCACCCAAAGCCATCCTGGGAGGAGGACATGAAGGTCCAGCTGGGAACCCAACTCCCCTGGAAATGGGGGCTCCACCTGATGGTTGGCTGAGGGGCACTGAGATGTATGGTCCAGGAGGCTGTGTTGACTGGGAGGAGAGGAGCCTCTTTTTGCTGGATGACAAGGGTTTCCAGTTGAGTCTGTTGAGTTTGGGGTGATGGTGAGGTTTCTGGGTGGAGCTGTCCTGGAGGCCTTGGGTCTCAGGGGAGGGCTTCCGGGATGGATCCACTGCCATTGCCCCAGCCCCTGCTATGGGCCGAGGTATGAAAATGTAGGTGCTCACCATGCACTAAAACGGCCAGCACCTTGGTCTTGAACTTTGCAGCCTTCAGAGCTGTGAGAAATAAATCTCTATATTTTTTGTTGTTTTTTAGATGGAAGTCTTACTTTGTTGCCCAGGCCTGCCTCGAACTCCTGGGCTTAAGCTATCCTCCCACCTCAACCACCCAAAGTGCTGGGATTACAGGCATGACCCACCGTAACCGGCCAATATCTATTATTTAAGCCATTCAGTCTATGGTCTCTGCTATGGTAGCCCAAGCTGACTAAGACAGGCTGCCTTCAAGATTTTCTCTTCATCAGCTGGGTGCAGTGATTCATGCCTTGTAATCCCAGTGCTTTGGGAGGCCGGCCTCAGCCGCCGCGCGTCGTGGCCCAATCAGTTCCCTGCTACTCACCCAGCTTCCGAAAGCCGACAGAAAAGGGCCCGGAGCCGTGGAGCTGCCGCCTCCCCGCCCCGTGAGCTGCCGGAGCCGGCGGCCCGCCGAGCCGCCCTGGCGGCGGGGTTGCACCTTCGCCCTTTCCCTGCCGCGGGGGGCAGAGGCGGTGGCGGCGGCCCGGCCGCTGCCCAGAGGAACCCTTTCGCCCGCCTGGACAACCGACCGCGGGTCGCCGCGGAGCTCCCCGACGGGCCGGCCCGCGAGCAGCCGGAGGCGCCGGGCCCGTTTTTAGATTCTAATCAAGAAAATGATTTGCTATGGCAAGAGAAGTTCCCTGAAAGAACAACTGTTACTGAATTACCCCAGACTTCACATGTATCGTTCTCCGAGTCTGATATTCCATCCTCAGAAAATACTGAGTTACCTGTGGACTGGAGTATTAAAACCCGACTCCTTTTCATCTCTTCTCAACCCTTTACCTGGGCAGATCATTTGAAAGCACACGAAGAGGCTCAAGGTCTTGTCCAGCATTGTAGGGCAACAGAAGTTACTTTGCCTAAAAGTATACAGGATCCCAAACTCTCCACTGAGCTCCGTTGTGCCTTCTAGCAGAGCCTTATCTATTGGCTCCAGCCTGCTTTGTCTTGGCTACCACTGGACCCTCGTATTGGAGCTGATAGAAAAATGGCTGGAAAGACAAGTCCTTGGTCAAATGATGCAACCCTGCAGCATGTTTTAATGAGTGACTGGTCCGTGAGCTTTACTTCTCTATATAATTTGCTGAAGACAAAACTTTGCCCCTATTTCTACGTTTGTACCTATCAGTTTACTGTCCTGTTCAGAGGAGCAGGATTAGCTGGAAGTGACTTCATCACAGGTCTCATATCTCCTACAACTCGAGGTTTAAGAGATGCTATGAGAAATGAAGGTATTGAATTTTCTCTGCCTTTAATAAAAGAAAGTGGCCATAAGAAGGAGACAGCATCTGGAACAAGCTTGGGATATGAGGAGCACGAAGTGTGTATGTGAAGACACAAGCTCTTTCTGGATACAGAGACCAGTTTAGTTTGGAGATTACAGGTCCTATCATGCCTCATTCTCTGCATTCACTGACCATGCTGCTCAGATCTTCACAGAGTGGGTCTTTCTCTGCAGTACTACATCCACACGAGCCAACTGCTGTATTTAACATCTGCCTGCCAGTGGACAAAGTACTTGATATGGAGGTTGTTCATAAGGAGCTTACTAACTGTGGTTTGCACCCTAACACTTTGGAGCAACTTAGTCAAATACCATTACTTGGGAAATCAGCTTTACGGAATGTGGTGCTGAGAGACTACATTTATAATTGGAGATCCTGAACACCAAAGTAAGCCTAAAAGGAATCTTTGAGGAAAAAAGCCTTCTAGCAAGGAAATTCAAGATTCCTGAAGTTGAAGGAATATACTGACATGTTTATAAACATAACTTTTATTACAGTAGCATCTAAGGTTTTAAATCAGTGTTTTCTGCTTTTACTATTTTCAGATTAGATTTTTAGATATAAAGATGAAAAACTCAGATAACTCAAATGAGCTATCTGTATCCCTACAACCTAATTGTATATTGAGTAGAAATTGAATTAATATGTTTCCTTGCAAATGGGAAATCACATAGCAGTTACCTCATGGCATTGTGACTAATGGCATCAAGGCAAAAATATGTTACTTTACCATTTACCTAAGACTGTTAGCAGGTTCTTGTTCCATAAAGGTAGAAAATAAATATAGATAGCATCTACTGAGCTAGCTGATTGGTGATGCTTCTACCTTAATATCTTTCCTACTGATTTATAATTCCTTTATTTTCACATATACTAAAACTCTAATGCATGTTAATTCAGATAAAAAGGCATTTTGTATTCCACATAGAATAGTGTTAAGAATTGTGAAGTACACTGAGCTGTCATGGCAAAGTAGTATTTAATGTGCTTATAGGGTGTGTGTGTGTGTGTGTGTGTGTGTGTGTGTGTGTGTGTTGTGTGTGTTGGGATTGTATAATTCACATTTTTAAAATAAAAGTGCTTAGAAATCAAAAGCAAAAAAAAAAAAAAAATTGGCCGGGCGCGGTGGCTCAAGCCTGTAATCCCAGCACTTTGGGAGGCCGAGACGGGTGGATCACGAAGTCAGGAGATCGAGACCATCCTGGCTAACATGGTGAAACCCCGTCTCTACTAAAAAATACAAAAAGCTAGCCGGGCGTGGTGGCGGGCGCCTGTAGTCCCAGCTACTCAGGAGGCTGAGGCAGGAGGATGACGTAAACCCGGGAGGCGGAGCTTGCAGTGAGCTGAGATCTGGCCACTGCACTCCAGTCTGGGCGACAGAGCAAGACTCCGTCTCAAAAAAAAAAAAAAAAAAAAATTAAGATGGATGTGATGGCTCATGCCTGTAATCCTGGCACTTTGGGAGGCCGAGGCAGGAGGATCCCTTGAGTCCAGGAGTTCGAGACCAGCTCGGGCAACATAAGGATTTAAAAAAAAAAAAAAATGAGCTGGTCATAGTGGCACATGCTTGTAGTCTTAGCTACTTGGGAGGCTAAGGGGAGAAGATCTCTTGAGTACAGGAATTATAGACTGCGGTGAGCTGTGATTGCACCATTGCACTCCAGCCTGGGTGACAGAGTGAGGCCCTGTCTCAAAAATTATTTTTCTCTCTTTATCTTTGATTTTCAACAATTTGACTCTGACTATAATGTCTGTGGTTTGTGGTCCTTCTTTTAGTTTTGGGAAATTCTTAGTGATTATTGTCTTCAAATATTTCTCCTGCTCTGTTCTCTCTCTCTTCTCCTTCTGAGATTCCAATGACATGTATGTTAGGACATTCCATATTGGACTATAGCTCTTGGGTGCTCTGTTCTGCACAAATCCCCACCACCCCTTTCTGGATTTCAGGTTGAGTAATTTTTATTGACGTATCTTCAGTCAATTGACTGAATATAAAAACTGATTTATCTTCAGTTTTTACTGACTTATCTTCATAATTATTTCCTCTACTGTGTCTTATTTACTGCACATCCTGTTGAAAAGAAGTCTTGGCCAGGTGCAGTGGCTTATACCTGTAATCCCAGCACTTTGGGAGACTGAGGTGGGAGGACAGCTTGAGCACAGGAGGTCGAGGCCAGCCTGAGCAACATAGTGAGGCCCCATCTCTACAAAAAATACGAGAAAAAAAATTAGCTGGGTGTGGTGGTGTGCACCTGTAGTCCCAGCTACTTGAGAGGCTGAGACAGGAGGAATGCTTGAGCCCAGGAGGTCGAGGCTGCAGTGAGCTGTGATTATGCCACTGCATTCCAGCCTGGGCAACAGAGAGAGACCTTGTCTCAAATAATAATAATAACAATCTTAAAAAATCAGAAAAGAACTCTTTATCTGTGATATTATGGCTTGTATTTCTACCATCCTCATTTAAAAGAAGCCTCTTGAGAGGCACCGAGAGCCACCCTGGAATAGGAGATGGACGGTCCAGGAGGCTGTATTGACCGGGAGGAAGGAGCCTCTCTTTGGTGGAAGACAAGGGTCTCCAGTTGCGCCTTTTGAGTGTGGGGTGACGTGAAGTTTCTGGGAGGAGCTGTTCTGGAGTCCTGCGGCTCCCGGACAAGGGACGCAGTTTAGAACTCAACCTTCTCCAAGTGCTGCAAAGGGCACAAGGGCCAGAAAATGCCAGGGACCCACATGGGGACTGGAACTGGTATCCTGTTTTGTGCACATGAAGCTCCCAAGTGTTCCTAGTAAGGGTCCAGGAGGGGATGGTGCAGGGGAGAGGGACCAAGTGTCTGCCCCGGAAGGGCAGGGTCAGGGGTCTGAAGGGGTCAGCACTCTTTAGCTGAGAAAGGTGAAGCTGGGAGTGGAAATGGTTAACATCTATAAATTTGGGAAGAGAGTGGTGGAGCTGAGAACAGATTTGTTCACAATAGACAAAGGGGCAACCTTTGAAACTCGAGTGATGTAAAATCTGAAGCAATTACAAGGAGTGCTGTTTTATACAGAGAGTAATAGACTTACGCATTCAGCAAACACCAAAGGCTGGCTCTGCCTGGGCAGGTGCTCTGGAGGAGGCAGGGGGAATAAACAGTTTATAGGAGAGTTAATGAGATGGGATTGGGGCAGAAACGGCCACAGCCCAGTCTGCTGCTGGAGCTACGAGAGGGGGCCCGGGGCTGGAGGGGCACAGAGGGGACCTCTGGGGGCCTTCCATCTGGGCTGATGAGGGTACGGGGAGAGGGAGAGGCAGCATTTGAGTTTGGTGGCGGTTGAGAAGTAGTACAGGAAGGAAGTATTATATTAACAGATGCTCAAAGGCCTTAGACAAATTCAGAACCACATTGTCTGAACTTACACGGAGCTAGGGAGAGAATTGGGATATGGGTAATCAGATTCCCTGGAGAAGATCTAATCTTGGGTGGCACTGGGATGAGCTGGGGTCACCCACAGCTCACTGGGGTGTGGGAAGGCCCAGAGACCCCCACACCCCAAAAATATTAAAAATATTTCCAGTCCCCATGTGGGTCCCTGGCATTTTCTGGCCCTTGTGCCCTTTGCAGCACTTGGAGAAGGTAGAGTTCAAGACTGCGTCCCTTGTCCGGGAGCCACAGGACTCCAGAACAGCTCCTCCCAGAAACTCCATGTCACCCCACACTCAATATATTAAAATATTAAAAATGGGCCAGGCATGGTGGCTCACTCATGCTTATAATCCCAGCGCTTTGGGAGACCAAGGTGGGAGGATTGCTTGAGGGCAGGAGTTTGAGACTAGCATGGGCAAAAATATTTTATTTTTTAATAAAAAAATGTTTTAAAGTTAGGGCCGGGCACAGTGGCTCACACCTATAATCCCAGCACTTTGGGAGGCCAAGGTGGGCAGAACACAAGATCAGGAGTTCGAGACCAGCCTGGCCTACTTGGTGAAATCCCCTCTCTACTAAAATTACAAAAATTAGCTGGGCATGGTGGCAGGTGCCTGTCATCCCCACTACTTGGGAGGCTGAGGCAGGAGGGTTGCTTAAGCCCGGAAGGTGGAGGTTGCAGTGAGCTGAGATCCCGCCACTGCACTCCAGTCTGCTGAGCAAAAGAGCAATACTCAGTCTCAAAAAAAAAAAAAAAAAAAAAAAAAAAAAAAAAAAAAAGCTACAGATGCCACTGGTAGTCTCTGATCTGACATCTAAACTGCTCCCCAAGGACCCAGAATCCATTCCTGGAGCAGGGCATGGTTTTCAGAGAACTGGGGTCTGCTACAGGAGGAGAGGCACGGGTACAGAAAACTGGGGTCTGCTAGAGGAGGAGAGCCGCGGGTGCAGAGAACTGGGGTCCACTAGAGGAGGAGAGGTGCAGGTGCAGAGAACTGGGGTCCCTAGATGAGGAGAGGCATGGGTGCAGAGAACTGGCATCCTCTAGGGGAGGAGAGGCACAGGTGCAGAGAACTGGGGTCCTCTAGGGGAGGAGAGGCACAGGTGCAGAGAACTGGGGTCCTCTAGAGGGGGAGGGGAGGCATGGGTGCAGAGAACTGGGGTCCTCTAGAGGCAAAGGGGCGTGGGTGCAGAGAACTGGGGTCCTATAAGGAGAGGTGTGGGTGCAGAGAACTGGGGTCCTCTAGAGGGGAAGAGGGGCGCAGGGCGCAAATCGCCTGTCAAGTGATGGCCATGTTCATTATTTGCTGTGTGGCCCCAGGCAAATCACTCATCCTCTCTGAGCCTCCATATCCTTATCTGCCCTGACTTCCTTACACAGTCCTCCTGGTGACAATCATATGAGCTACGTGCTGGGGAATGGCCTTGTGAAGGGCAGAGCTCTCTACAAGAGGAGGGCAGGGGTCTCTGGATCTAATCAGACCTTCCAAAGCCCTCCGGAGTGGTCCTACTTGCCTGGCCTCACACCCTCCTGCTTTCTGCACTGGCCATAGATAGATGGTTTTCTGACTGTTTTACACACGAAGGGGTTCACCTGTGTTATCTTTGCCACACAATTATAAGCACCTCAGGGACAGGGGCTTTGGTTGCTTAGGGGCCATCTCTAACACTCGGCTGGGTACACCGAGGCAATGCCACCTGCTGACTCCTGGGGCCTTCATCATCACTGTCATCACCTCCATCACCCTCTCCTTGAATAATCTGACTAGAGAGATCTGCTGGGCCAGGCCTTGGGAGCAGGGATGCGAAGGACCCCTCCTAAGACCCATCCAGGCCCACAGCTTCCCACTCCTGTATATGAACTTAAAGGGAATCTATACGTTATTAATAAACTCTCATAATGTCCCCAAATCCACAGAGTTCATCACTCCAGCCCTTGAAACTCTCCCATCAGCTCCTCCCCGCCTGTACCTCTCTCCGAACATGTCGGGTGGGGTAAAGAGGTCTCATCTGTCAAGGCTTGGCAGACAGAAGCCGCCTCGGAGGGCCTGAGTCCCTGGCTAGGAGGATGGTGGGACTTCCCTGGTGGGTTACCTCGAAGGTGTCCTGCAGGGCTCCAGAGACCCCCACATCAGCTCCCTGCCCCCTCACGACCCCTTCTGCCCTCCCCACAGCCTTCAACTCAAGGTCTCCCTCTCCCACCTCTCCTCATCCCTGTCCACCCCTGCCAGGAAGGAATCAGAAAGTCTGCTTTTTATGAGGGAAATCAGCAGGTCAGAGCCATCTCTCAGACACAGCCACCACCAGGCTGAGCAAGGACCCCCAAACTCCTGTCTTTTCCCGCAGCCCCTCAGCCATTTTTTTAGATGGTTTTTTACTCGTGTTGTGAGACTGGAGGGCGGTGGTGCCATCTCACCTCACTGCAACCTCCACCTCCGCCTCCCATGTTCTAGTGATTCTCCTGCCTCAGCCTCCCAAGTAGCTGGGATTACAGGGGTGCCACACCATGACCAGCTAATTTTTGTATTTTTATTAGAGACGGGGTTTCACTATATTGGCCAGGCTGGTCTCAAACTCCCGACCTCAGGTGATCCACCCACCTCGGTCTCCCAAAGTATTGGGATTACAGGCATGAGCCACCACAACCGGCCCCGTCAGTCATTTCTAAATGGAGGGGATTCCCCAGGTGCACCTGAGGCTCCCCCAGGTCAAGAGAGGACACTGTCAGACAGCCCTCTGGATTCCCTCTCTCCCGACCAGGGCTGGCAGCATGTGCAGTGCCCCTGTGAGGCTTGGAAAGACCCATCCCTCCAGCAGATAAAGCCCCCAGGAGGAGGGTGGGCAGAGCCCACTGTCTGTGACAAAACCCCCTTATCCTCCGGGGGGAGCCTGGAGGGCAGAAGCTGTGGATTTCAGCCACCCCACGGCCAGGGGCTGTGTGCAGACCATCCCCTGCACACCACAGGCACCCACAGGTCTCCACAGTGACCCCTTCAGCAGCCCCAAGGCAAGATGAGGTCACAGCACGGGTCTCCAGCCCTGTGGCAGCCCCTTGCCATGCAAAGGGGAGGAGGCCACCTGCAACCCTGCTGCCTGAGGCAGGGGCGTGTACTATGACCACCCAGGAGCACTGGACCCAGAGCATCAGCCCAGGGGCACTCACCCTGCGTCAATGTAGCAGTAAAGGACGCAGAGAGCCAGAGAGCCAGCGTCGGAATCCAGATCACCAGCATTTCCCAGGGAACGGGCCCCTAGCTGCCCGCCTTCCCCCGTCAAGAGGGACCAAGAAATGAAAGCCTCCCAGGAAGGGATCAGCTATAAAAAGGACCCCAGAGACCTTTGCCTTGAAGAAGAGCAGTGCCCGTCCCAGGGTAGAGGTGAGGTGATGGCGTTGAGCAGGTAGCACGTGGTGACCACGGGGAGTTAAACGAAGGGCAGCCTGTCCACCCTCCTCCCTCATAAGTCCTGGAGAAGTCACTGCGCTGAGCCAGGGTCCCTCTCTCTCAGCGGAAGTCACAGGCACTGTGGGTGGGGCAGTGCAGGAGGGAGGGATGGAAGCTAGAGGTGTGAGCACACCATGGGTGACAAGAGGTGGGGGCCAAGAAGCACCAGGGAGCGGGTGACCATGGAGGGAGAAGTTCAGAACCATGGAAGGGGCAGCTGGCAACAGGCCAGACCAAGTGAAAGACCCTCCACTCCCACCCCCGAGAAGCCCCTCTCTCTTCCAGCAATCCCTCCCCATTCCCCGCCTCGACATGGTCCTTTCCAAATGTCCAGGGCTTTCCCTGGGGTCCCCAGCTTCCAACCCTTCTCCTGGGCGGGGTGCCCACTCACACCTGAGACTTTATGGTCCTGGTCTCCACCCCTGGCCAGACACAGAGGTGACGAAAGGCCATGGCCCGTCCCTGCCCAGGGCAAACATCACAGGGGCCTCTCCCAAGCCCGCACCCAAAGACCCAAGGGGACATGTTATTTCTGAACACCCTCGACTCCTCAGGCAGGCCTGACTGCCTGCAACAGCAGGAACAGAAGGGCCCTGTGCCAGCACAGACAGGCTCTGTTGTGTGCGTTTGCTATCAGGGTTTGGGAACCTTGTGGGGAATCCAGATCTTTGGGGAGGTCCAGCTTTACCCATCCTTGTAAAGGGTGACTGGACCAGGCAGCCCTAGCCCCTGGACCACCCAACTCCCTGAACCAGCACCAGCGGTCTAATTGCTCCCTAAGCCCCCAGTGTCAAGGTCAGGGCAGTGGTGGGGGTGGGGAGAGCACAGATGACAAAGCCCAAGGGGCCCCTGCCCCGAGTCACTCCCCAACAAAATGGGTTCCCCCCAACCTCTGTGTTTTCTGTGAGGAACGTCATGGCCCCCAAGGGCTGCCCACAGACCCCTTCCTTCCTCCCTGGGAGACACGAGTGATCCCAGGATCCTCCTACTGCACCGCCTCTGGAAATCCCTGTTCTCCAATCAGGTGGAGAGCACTGCGGGGTGAAAGGGAGACAGACAGAGAGCAGTTTCTTTTACAGTAAACTCTATATTGTGTTCACATGGAGACCTGGAGATGTGCCGACTTCCGGTCCCCGAAGCCGATCTTCACTGCCAAGGAGATTGAGGATTTCAGGACTCAGAGTTATGGCAGGAATCAGGAATCAATCGAGGTGACATCAGGGAGAGAGGGACGGAGGAAGGAAAAGGGAGGGGATGGGTTTAAAAGGCAGTGGTGAGGTGAGAGGGGAGGAAGATCGAAGGGAGTGAGGAGGAGGGGGACTGAGGGGGCTGCCTTTCCTTGGGGACTGGGGAACTCATGCCCTGCCCCCACCCTCGGGGCTCCAGGGGTGAGAGAAAGAGGTGGAGAATAAAGAATCGGGCAGCAGGGTGATGGGGGGAACAGCAGCTGGGGTATTTAGGGCAGGGGGAGTGGGGGGCAGAACCAACTAATGGACCGGCTCAGAAGGGGAGAAGATACAAGGAATGAGAGCAAGAGAAACAGGGAATTGGGCAACGGAGTGATGGGGGGAACAGCAGCTGGGGTACCCTAAGACACAGAGGCTATCTATACCTTGCTAGGGACCAGGATGTGAGGAGAGGAGGGAGGATTTAGGGCTGGGGGACTGGGGGGCAGGATGCTTGAAGGAACGGTGTCAGAAGGAGAGGACATCTAAGGAATGAGAGCAAGAGACACAGCAGGGAGTTAGATCAGGAGAGGACAGGAGATGGGATGGGCTGCAGGCTGCCTCCAGGTTCAAAGTAAGAAACAGGCAGTAGGGAATTGAGAGAAAATAGGAACCAGGGCCGGAGACCAGGCGAAGGACATGAGGATTGGAGGATCCGAGAGAGGCAATGGCAACATGAGGGCTGAGACGGGAGGGCAGAGTAGGACCCAGAATTGACCAAGTCCATGTGGTTTACACAACAATGGTGTGAGATATCACACAGGAATGTTGTACCCATTTTGCAGGTGAGGAAACTGAGGCTCCTTACTGACTTGCCCAAGGTTCCGCAGTGGAAGAGCCTGCACCTGAACTGTGTCTCCTGGTGGGTTTCAGCCAAGTTGGAAAGACAAGGATGGGATTTGGGGGAACAGTCTCATTTTGCCCAAGAACAGCAGGTGCCTGGGCTGCTCCCGTTCTGGGGCCACCACTTGAAATGGACGCAGTGCAGAGCCTTGTGTCCCAGGCAGGGCAGAGGGGATGGTGACGGGGCCCGCAGGGCTCACACTGAGGATGAGGTCATCTCGGGTCTCTTGATGTGCACCTGTCACAGAGTCACAGTGAGGGAAGGGAAGGCAGAGCCACTGGTTTGGGCTGACACTGCTGATCCGAGCCCAGCCCCCTCCTTGCCCTGGTGGGGGTTGGGGAGGGAATCTGGAATGGAGGCTGGGAGAGTTCCTTGGGGTCCCCCTCTTTAGCCCCTCACCTTCATAGTGGTGTCCACGTTCTCCAAGGCCACACGGAAATTTTCATCCTTGTCTAGAGAGAGAGAGAGAGGGAGAGAGAAGAGGGGAGAAAGAGGAGGGGAGAGGGACGGGAGGGAAGGGAGAGGGGGACAGAGTAAATGCGAGGAAGGCAGGAAGGGCGTCTGTCCTCGCAATGTCCTCAGTGATGCCCAGGAAAGCCCCTGCCTGCTTCTCCAGGAGGTGGGACTCACCTGTTCCGTCGACCTCGAAACCCCAGTTTGAAAAAGTGCCCACGACTTCCTCATCCCAGGTCTCGAACCATTTCCTGTCCTGGTCCCAGGACCTAGGTGGGGCCGCCACGCGGTCAGACACAGCCGGCCCGCCTGGGGCCCCTCGGCCGCCCTCGCACCCCGGCCCCATCTTCCGCGCGCTCACCGGTCTAGGTACTGGCAGCTCCACAGTCCGGAGCGCACTGCCCAGACACCCAGCGCTAGTAGCAGCAGCAGCAGCAGCGCGGCGCCCGCCGTCAGGCCCCCGACCAGCGCCCTCCAGTGGATGGCCACCTCGCAGCGCGGGCCGGAGAACCAGTGCGTGTCCGTGGAGTAGCAGCTACGGGAGATCGCAGAGTCAGACCCTCTTCACCTCCGGACTCGGGGTCCACACGTGCACCTGGGTCCCCCGGGGCGGTGGGGGCGAAGGGTCGGGGCCCCAGCCTAGGGCAGCTGGGGCTTCCACCCTAGGGCAATCGGGGTCGTTCCACCCTAGACAAGGGGCCGGGAATCCACCCTAGAAGGAGGGGGCTGGGCTCCACCCTAGAACAACAGGGTGAGGTTCCGCCCTAGAACAAGGGGGCGGGACTCCACCCTAGGCAAGTGGCGGGATTCCACCCCAGATCAAGTGGGTAAGGCTCCACCAAAGGAGGGGGTGGGGTTCAACCCTAGAACGAGGGGACAGGGCCCCACCCTAGAATGAGTGGTCCCAGAACTAGGGGACGGGACTCAAGGGGGCAGGGCAAAGAAGCAGAGGTCCAGGACAAGGCTCCACCTTCGGGCAAGGGGAATGGGCTTGGAGTCGGACTCTGGGGACAAGGCTCCACCATAGGGCCTGGGGGCGGACCCGGGGCGGAGCATGGGGCGGGGCTTCATCCTAGAATGAGTGGGCGGGGCTCGGCTGATGCTGATGGTCAGCGGTGCCTTACCGACAGGTGGGACCGCTCCTCTCCAGAACGCACTGGCCCTGGTGACAGTTGATGGCGTTGTCCACGCCCGACGTGCAACTGGTGACACAGCGGAGCCTGGTGGCCTCCACCAAGGGGAAGTAGAACTCCTCATAGCCCGCGGGAGCGGCGCGGCGGCAGATGGCTGAGGGGATTGGGGAGAGGGTTGCGCAGAGACAAGGACCTCATCCATTCTATTCAGAGGCCTGATAATGGTGCCTCTGAAAATGCGGGAGGAGGATTCCATTTCCGAGGTGGGATTCCGTGGGGTAGACCCTGGGATTCGATGAGGGGAGTCCAGTACCACCACCCTCACCCTCTCCTCGTGGCCCCTGCTGTCCTCAGGTGGAAGTCACTAATCAGCGCCAGGAAGGGCCGCCCTGGGCCATATCGCTTGCCTCCCCCAAAGGTCTCTCCCTGCCCCCGACTTCAATGGGCAAATGTCCCTGGTGGCTGGGATCAGAGCCACGGGAGAGCGACCACTCAACCCTTTACCCCACCCTCACCTTTCGGGGTCAGCTCTGTCCTGCTGTTGTTGTTCACCTTGATGGAGTCAGGCTTAAAACACAGGGCTGTGGGAACACAGGCACAGATGGAATGGGAGGGGGAGGTCAAGGGGTTAAGGTTAAGGGGTTAGGACCAGGAAGCAGGAGAGGCACAGGGAGGGCAGGGAGGGCTGTCTCTGTCTGGGGTAGTGTGGAGGGGCCACAAGAGAAGACTCCTGTTCCCTCCCTCATCTCCCCTGAATAATTCGAGGTCTTCAGCCATCCGGGAAATGCTGAGCATGACCATCAGGGGTTCTCTTGCCCAGTACCCAGGTCCTGGGGAGACCCTCCCTAGCCCCACCCTTGATGACGTTGTGTGTGGACTCATTCCCCTTCTCCCAACCTGCCAGAGGTACCATAGGGTTGGCACCCGAGCCCAGAGGGCCCCTGGCCCAGCTGGAGTGGGCCGGGGTGTCGGCTCAGGCCCTGGCCCCTCCCTCCAGCCGGGGCTCACTCTGGGAGTCCTGGCAGCTGTCCGCATCCTGGCTGGCATTCTGCAGCGCCTCCTTCAGCGTCGTCTTCGCCTGCTCGTACTGGCTCTCCAGCTGGGAGCTGAAGGGCAGCTCCAGCAGGACCAGGTAGTCCACCACGATGCTGCCATTCCTGAGGGGTCCACGGCCTTAGAGAGTGCCCCAGCCAGGGGCACATGGGTCCTTGGAGGAGCACTCCAGAAGCAACCCAAAGTGCACCAGAAGCGGGAAAGGGGGCAGAGGTCCTGAGTCAGGATGCCACATGCATCCTTTTTAGAAGGGGCTGCCAGCATTCCTGACTTGGTCCGCCTGGGAAGGCAGGACAAGGAATAATTGACATAATTGACTTCCTGTCTCTGTGTGTTTTATAGAGACAAAGTCTGGCTCTGTCACCCAGGCTAGAGTGCAGTGGTGTAATTATAGCTCACTGCAGCCTCCAATTCCTGGGCTAAAGTGATCCTTACTCCTCAGCCTCCCAAGTATCTGGGACTACAGGTGTGCACTACCACACCGGGCTAATCATTTTACTATTATTATTATTACTATTTTTATTATTGTAGAGCTGGGTTCTCACTATGTTGCCCAGGCTAGTCTTGAACTGGTTTCAGGTGATCCACACGCGTAGCTCTCCCAAAGTGCTAGGATTGCAAGTGTGAGCCACCACATCTGGCCTGATGTTCTCCTTATGTTGCATCAAGCCATCATCCATTGGGCGCCCCTGGATGCGCTCTGTCTCCCTCTCTCTCTTTCTCTCTCTCTAATGCTGACCCACCCAGTAGAGCAGGGGCCAGCCAGAGGGGGACAAAGTCACCCATCCAGGCACCACCTTCCCACATGTCCCTGCAACTTCTCTCCTTCCAGTGTGCTGAGGAAGAGAGGTGCCATCTCTCCTCCAGAGAAATGGCCCCAGAAAACGATCTCAAAAAATACCCCAGGGAATGATTCCTTATGTAGCCCCTCCACCCCTCTCTTTATAAAATCTGATGATTACAAAAGAAAAGAATGGGTTTTTTCTGTGCACACATATCCCCCACCCAACACCGCCTCCACATCCCCCAATGGGTCTCCTACCTCAGGGACAGGATCTCCACACCCTTGAAGTTGAAGCCCCGCATGCCTGCAAAAATCTTCTGCATCTGAAACACCAAGGATCCCTGGGCTCACGTCCGAACCTGCAGACCTGAGGGCACCCAGATGCCCAATCCCAGCTCCAGGGGAGCACCCTTCAATTCCCCTCCCCTTCCAGGAGCCATGGCTCACGCCTGTAATCCCAGCACTTTGGGAAGACAAGGCAGGCGAACCACAAGGTCAGGAGTTCGAGACTTGTCTGGCCAACATAGTGAAACCCCATCTCTACTAAAAATACAAAACATTATCTGGGTGTGGTGGCGTGCACCTGTAATTCCACCTATTCAGGAGGCTGAGGCAGGAGAATCACCTGAACCCGGGAGGCGGAGGTTACAGTGAGCCAAGATCGCGCCTTTGCACTCCAGCCAAGACAACAGTGCGAGACTCTGTCTCAAAAAAAAAAAAAAAAAAGGAAAGAAAAAAAATTCCCCTCTCCTTGCCCTTTACCTGATTCCAGAAGGTCTTGTTGAAATCCCTGTAGGCCTGAGAAGTGTTGTCATTGAGGTCCGGCGAGAACTCCTGATCGACAGACACTTCCATGTCCACCTCAGTCTCCACTACATCTGCACACAGCATGCACGTCCCCAGTCACTTCTCTATCTGCTTCCGTCTGAAGCTACCAACACCACCCCCTCCCCAACCCACAGGCTCCTCCTGCTGGTCCTCTCCAAGATCCCTGAGGACTGATGCCCAGAGGCAGAGGCAGGAGAATCGCTTGAACCCAGGAGGCAGAGGCTGTAGTGAGCCGAGATCGCATCACTGCACTCCAGCCTGGGCCGCAGAGTGAGACTCTGTCTCAGAAAATGAAAAAGAGAGAGAGAAAAAAGAAAGAAAGAGCAAGAAAGGGAGAAAGCATTGTGTGAAGACGAGGGAAAGAAGGAAAGGAAAGAAAAGAAAGAAAGGAAGGAAGGAAGGAAGGAAGGAAGGAAGAAAGGAAGGAAGGGGAAAAGGAAGAAGGAAAGGAAGGAAGGAAGGAAGGAAGGAAGAAAGAAAGAAAGAAACAAAGAAACAAAGAAAGAAGAAAGAAAGAAAGAAAGAAAGAAAGAAAGAAAGAAAGAAAGAAAGAAAGAAAGAGAGAGAGAGAGAAAGAAAGAAGGGAGTGAGGGAGGGAGGAAAGAAAGAAAGAAAGAGAAAGAAAGAAGGAAGGAAGGAAGGAAGAAGGAAAGAAGAGAGAGGAAGGAAGGAAGGAAGGAAGGAAGGAAGGAAGGAAGGAAGGAAGGAAGGAAGGAAGGAACGTGTGGAGATGAGGGAAAACAGGCAGGAAGACAGCAGTCAGCCTGGGGTCCCTCCTGGCTGCCTGCATGGTGGGCGGGGATCCATGTCCAAATCCCCAGAACTGTGAGTATGCTACACCATATGGCAAGGGAGGATGAAGGGTGCAGATTGAATTCCATTGCTAATCAGCCTAACTTTTTTTTATTGTTGAGATAGAGTCTCATTGTGTCATCCAGGCTGGAGTGCAATGGTGGGATCGTAGCTCACTGCAACCTTGACTTTCCAGGCTCAAGTGATGCTCCCACCTCAGCCTCCCAAGTTACTGGGACCACAGGCATGAGCCACCATGCCCAGGTAATTTTTTAAAATTTTTTGTAGAGGTGGGGTTCTCGCTGTGTTGCCCAGGATGATCATGAACTCCTGGCCTCAACCGATCCTCCCTCCTCAGCCTTCCAAACGGCAGGGATTATAAGAAAATCAGCTGATTTTTGTTTTCCTTTGAGACAGAGTCTCGCTCTCCCTCTGTCATCCAGGCTAGTGTGCAGTGGCTAAACCTCAGCTCATTGCAACATCTGCCTCCTGGATTCAAATGATTCTCCTGCCTCAGCCTCCTGAGTAGTGAGGATTACAGGCACCTGCCACCATGCCCAACTAATTTTTGTATTTATAGTAGAGAGTTTCACCATGTTGGCCAGGCTGGTCTCGAACTCCTGATCTCAGGTGATCCTCCCGCCTCAGCCTCCCAAAGTGCTAGGATTACAGGTGTGAGCCACTGCACCCGGCCTAATCAGCTGATCTTGAGAAAATTAACATAGACTATTTGGGGAGGAGGCAAAATCATCACAGGAGTCCTTAACAGTGGAAGAAGCAATAGAGGAGGCCAGAGTTCATCAGAGGGAGATGAGGCGATGGCAGAAAGACACAGAGAGGTGCAGCCTTGCTGGCTTGGAAGATGGAGCCAGGGGCCCTGGCAAACACAATGTTGGAGGCTCCAGAAGCTGCAAAGGGCAAAAAAATGTATTCTTTCCTGGAACCTCTGGAAGACAACACAGCCCTGGTGGTGCCTTGATTTCAGCCCAGTGACACCCACATCAGATTTCTAATCTACAGAATTCTGACATGATAATGTCGTGTTGTTCCAGCAGCCAGGTTTGTGTTTGTTGGTAGGGCAGCAGTTGGAAACTGATACAGCTCCAAGCAGCCCAAATCAGGAGATGACCCCAGGAGGGAGTGTGGTCCCATCCACCTCCTAAGGGTGAGGATGGAGAGGAGCATGACATGGGGCAGTGGAGGGAATGGGAGAGATGGCAGGGAGGGAAGGACTGAGCAAAACGCCATGGGTGCCTCCAGGCCCCACAGAGGGGTAAGTCTGGGGAGAGTCAGTGACACCCTCTGGGAGGAAGTGCAGAAGGCATAGCTCTGGCGACTCACCTAGATCCACCTGTTCCACAGCAAACTCACAACGGGAACCATAGAAGGTGCTGGGGCACTGGCACTTGAGGTTATCCCACTGACCCCCGTTGAGGCAGCTGGTCTGGAACTGACAGCGGTCCCCAGAGAACCCCGGACGGCAAGCACACTGGCCCTGTTCCCAGGTGCCGCCATTGTCACAGGTGCCTGGGAAACACAAGAAACAAGGGAAGTTCAGGATAAAGCCTGATCTCGGTGACATAGAAATTTTGCAGGGAAGGAAGGAGGGGAACAGAGAGGCAGAAGGTCCAACCTGCAGTGGTGGTCAACGTTGACTGTGTGGTCGTCTGAGAAGTGGTGGGAGTTGTCCTGCGCGATGTAAGGGTGGTAGGAGTCTGGGTAGTGGCCACTGGTGTCTCTGAAGTCCTGGTGGTGGATGGGGAGGAGTGTGCTGACTTGCTTGAAGTCCTCAGGATGGTCGAAAGGCTGCTGCTTGGTTTCGTGGTGAGCGGGACGGTAGAGACGCCAGGAAGATGTGGGGGGATCACAGAGATGGTGCTCAGCCAGGTCTCACTGGTGGGCATTTCAGTACTTGTGAAAACCGTGTTTGTGGGTACAGTCCCAGTGCCAGTGGAACTGGAAGCATTCGTTGTGATGCTGGACTCACTTTCTGGCGTCATGGAAGAAGTGTCCATATATGTAGCAAGGGTAGTTTGCATACTGATGGAGCTAGGACAGGTGACCATTTCGGTAGTAAAGGGAAGCACTGCTAACGGGGTGGTGGGAGGAGAAGTAGCTTCAGTGCTGGAATCCATTTCAACACACGGATCAGTGGGAGAGGCAGGGACTATGGTAATTGTTATAGTTTCTGGACAGGGTGTGGTGGAGGGAAGGGAAATATAAGAAAAGGGGGTTATTTCAGTGAGAGCTGTGGTCAGAGAGGAGCTGGTTGGAGAAGTGCTGGTGGTTGCAGAGGAAGAGAGAGTAGGAAAGGCTGTGATAGAAGAGGAGCCCATATTTTCTGTACTGAAAGTGTATGCTGAAGAAGGAACAGAATGAGTGTTGGTAGAGAACAATGGAGTTATGCTGGCGGAAGATGGAGAAGAGGACATGATAGTGTGTGTTGAGGACCAGATGATGGTACTAAAAGAAGTCAAGATTGCGTTTGTAGATGTACTTCCCCTAGTGAAAGATTCTGTAGTGAACTCACTTGTAGATGTGAGTGAAGTTTGCAATGAGGGAGTAGAAGCACTTGTTTGAAGGGTGGAGGAATGTGTGCTAGGAATGGGAACCTGTGATGTTGACATGATCGTGCTCAAGGCTGTTGATGGAGTAAGAGTGTGAAGAGTGGACGTGGAGAAATCTGTACTTCCAAAGTTGACAGTAGTAGGTACAGGAGATGTTTGGGTCCCGGTGGCAGACGTCAGTACAGGAGGGGTCTGTGTTGGGGTTTCAGGTGTAACAACAATACTTGTGCTAAAGGAAGTGATTGGGGTGTTCTCAGTACTTCTGAGGGTCGTTCTCACAGTGGACATGGTGGGAGAGGTTGTGCCCACAAGGGATGATGTTTCTGTGCTTTGGATGGAGGGAGAGGATGAAATGATGCGTGTTGGGGTTGATAAGCTACCAATATCCGTGGGTATAGAGGGAAGGTCTGTGGTTGTAGTCAATGAAGTACTGGTTCCCACAGATGAGGGGGTGAGAGTTTGCACGGTTGTGGTCGGGATGTCTGTACTCTGAGAAGCTGGAGTTACAGGTGTGGAAGTCACCCCAGTCTCTGAGGTAGTAAAATGTGAGGTGATGGCAGTTGTGGATGTGCTGACTGTGGAGTAGCTGGTTGAAGAAGTGAAGCTGGGAGTACTGTGTGAGGTGGTCTCAGTGTTGGTGATGGAAGAAGTGAAGCTGGGAGTATCGGGTGAGGTGGTCCTGGTGGTGGTGATTGAAGAACTGAAGCTGGGAGTACTGTGTGAGGTCGTCGCAGTGGTGGTGATTAAGGAAGTGAAGCTGACAGTACTTTGTGAGGTGGTCTCGGTGGTGGTGACTGAAGAAGTGAAGGTGGGAGTACTGTGTAAGGTGCTCTCACTGGTGGTGATTGAAGTGAGGCCAGGAGTAACGTGTGAGGTTGCCTCGGTGGTGGTGACCACAGAAGTGAGGCCAGGAGTACTGTGTGATGTGGTCTCAGTAGTGGTGATTGAAGAAGTGAAGCTGGGAGTACTGTGTGAGGTGGTCTCGGTGGTGGTGATCGAAGAAGTGAAGCTTGGAGTACTGTGTGAGGTGGTCTCAGTGGTGATGATCGAAGACGTGAAGCTGGGAATACTGTGGGATGTGATCTCAGTGGTGGTGATTGAAGAAGTGAAGCTGGGAGTAGTGTGGGATGTGGTCTCAGTGGTGGCGATCAAAGAAGTGAAGCTGGGAGTACTGTTTGAGTTGGTCTTGGTGGTGGTGATCGAAGAAGTGAAGCTGGGAGTACTGTGTGAGGTGGTCTCAGTGGTGGTGATTGAAGAAGTGAAGCTGGGAGTACTGTGGGATGTGGTCTCCGTGGTGGTGATCAAAGCGACGCTGGGAGTACTGTTTGAGGTGGTCTTGGTGATAGTGATCAAAGAAGTGTATCTGGGTGTACTGCTTGAGGTAGTCTCGGTGGTGGTGATTGAAGAAGTGAAGCTGGGAGTACTGTATGAGGTGGTCTCGGTGGTGGTGATCGAAGAAGTGAAGCTGGGAGTATTGTGTGAGGTGGTCTCGGTGGTGGTGATCAAAGAAGTGTAGCTGGGTGTACTGTGTGAGGTAGTCTCAGTGGTGGTTATTGAAGAAGTGAAGCTGGGAGTACTGTGTGAAGGGGTCTCGGTGGTGGTGATTGAAGAAGTGAAGCTGGGAATACTGTGTGAGGGGCTCTCACTGGTGGTGATTGAAGAAGTGAAGTTGGGAGTACTGTGTGATGTGGTCTCCATGATAGTGATTGAAGAAGTGAAGCTAGGAGTACTGTGTGAGGGGGTCTCAGTGGTCGTGATTGGAGAAGTGAAGCTGGGAGTACGGTGTGAGGTGGTCTCGGTGGTTGTGATTGAAGAAGTGAAGCTAGGAGTACTGTGTGAGGTGGTCTTGGTGGTCGTGGTTACCAAGTTTGTTGTAGGAACTGTGGCTGTTACTGTGGTTGGAAGAGACAAAGAGGTGGGTCGGAGAGAGGTCACAGTGGACAATGTACCGGTCATACTGGTGGAATAGGTGGTTCTGACTGTGGAATCTGTGAGAGCACTAGTAAGAGAAGTAGGGTAGGTGGTCTCAGACGCAGGTGTAGAACTGGTGTCGTAATTGGATAATGTGGTCACCAGGGAAGACAAAGGGGTGGTGTTTGTGGTACCAGTGGTGATCGCTTCTGTACTTGGGACAGGCATAGAAGATGAAATGCTACTGGTGAATGATGGTAACATATTAGTGGCTGTGGGCAGAGGGTTGGTAGTTGTCATAGATGTCATTGTATATGTGGAGGTGATTGAAGAAGTGATGGGGGGAGTAGAACTCACTGCTGTTTTGAAAGATCCTGTGGAAATGTCAAGGGTAGGAGTCAGTGTGGTGGTCTCAGGGGATGTGGCTGTTGAACTGGTCCATGTAGTCTGACCTGTGCCTTTAGTTGCTACAGTGGAAGAAGGTGTTTCCATCGTTGTAAATGTTGTGAATGACGTGGTGGTTGTGGGTGATGGGGTGGATCCAGCTGTTGTGTGGAGTATACTGGTGATGGATGGAGGTGAGGAGATACTCTCGGTGTGAGTGGTCCCTGCACTGCTGGCAGACATGGAAGAGGAAAATGAATATGTTGCTGGGAAGCTCGTCAGGAGGGAAGTTGTCTGAGTGCCCTCAGTACTTGTGAGAGTTGGTCTCTCGCTGGGAGTGGTGGCAGAGGTCATGCTGACAAGGGATGAGGTTTCTGTATTCTGGATGTTGGGGGAAGATGGGATGTCACTTGTGGACACTGCTGAGGTACTGGAAACAGCAAATGTTGAGGAGAGAACTGCTGTTGTAGTCAAGGATTCAGTAGAGCTCACAGAAGAGTGGGTGATAGTTGTGGGTGTTGTCGAAGGGATGTCTGTACTCAGAGAAGATGGGGTCATGGTTGTGGAAGTCACCATGGTACCTGAGGTAGGCGAAGCTGAGGAGATGGCAGTTGTGGTTGTACTGCTTGTGGAGTAGATGGTTGAAGAAGTGAAACTGGGAACACTGTGGGAGGTGGTTTCAGGAGTGGTGGTTACCAAGGTTGTGATAGGAGTCGTGGCAGTTTCTATGGTTAGGAGAGAGGAAGAGGTGGGCGGGAGAGAAGTCTCAGGGAACAATGTACCTGTCATACTTGTGGGGTAGCTGATGTCGGTAGTGGAGTCTGTGGCTGTGCTAGTGGGAGAAGTAGTGTAGGTGGTCTCAGATGTAGGTCTAGACCTGGTGATGGTAGTGGGGAGTGTGGTCACCAAGGTGGATAGAGGGCTGCTGTTGGTGTTATGACTGGTGATTGTTTCTGTGCTCAGGACAGGTGTCGAATATAAAATGCTACTGGTGAGTGATGATAACATATTACCGGCTGTGGGCCAGGAAGTCGTTCTTGCCATAGAAGTCACTGTATTGGTGGGAGTGACTGAAGAAGTGATGGGAGGAGTAGAAGTCATGGCTGTTGTTAGAGATTCTGTGGACATGTCAGTTGTAGGAGTCAGTGTGGTGGTCTCAGGGAATGTGGCTGTAGAGCTGGGGAAGGTGGTCTGACCTGTGCCTGTAGTTGCTACAGTGGTTAAAGGTGGTTCCATCGTTGTCGAGGTGGTGAATGAGGTGGTGGCAGCGGGTGACAGGGTGGATTCAGCTGTTGTGTGGAGTGTACTGGTGCTGGCTGGAGGTGAAGAAATAGTCTCTGTGTGAGTGGTCCCAGCACTGCTGGCAGACATGGAAGAGGAAAATGAATATGTACTTGAGAAGGTCGTCAGGAGAGAACTTGTTGGAGTGCTGTCAGTACTTGTGAGAGTTGGTCTCTCGCTGGGAGTGGTGGCAGAGGTCATGCTGACAAGGGATGAGGTTTCTGTATTCTGGATGCTGGGGGAAGATGGAATGACACTTGTGGACATTGCTGAGGAACTGGAAACAGTGAATGTTGATGTGAGGTCTGTTCCTGTAGTCAGGAAGCCAGTAGAGCCCACAGAAGGGTGGATGATAGTTGTTGGTGTTGTCGAAGGGATGTCTGTGGTCAGAGAAGACGGGGTCATGGTTGTGGAAGTCACTATGGTACCTGAGGTAGGGGAAGCTGAGGAGATGGCAGTTGTGGATGTGCTGACTGTGGAGTAAATGGCTGATGAAGTGAAGCTGGGGGTACTGTGGGAGGTGGTATCAGGGGTAGTGGTGGGGAATGTAGTCAACAAGGTGGATAGAGGGGTGGTGTTGGTGTTATGACTGGTGATCATTTCTGTGCTTGGGACAGGTGGAGAAGATAAAATGCTACTGGTGAGTGATGATAACGTATTAGTGGCTGTGGGCCAAGAAGTCGTAGTTGTCATAGAAGTCACTGTATTGGTGGGAGTGATTGAAGAACTGATGGGGGGAGTAGAAGTCATGGCTGTTGTTAGAGATTCTGTAGAAATGTCAATTGCAGGAGTCAGTGTGGTGGTCTCAGGGAATGTGGCTGTAGAGCTGGGGAAGGTGGTCTGACCTGTGCCTGTAGTTGCTACAGTGGTTAAAGGTGGTTCCATCGTTGTCGAGGTGGTGAATGAGGTGGTGGCAGCGGGTGACAGGGTGGATTCAGCTGTTGTGTGGAGTGTACTGGTGCTGGCTGGAGGTGAAGAAATAGTCTCTGTGTGAGTGGTCCCAGCACTGCTGGCAGACATGGAAGAGGAAAATGAATATGTACTTGAGAAGGTCGTCAGGAGAGAACTTGTTGGAGTGCTGTCAGTACTTGTGAGAGTTGGTCTCTCGCTGGGAGTGGTGGCAGAGGTCATGCTGACAAGGGATGAGGTTTCTGTATTCTGGATGCTGGGGGAAGATGGAATGACACTTGTGGACATTGCTGAGGAACTGGAAACAGTGAATGTTGATGTGAGGTCTGTTCCTGTAGTCAGGAAGCCAGTAGAGCCCACAGAAGGGTGGGTGGTAGTTGTTGGTGTTGTCAAAGGGATGTCTGTAGTCAGAGAAGACGGGGTCATGGTTGTGGAAGTCACTATGGTACCTGAGGGAGGGGAAGCTGAGGAGATGGCAGTTGTGGATGTGCTGACTGTGGAGTAAATGGCTGATGAAGTGAAGCTGGGGGTACTGTGGGAGGTGGTATCAGGGGTAGTGGTGGGGAATGTAGTCAACAAGGTGGATAGAGGGGTGGTGTTGGTGTTATGACTGGTGATCATTTCTGTGCTTGGGACAGGTGGAGAAGATAAAATGCTACTGGTGAGTGATGATAACGTATTCGTGGCTGTGGGCCAAGAAGTCGTAGTTGTCATAGAAGTCACTGTATTGGTGGGAGTGATTGAAGAACTGATGGGGGGAGTAGAAGTCATGGCTGTTGTTAGAGATTCTGTAGAAATGTCAATTGCAGGAGTCAGTGTGGTGGTCTCAGGGAATGTGGCTGTAGAGCTGGGGAAGGTGGTCTGACCTGTGCCTGTAGTTGCTACAGTGGTTAAAGGTGGTTCCATCGTTGTCGAGGTGGTGAATGAGGTGGTGGCAGCGGGTGACAGGGTGGATTCAGCTGTTGTGTGGAGTGTACTGGTGCTGGCTGGAGGTGAAGAAATAGTCTCTGTGTGAGTGGTCCCAGCACTGCTGGCAGACATGGAAGAGGAAAATGAATGTGTACTTGAGAAGGTCGTCAGGAGAGAACTTGTTGGAGTGCTGTCAGTACTTGTGAGAGTTGGTCTCTCGCTGGGAGTGGTGGCAGAGGTCATGCTGACAAGGGATGAGGTTTCTGTATTCTGGATGCTGGGGGAAGATGGAATGACACTTGTGGACATTGCTGAGGAACTGGAAACAGTGAATGTTGATGTGAGGTCTGTTCCTGTAGTCAGGAAGCCAGTAGAGCCCACAGAAGGGTGGGTGATAGTTGTTGGTGTTGTCGAAGGGATGTCTGTGGTCAGAGAAGACGGGGTCATGGTTGTGGAAGTCACTAGGGTACCTGAGGTAGGGGAAGCTGAGGAGATGGCAGTTGTGGATGTGCTGACTGTGGAGTAAATGGCTGATGAAGTGAAGCTGGGGGTACTGTGGGAGGTGGTATCAGGGGTAGTGGTGGGGAATGTAGTCAACAAGGTGGATAGAGGGGTGGTGTTGGTATTATGACTGGTGATCATTTCTGTGCTTGGGACAGGTGGAGAAGATAAAATGCTACTGGTGAGTGATGATAACGTATTAGTGGCTGTGGGCCAAGAAGTAGTTGTCATAGAAGTCACTGTATTGGTGGGAGTGATTGAAGAACTGATGGGGGGAGTAGAAGTCATGGCTGTTGTGAGAGATTCTGTAGAAATGTCAGTTGCAGGAGTCAGTGTGGTGGTCTCAGGGAATGTGGCTGTAGAGCTGGGGAAGGTGGTCTGACCTGTGCCTGTAGTTGCTACAGTGGTTGATGGTGGTTCCATCATTGTGGATGTGGTGAATGAGGTGGTGGTAGTGGGCGATGGGGTGGATTCAGCTGTTGTGTGGAGTGTACTGGTGATGGCTGGAGGTGAGGAGATACTCTCCGTGTGAGTGGTCCAGGCACTGCTGGCAGGCATGGAAGACGAAAATGAATATGTCCCTGGGAAGGTCGTCAAGAGGGAACTTGTCGGAGTGCTGTGTGTACTGGCAAAAGTTAGCCTTCCACTGGGAGTGGTGGCAGAGGTCATGCTGACAAAGGATGAGGTTTCTGTATTCTGGACAGTGGGAGATGAGGGAACGACAGTTGTTGGCCTTGCAGACATGCTGGAGACTATGTACACTGAGGTGAGGTCTGTCATCATAGGTAATGAACTAGTGATGCCCACAGATGAGGGAGTGATGGTTGTTGGTTGTGAGGAAGGGATACCTGTACTCAGAGTAGATGGGATCATGGATGTAGAAGTCATCATGGTACCCAAGGTTGTGGGAACTGAGGTGATGGCAGCTGTGTATGAGCTGTCTGTGGAGTAGATGGTTGAAGAAGTGAAGCTGGAGGTACTATGTGAGGTGATCTTGGTGGTAGTGGTGGTGGTTACCAAGTTTGTGGTAGGAGTTTTGGCTGTTTCTGCGGTTGAGACCAAGGGAGAGGTGGGTGGAATAGAGGTGGCAGTGGATGATGTCTCTGTCATAAGGGTGGGATAGGTGATTTCAGTCGTGGAGTTTGTACCAGGGCCACTTGGAGAATTAGGATAGGTGGTCTCAGATGTAGTCATAGATGAGACATTTGTAGTGGGGAGTGTGGTTACCAAGATAGATGGAGGGATTGTGTTTGTGGTGCCACTGGTGATTGCTTCTGTGCTTGGGACAGGTGTAGAAGACAGAGTCATACTGGTCAGTGATGTAAAATAATTGGTGGTTGTGGGAGGAGAGGTCATAGTTGTCACAGAAGTCACTGTATTTGTGGAAGTGACTGATGAAGTAATGGGAGGAGAAGTCACAGCTGTTGTGAGAGATTCTGTGGACATGTCAGTTGTAGGAGTCAGTGTGGTGGTCTCAGGGAATGTGGCTGTAGAGCTGGGGAAGGTGGTCTGACCTGTGCCTGTAGTTGCTACAGTGGTTAAAGGTGGTTCCATCGTTGTCGAGGTGGTGAATGAGGTGGTGGCAGCGGGTGACAGGGTGGATTCAGCTGTTGTGTGGAGTGTACTGGTGCTGGCTGGAGGTGAAGAAATAGTCTCTGTGTGAGTGGTCCCAGCACTGCTGGCAGACATGGAAGAGGAAAATGAATATGTACTTGAGAAGGTCGTCAGGAGAGAACTTGTTGGAGTGCTGTCAGTACTTGTGAGAGTTGGTCTCTCGCTGGGAGTGGTGGCAGAGGTCATGCTGACAAGGGATGAGGTTTCTGTATTCTGGATGCTGGGGGAAGATGGAATGACACTTGTGGACATTGCTGAGGAACTGAAAACAGTGAATGTTGATGTGAGGTCTGTTCCTGTAGTCAGGAAGCCAGTAGAGCCCACAGAAGGGTGGGTGATAGTTGTTGGTGTTGTCGAAGGGATGTCTGTGGTCAGAGAAGACGGGGTCATGGTTGTGGAAGTCACTATGGTACCTGAGGTAGGGGAAGCTGAGGAGATGGCAGTTGTGGATATGCTGACTGTGGAGTAAATGGCTGATGAAGTGAAGCTGGGGGTACTGTGGGAGGTGGTATCAGGGGTAGTGGTGAGGAATGTAGTCAACAAGGTGGATAGAGGGGTGGTGTTGGTGTTATGACTGGTGATCATTTCTGTGCTTGGGACAGGTGGAGAAGATAAAATGCTACTGGTGAGTGATGATAACGTATTCGTGGCTGTGGGCCAAGAGGTTGTAGTTGTCACAGAAGTCACTGTATTGGTGGGAGTGATTGAAGAACTGATGGGGGGAGTAGAAGTCATGGCTGTTGTTAGAGATTCTGTAGAAATGTCAATTGCAGGAGTCAGTGTGGTGGTCTCAGGGAATGTGGCTGTAGAGCTGGGGAAGGTGGTCTCACCTGTTCCTGTAGTTGCTACAGTGGTTGAAGGTGGTTCCATAGTTGTGGAAGTTGTGAATGAAGTGGTGGTAGCGGGTGATAGGGTGGATTCCGCTGTTGTGTGGAGTGCACTGGTGATGGCTGGAGGTGAGGAGATACTCTCTGTGTGAGTGGTCCCGGCACTGCTGGCAGACATGGAAGAGGAAAATGAATATGTTGCTGGGAAGGTTGTCAGGAGGGAACTTGTCGGAGTGCTGTGTGTACTTGCAAAAGTTGGTGTCCCACTGGGAGTGGTGGCAGAGGTCATGCTGACAACGGATGAGGTTTCTGTATTCTGGATGCTGGGGGAAGATGGAATGACACTTGTGGACATTGCTGAGGAACTGGAAACAGTGAATGTCGATGTGAGGTCTGTTCCTGTAGTCGGGAAGCCAGTAGAGCCCACAGAAGGGTGGGTGATAGTTGTTGGTGTTGTCGAAGGGATGTCTGTAGTCAGAGAAGACGGGGTCATGGTTGTGGAAGTCACTATGGTACCTGAGGTAGGGGAAGCTGAGGAGATGGCAGTTGTGGATGTGCTGACTGTAGAGTAGATGGCTGAAGAAGAGAAGGTGGGAGTACTGTGGGAGGTGATCTCAGGGGTGGTGATTACCAAGTTTGTCATAGGAGTTGTGTCTGTTTCTGTGGTTGGGAGAGAGGAAGATGTGGGTGGGAGAGAAGTCTCCGTGGACAATGTACCTGTCACACTTGTGGAGCAGGTGATTTTGGTTGTGGAGTCTGTGGCTGTGCTAGTGGGAGAAGTAGGGTAGGTGGGCTCAGATATAGGTGTAGACCTGGTGATGGTAGTGGGGAGTGTGGTCACCAAGGTAGATAGAGGAGTGGTGTTTGGGATACCACTGGTGATTGTTTCTGTGCTCAGGACAGGTGTGGAAGATAAAATGGTACTGGTGGGTGATGACAGTGTATTAGTGGCTGTGGGCCAGGAGGTGGTCGTTGTCACAGAAGTCACTGTTTCTGTGGAAGTGATTGAAGAAGTGATGTGGGAAGTGGAAGTCACTGCTGTTTTGAGAGTAGTAAATACTGGGGCTGGGGACATGGTCGTATGGACACTTCCAGTGGGCTGGGGAATCCTTTCTGTGGTTCTAATTGTAGAGAAGACCATAGTGTGGAAGGTTGTATCTGTGGCTGACACAGAGGAGGAGGGTGTCACTGTCACTATGGGAGTTTCCCTTCCAGAGGTGGTAGAGGAAGATGTCACGGCTGACGTTCCTTTCTCAGTAGTGGTCATAGGGTAAGTCCTGGTGAGGGTGGTCACTGGCTTCTGTGTCACGGGAGTGGGGGTGTAAGAGCTGGTGAAGGCCACCTGCGTCGTGGTCACACAGATGGAGGTGGGGTGGGAGATGGTGATTGTAAAGCTCGTTGGATACACGCACTCAGTGGTGGCCGAATAGACCAACACAGTGGGTGGAGTGGTTTCAACCTTGAAAGCAAACTTGGACGTCGGGGTGGTTGAGGTGTTGGAACTGACTGGAGAGGTGAGCAGTGTTTCAGAGATGAGTGTGTCATGGGGGGAGGTAATGAGCGTCATAGGTGCATTTTCCCTGTGGCCAGGAGCAGGCGAGGCAAGCTGGGGGACACCGAGTGGCCGCCCAGCCAGGTCTCTGGAGTGTGGAGAATTGCTGAGCACAGCGCGGGCTGCTTCCGCCCTGGGGAAAGGCACATGAGAGATGGATGTGGCCGTAGATACAGTTCCTGCATTGGCAGCAGAGCAGAGGAATCCACTGGTAAGTCCGTGGGTCATTTTGTCACATCACTCATGTAAGTTACTCACTCACTCCCATTTTCCAGGCAGCATCACAGAGGGCAGGGCATGCCACAGCTCACTCCTGCATCAGAGGCAGCTTGGAGCTGGGCGCTTTGTGGTGCTGGAGCCCACTGCCTGTCTGCTCCTAGGGGAGCAGTGGGGCATGGGAGCGCTCCTTCCTCACCCGGCCTTGGCCTTGTCATGGCAGGTCCTCCTGTCCTGGGATAGCCAAGCTGGGCAGAGCCTCCCTCCTCTTCCTTCCCTCCTCTGGTCACACCCAGGCCCCTCCTCCCTCTGCCCCTTCCTCTCCTCCCTCTGCTGCTGCCTGGAGTCCTCCCATCCCCTCCATTAACCTTCTGCTCCCACCACTGTGTCTCCCCGCACCCTGCTCCTGTCTGAGCTGACTACTCCTTTCAAAGAGAAAAAGAGAGAATATAGCCAAGTCCTAGCAAGGGGCACATCACAAAAACCATGAGACAGAGAAAGTTGCACAAAGAGGGCCAGGCGCAGTGGCTCACGCCTGTAATCCCAGCATTTTGAAAGGCCAAGGCAGGTGACCACTTGAGGTCAGGAGTTCGAGACAACTCTGACCAACATGGTGAAATCCATTCTCTACTAAAACAAAATACAAAAATTAGCCGGGCGTGGTGGCGTGTACCTGTAGCTGAGTCAGGAGAATCGCTTGAACCCGGGAGGCAGAGGCTGCAGCGGGCTGAGATGGCGCCACTGCACTCCAGCCTGGGAGACAGAGCAAGACTCCGTTAAAAAAAACACACACACAAAACTGCCCAGAGAACACCAAGGAGAAACAGAAGCTAAGCTTACACACGCTAATGACTTCAAAGGGCGTGGAGTGAGGATCACGCGGAGAGGTAGAGAGACAGGATGGAGAAGGAAACTTCCAGAAGGAGCTAACTCAGCAGTCAGGCGTGATGAGTTCCGGAGACCTTAAGGCTTAGCAGTGAGTGTTCATCACAAAAATAGACATATTTTTCTATAACTATTCCCTTTTGGCCGTGGGATTCATTCGTTTATAAGCATGAACCCCAGCATGTGGATTTCAACCCATTTCACAGTTGGTGACAGTTAGGATCAGAGATCCAGCTGTCAGAGGTGTCGGGGAGGAGGAAGACAGGCAGCCACAGCAGATGGGAAGTGGGAAGTACCCGATCTGATACCCCTCACCTCGGGCACAGCCCATCTTGTGGCTGAGAGCTGTTGTGTCACGTCTCAGCCTAGCTCGTGGGTGCCAGGGAAGTGGGGTCAGGGATTATGAGAATCCCCAGGCTACAGCCCTTGGCTCCAGGATGTGGCCCTGGAGGTGACTGAGAAGAGGACTCATGGGCCTCTGGCTGGGTGGCCTGGGATCGGGGATCAGAAGCAGACACTGAAAGACAGAGAAAAGAGAAGTACAGAGGAATTGCGGGGTGTTCCTGCAGGGCAGAAGAGAGAAGCCTGGGACCCCATGCTGGGTAGTCTCAGACGCATCCCTGAAAGTGAAGCAGACTTCAGGAGCTCCCTGCCCGGGCCCTGGTACCAACAGCTGTGCCCAGACACATGGGCCCTGGCCAGGGTGAGAGAGTGATGGCAGAGCTGGGGAGGAGCCGCTGGGGGACAAAAGGTAAAGAGGCTGAAAGCCAAGGACAGAGACCAGGGGCAGAAGTTAGAGGGCTGTCAGGGAGGGAGAGGCCAGTGTGGACAGGGCACTGGATCTGGGGGCGTGAGGTGGGTGACAGAAGTAGCCAAGGCAGGAAGGCCACTGCTCTGGGAAGATCTAAGTCCCACCCTCCACCCTCCGGCGGCAGATACACGTTGGAGTGCAGCCCCTGCAACCTGCTCAGTGCTTGGTGGAGAATGGCAGCGGGGACCTACTCTTTCCCAATCTCGGCTTTTCCTGCACCTGAAGCTCTGGGAGAAACCTCTCCTCATCGCCCCCTCCCCGCATCAGGCCGTGCCTCGGTTCTGTCTGCACCCAGAGCTCCAATCGGCGCCTTCTTATCCCGCCTCCCCAGGCCTCACAGCCACCTTTCCCTCCTGTTTCCTGGAATATCGTATCAGGAACTTCTCTCCATTCCCCTCCCACCTCTCCTCCTTACCCGTGGCCCCTGCGGAGGCCTTGAGCATCCAGAGGAGGCAGAGGAGCCCCAGCAGCTGCATGAGCCCAGCGGGCAGAGGGCTGGGGCAGAGCAGCCTTCAGGATCAGGACAGCGGCAGGGACGTGGCCCTAGGGCATGCACTTAATGAAAGCGTCCGTTATCTGTTTTGCTGAGCGTCAGGGCTGAGCGCAGCCTCACCTTTGCACCGCCGCACCTCACCCCTTTTCCTCCCTTCTCCGTGCATCCGGACAGACCGACGTCAGTGCTGTGGGAAGCAGAACACCGGGAAAAAGACAGGACAAGTCCAGAAAGTGTCTGGCAGAAAGAGTTGCTATTGGCTCAGCCCCACAGCCTACCTGGCTCACCTGGAGCTCCCTGAAAGCTTCCCTTCCTCCCCGACACTGGTGGAGGGTACCCTTGACAGAGGGCGTGGACTCTGGAGTCTGCATCGACTCCTGCAGCCTCTCCTTAGTTTTCAATTCCTCCTGCTGAGGCAGTGCAACCTCGCTCTCCTTCAAGCCCCTTCTGTCCCTCCTTTTGCCCCTGCTCCCTCCTGCTCCCGGCAGGACCCCACAGGCCACACAAAAACGTGGGAGTAATTAACACAGAATTCCGTCTGAAGTCATTTTATTATCTGAAGAGTTGGGGCTAGGTCCCAGAAAAGGAAACACGGATGACCAAAGGAAACACTCAGAAATACTAGTCTGGGCCCGGCACGGTGGCTCGCGCCTGTATTCCCAGTGCTTTGCGAGGCTGAGTAGTGTGGATCACTTGAGGTCAGGAGTTCGAGACCAGCCTGGGCAACATGGCAAAACCCCATCTCTACTAATAGGCTGAGGCAGAAGAATCGCTTGAACCCAGAAGGTGGAGGTTGCAGTGAGCTAAGATCACACCACTGCACTCCAACCTGAGTAACAGAGCGAGACTCCATCTAAAAAAAAAACTAGCTTGGACCTAGCACATTGTTTGACCTATCCAGTTTGGGCAAAGGTGTGAAGAATAAATGTTCTTACCCTGCTGGTGGGTGTGTAGGTGGGTTGGCTTGCTTTAAAAGGGTGATTTGAGGATCACTTGAGGTCAGGGGTTCAAGACCAGACTGGCCAACATAGTGAAACCCCGTCATTAGCCTGGCGTGGGGTGGGCATCTGTAATCCCACCTATTCAGGAGGCTGAGGCAGGAGAATTGCTTGAACCCCAGAGGCAGAGGTTGCAATGAGCCAAGATCATACCTCTGCACTCCAGCCTGGGCAACAAAGCAAAACTTCATTTCAAAAATAAGATAAAATAAAACAAATGTTCTTATCCAGGTGGTGGGTGTGTAGGTGGGTTGGGTTGCTTTAAAGGGGTAATTTGGTGGCATCTATTAAAATTTTAAATGTGTGCCTTAGGACCCAGCAATTTCACTCTCCATCTCTGTGTCCAAGAAGCCCTTCAAGGAAGCATTCACAAGGATGTTTATTGACTCTCAATTACGGCAATTCTGACAGAAATTGGAAACAACCCAAACGATTGTTTCAATCCAGAAAGAAGATGGAATAGTCACCCTACAGAACACTATGCTCAGGCCAGATTCTGTGGCTCACACCTTTAATCTCAGCACTTTGGGAGGCCGGGGCAGGAGGATCTCTTAAGCCCAGATGTTCCAGGCCAGCCTGGGCAACATGGAAAGACGCCACCTCTACAAAAAAAAAAAATACACAAAAAATTAGCCAGGCATAGCGGTGTGCACCTGTGGTCTCAGCTACTTGGTAAGCCAAGGTGGGAGGATCACCTGAGCCCAGGAGGTCGAGGCTCCAATGAGTCATGATCGAGCCACTGCACTCCAGCCTGGGTGGCAAAGCGAAACTCTGTCTCAAAAAAAAAAAAAAAAAAAAAATTATGAACATAAAATTAGATCAAGGCCAGACACAGTGGCTCACATCTGTCATCCCAGCATTTTGGGAGGCCGAGGTGGGTGGATCACTTGAGGTCAGGAGTTTGAGACAAGCCTGACCAACATGGCGAAACCCCGTCTCTACTAAAAATACAAAGATTAGCCAGGGATGGTAGTGCACACCTGTAATCCCAGCTACTCAGGAGGCTGAGGCAGGAGAATTGCTTGAACCCAGGGAGTGACGGTTGTAGTAAGCCAAGATCACGCCACTGCACTCTGGCCTGGGTGACAGAGTGAGACTCCGTCTCAAAAAAAATTATAAAGTAAAACAAAATTAGTTCAGACCAGGCACAGTAGCTCACACCTGTAATCCCAACACTTTGGGAGGTCAAGGCAGGAGGATCACTTGAGGCTAGGAGTTCAAGACCACCCCGGACAATATAGCAAGACCCATCTCTACAAAAAAAAAAAAAAAGATAAAAAGAAAAATAGATCTAAATAGGTCTGCCCATCCCTAAGGGAAGATGCTTTGCAGAGAGAAACTGCAGCTCTTCCTCTTCCCAGCAGGCTCAAGGGACAGGATTGCAAAGGCAGCCAGTGAACTCACCGAGGCCAGGCCTGCTGGGAGAGCTTTGTGAGGGGCTGTGCCTCTCATGTCTCCTGGGGGACCTCATCCTTATTGAGAGTCACTGAAGGGACCCTAAATAGGAGGCACTGTGGACACCCACCAAGGGACACAGCCTGAGCATCGGTTGTGCAGCTGGCTGCACCAAAATCCAGGGGACACATTATATAGCCCTGGCCTCAGGGTGTGTGGTCAAGTTGAGGAAGTGAGCAAAGAAATGAAAAGCATCTCTTCGTTAGTCCTCCTTCCCAACATGGCACAGTCTATTAACATCACGGAGCTGCATCTGCCGCAACTAGAAATGCTCAAGAACCAGCTGGACCAGGAAGTGGAGTTCTTCTCCACGTCCATTGCCCAGCTCAAAGTGGTACAGACCAAGTATGTGGAAGCCAAGGACTGTCTGAACATGCTGAACAAGAGCAATGAGGGGAAACAATTACATGTCCCACTGACGAGTTCTATGTATGTCCCTGGGAAGCTGCATGATGTGGAACATGTGCTCATCCATGTGGGAACTGGGTACTATGTAGAGAAGACAGCTCAGGATGCCAAGGACTTCTTCAAGAGGAAGATAGATTTTTCTAACCAAGCAGATGGAGAAAATCCAACCAGCTCTTCAGAAGAAGCACGCCATGAAACAGGCTGTCATGGAAATGATGAGTCAGAAGATTCAGCAGCTCACAGCCCTGGGGGCAGCTCAGGCTACTGCTAAGGCCTGAGAGTTTTTGCAGAAATGGGGCAGAGGGACACCCTTTGGGCATGGCTTCCTAGTGCTGGGAAGAGTCTTGTGCTTAATGCCAATAAATGTGCCAGCTGAGCAAAAAAAAAAAAGAAAGAAATGAAAAGCTAAAGAGTCCAAATGAGGTGGAGCTCAGAGCCCAACAATGACACTATTGGTGGTAACTCAGGGGAGGGGCCAACAGGGAGCAGGGCTACTCTTGGGGTCTTCCACTTCAATTTCTTAATACATTTGATCAATTTGCCCAGCATGAAGATACTTGTTTGCAAAAAGTTTTGTTGTTGTTTTTCAGAGCAGTCTCTGTGGAAAGGCTGAAGCCACGTGGTCAAGCACCATAGCCAGCCAAGACGCTGCAAACCAAGCTGGAGGTTTCGGGGGTTTCCAGTCCTTTTTTATTTTTTTATTTTTTCTAAGGATCAAGCACCATAAAATTCCATCGCTGTTCTGGAGACACAGACATAAATGGAGAATGGATCCCTGTTGTAAGTAAAGATTACCAGGCTCCTGGGGAGATGGATCCCAGATCTACCCGCTTCTGTCCACCACCCCTTCCGTCCATCACCTCTCTACTACTCATACCCCCTTCTGCTACAGTCACCAGACTGCCGATCTCAGCCTCTGCCCCACTCCAGGCCCTTGCCTGAGCCATTCCTACACCTGCAGTGCCCTCCTGCTCTTCCTCTTTCTCTCACCTGTGAAAATCCCACCTGTCCTTTAGAGTTCTACACCTTCCTCATCTCCTCCAGGAAGTCATGTGCAATCAGGAAGTGACCTCTTCCACTCCTGAAATTTTTTTTGTTTTTTGTTTTTTGTTTTTGAGATGGAGTCTCGCTCTGTCGTCCAGGCTGAAGAGCAATGGAGGCATCCCGGCTCACTGCAACCTCTGTCTCTGGGTTCAAGAGATTCTCTTGCCTCAACCTCCCAAGTAGCTGGGGTTACAGGCATGTGCCACCACACCTGGATAATTTTTTTTGTGTATTCTTAGTAAAGATGGGGTTTCACCTTTTTGGCCTGGCTGGTCTCAAACTCCTGACTTCCAGTGATCCTCCCACCTTGGCCTCCCAAAGTGCTGTGATTACAGGTGTGAGCCACTGCAGCTGGCCCACTCCTGAAATTAATGGTGCTCATTACGGATACCTCTCCCATGATGCATACTTGTTATCTCCTAGCTGGGAGCACAGTCATTTGAACGCCTGCCCAGAAGGGAGAGGGAAAGGTGACATCTTTGTATTCTGAGTAGGGACAGTGGCCACTTTCCCTGCAGAGCCTGGGAAAGGGCCCCGCCCCACTCAGGGAGGCAATGGACGAGCTAAGACTGCCAGAGTCCTCCACCTGTGGTTCAAGAATGCCCTATGCCCACACTGGGGTCCAGCCTTCATGGGGAAGCTGGAGAAGATGGAAGAGAAAAGAGTGTTCTACTGGGGTTGAGAGACGTGGCTATAATGTCAGATGCTGCTGACTGTAGGCTGCCCACACACAACTGAGACTGGGAGTTGACTCCAGAAATTAATAAGTTTCCAGCCAGAGCTCAAGACAGGAGAGAGGATTGCTGGGGAGAAGGAAGGAGCAGAGCTGTGGGAAGACTATGCTGACGATGGCGGTGTCGGACCAATCGTCATTGACACTCGCCATCGGGCCCCTTCCTAGTAACACTGAAATGGAATGCACGGGAAGTCAATGGAGGACACTGGTCTCCCTCCAAGGTCACTTTTGTCAAGGTACCTGGGGGAAGATGTGAATCCAGAAATGTACAGGCTGAGACCTGCCCCCAAATATCAAGGAGTAGGGAGGGACATGTTGAAACTAGGGCTAGGGGCTGGGCAT